AACCTTGTACTTCTGCCCTTTCGATCTATCTGATGGACTTCGCTTTGGCCTTGATCCTGTATCTTGCCTTCTTTCTTCCCTTCTTTCTCTTTCTTCTATCCTCAAACCTTCAACTCGGTCCAACGGACCCCCCTGTTCGGATCATCGCTGTAATCTGACTATTTCTTTGCCTAGCTCCACCCTGCCCACTCAAGAAGACGTTAACCTCGCCGCATTTTTACGACCTAAGAATTTCGGAGCTTTAGGCGCGTGATTTGATTCGCACCTCTAACGGCGCCCGATTTCATTTCATTGTCTGAACTTGGCGCCTCCCGACACTATCAGATCGTCCCGTCTCTATCCTGTTTCTGCTTTTCCCAAATTCTTTCTCCCGCCATGTTGATTTGAGTACCGGATTACTCCAAGCACACGGTACAGCGCTTAACCAGACCGACTTGTGAGAAGAACGCGCTGGCAGTTACCCTCTCTCCTCGACAATGAATCGCATGCCTCCTCCCGAAGGGCCGCATGCGCCTCCGGGCACGCATCCTAGCTACGAGCCATCATGGCGCCCTCCATATCCTCCATCCTTCGATCCGCATCCAGCCGATGCCCGCCGTCCTTCTTCAACCCAGGCGCCTATTCCAAGCTATTCAGTCATGCCCGGCCGCGAGCTGCCCGGGTTATCACCAGACGGGCCCTACGGGCGTCCCAATGGTCTCCAACCGCACGCGCCCGTACATTCCCCGCAAGATCCAACTCCCCCTCATGGTTTCCGCCAGCCAATCAACGGTGCCCCGCACGAGGCTTCACCAGAATACCGTCCTCGCATGTCTTATCCGCCAGCCGATCAGATCAGTAGCGCGGAGCATACACCTTCTGCGGGCCCGCTGCCCCCAGCATCACAATTCATGACCCCCGGCCCGTCAATGGCCCCAGCGACCCCGGTGGGCGGCTATGACCCGAATTATTACCAGAACCAGGCGTATGGAGCGCGTCAACGAAAAGCGGCTCGTGCCCAGCAGGTAGGCCAGATAAGATTGAATTGCCGCGGTGGATTGAGAGCTGACTCTCGAGCTGTAGGCCTGTGACCAATGCCGCGCTAGGAAAGCGAAGTGTGACGAGGGACGACCAGGTTGCAGTCATTGTAAAGAGAATAACCTGACCTGTGTCTACAAGGAAGTGCCTCCTCACAAACAAGAGAAGAGCACGCAGCTTTTGATAGATCGAATCACGCACCTGGAGGACACTTTGGTTCAGAAGATCGACTTGCTAACCGCTGGCACCCACGGGCACGACCAATTGCTCAGAGAGTGGCTACAACACTCTAAACCGACAACCTCGTGGCCTGGCAAAGATCGTTCGCACCTGCCACCAATCCCACCGGCGCCTGTTCAAGAGCCAGTTCTCAAACAAGAGCCACCCACGCCTTCCATGCTGAGTTCAAATGGCATGGCAGTCTTAGACCCTGGCAGTCAGGATGTCGGCACTTCGCATTACGGTCAAAAGCTGGGACCTGTGGAGGTCTTTGAGGATGCTAAAAATGATCAGGAGGGCGAGCTTTCGATTCCTGTGGAGCACACTACTGCAGCTCACAAGCTCTTGATGTGGCCCTCGATCAAGAAATTGCTGTACCCCGAGGTGTATGATGAAGACTATGTCATGCGCTTGGAGGAAGAGCGCGGTCTTATCAGTGTCTATGGCCAGGGCGAGATTTCATACACTGCGGATGACAGTCAACTACCGGGGAGCACAGGCATGCGTGATGGCGGCGTGAACGGTGCTCAACCAGACGGAGACGGCGCAGGGGTAGATTCGGATGTTGACATTGACAAGTTTGGTAACCTGAACCTGGATGTTGCAACCGCGCAGCGCTACTATCAGAGCTACATGAACCACATGTACAAACTTCACCCGTTCATTGACCAGGGTGAGCTTGATCAAAAGGTCGAGAGCTTTATTCGATGCTACTGCCGTCTAACCCCGTCGCCGATGCCAAGGAACACCCAGATGGGCAATGAAGGCCCACGGCCAGCGAAGCGGAAGCGTTCCAATGAAAACTTGGGCGCGCGAGGCGAGTTCTTGAGCCCAAGTTCTACACCGGCACGACCACGTGTTGGGAGGAACATCGACAATGCTGTAGTCATGCTGTGTCTGGCTCTTGGTGCGATTTGCGAATGTCCTGCTCCCCTTCCTGGGCCTATCATGGACCAGAAGATTGATTATCGTAGCCAGCACATTCCCAGTCCCCTGCCACCAATGCCTGTCGGAAGCGGGCAATTTGGCGTCAATGGTGTGCTCTCGCCCGCGAATTCTGATTCTGCCTTGCAGATGGCGACACCTTTATACACGGTGCCTATGCAGGCTACAAGCCAGTCCTTTGGGCCAACATCAACAACAACTGCCGAACCACGCAGAAACCTCTCCCGGCGATCTGTGTCACACACCCGTGACGAAGCTGGACATACGAAGAATTACCAGGTCATTCCTGGTCTGACACTTTATGGATTTTGTACTGAGATTCTGGGTCACCTGCAAGGTGCCAACGAACTGGAACACGTCCAGGCGGCGCTACTTGCCGGTCTTTATGCCGGACAATTGGCCCACCCATTCCAGAGCCACAGCTGGATCTCTCAGGCTTCGAGGGCTTGCCAGGTGCTGGTGAGAACAAAGCGTTATGAGAGACTTGGAGAAGGGGCTGTTCTAGATCTCTACAATTTTGCATACTGGACTTGTCTACAGCTAGAGAGTGATCTTCTCGCAGAGCTCGACATTCCAGCAAGTGGCATCTCGCGTTCCGAAAGCCGTATGACGCTTCCTAAAGGAAGATTCACGCTTCCCCTCCCTGACGACCACGATGACCCTGCTACCGCGGTGATGTTGCATTACTCGGCCCAGATCCATCTCCGCAAAGTCCTCAATCGAGTACACACCGACCTTTACAAGGTCGAAAAGCAAGGCCAGAGACGGTGGTCATCAACCGTCCAAGAAGCTCTAAGCATGAACCTTGACCTCTGGCGCACAAGTCTACCAGTCAGTATGTTGTGGAGAGATTCGGACCCACCATCCAACGAAATCAACGCTGCTCGCATGCGTGCCAAGTATTACGGTGCGCGGTATATCATCCACCGACCTCTCCTCTACCATGCCCTGCACTATGGCCATACTGGTGCCCGCATAGGTCCCATTGGTCAAACTACCAAGGTAGACTCGCCCACCTCAACACAACAAATGTCTCCCTCTATGCTGCACTCAAACCGGGCGCCCAACATGTCCCGAATGTCCAGTGACATGGGTTCAAGTTCCTCCCTCGGTCACACCTGGGTTCCTCCCAAGGTCGCACTCCGGGACCTTCCAGCAAAGCTTCGCCGCGCCTGTAAAGTCTGCATCGACTCTGCGATTCTGAGTACGGAGGCTTTCGATGGTGTTGGTGGGCATCGGTTGGTGGTAACCAATATCTTTGGCACAGCCCACGCGTAAGTACCCACCCTGTCTTGAATTGTGGAACAACTACTAATCCCTTTCCCAGTCAATTCGGCAACATGCTCGTCCTCTCCGCCACCTACATGTCCAGCCTGAGGGAACTGGTCGACACAGAAATCCTCGACCGCCTCCTCAGACGGACAATATGCTTCCTCGCCCAAAACGAAAACATCTCTCCCACCCTCCGCGCCGATGCCCGTATCCTTACTGAGATTTATCACAAGATCTTCGACAAAGAGCCTGATCTGAGGAATCTCCCGCCTGGTATTAACGTAAACTACCGTTGATCCTCTACGAATTTGCATACGCCAGTGCCTATGCATCTACATCTAGCGTGCGAGCCCTTCTCTCCTTTCTTTTGAACTTACAGGGTCCGTTTTTGCGGTCCCGTGTCCGACCTCCCTGTTCTCTATTCTCCTTATGAAAGCATCATGCATGTCCCTCTCACTTAAGCCTTTTGTTTTTTCTTCTCCTCCAGCTCGTTTATCTGTCTGTGTTATCTTACATTTTGCACTATACTCTTACTCTCTTCGATGATTCCCCACCTTACCCAATTCAACACTCGTGTATCTGTGACCGCATTCGGATCCAGATAAAACCAGGCCTTTTTTTTTATATTTTTTTATTTTTTTATTTTTATTTTTTTTTTCATAACCTTTTTCATTTCTTTTTATTCTTTTAGGGGATCTAGGTGTTGAATGGGGTGGACTACCTATTTATCCTGGTGATGATTGGAGTCAACTTGGACTTGATTTGGGCTTGGATTAACTTATACCTTGACACTGCTGTGTTTGTTTCTTTGGCTTTGGATATAAGCATATCAACTCCGATTGGATTATCACTACGGAGTTCCATAGGGAGTTCAGTCCAGCGTTGCTACGCATACATTGCATCGAATATTTTTTTCGTCTATTTCATGAATGTTCTTCCAATCTACCGACTTGTGTGATTTGATATGTGGGATCAGATTTGGATATTGATATTGATTTGGATATGGTTGTTCCTACTACTCCTTATATGGTGGGGCTTACATTTATGTCCTTTGTTGGTGGCTGGTTGGCGTTGATACCCCCCGCCTCAATGACAATACCGGCGCATTTGAGGTTGTATTTTTTTTTTTTTGGTGTGGATTGTTTATATTTGATAGGTGCGCAACAGGGACTCATACAAATTGAATGTCTTGAACCAACATCACAGCTGACCAGGTCTGTGTACTGTATCAACACCACAATAGCGGTGAGCGCGGGGCTGAATGCTGTGGATATCGAGCGGGCCAGACACTTTTCAAGATATGAACCCAAAACTTGGATAAAGCGACGATCAAGTATGCATAAATCTACAACCTTACAGTACATGTGTATCATGCCCGACACAAGCCAGCTGTCAACTGCATGCGAACCTCGGCTTCCCCGCATTTTGCATGTAGATCCGGAGTATCCATGTCAGCTGATGCGTGAAACATGTCCTCAGTCTCATCTCTCTTTCGATATCAACTCCACATCTTAAATTCAAGGCATTAATTCATCCAATCTAGCAATATGGCACAGGCAAAGCCCTGGCTTTCGAGAGAAGGTACAGTCTCTTGACACCCCCTGAGACTCTTGTATCCGACAACTAACAATCAACCCTAGGCTTCACAGCAGACGTGCTAGGAAACATTATCTCCGAAACTCTCCTAGACCCCTGGAAGATGCTCCCCCTCCTCGTCCTATCGAAATACACAGCCAAAGGCCGTGACCTCAGCGCAACCCGCCCAAAATTCCAAAAAGCCCTCCAAGTCTTAACAACCATATCCCTCCTCTCAACTCTACGAATATACCTCGACCACCGCATTCTAAACAACAGCCAAAAAGACCCCTACAACTGGAACAAAGAAGTAATAATCCTAACAGGCGGCAGCGCAGGCATAGGCCGCCAAATCGCCCAACTTCTCGGATCAAAAGATATAAAAGTCGCCATCCTAGACATAACCCCGCCAGACACAACCACCAACCCGCTCCCAAACAGCGTCCGCTTCTACCCATGCGACATAACAAACCCAACAACAATCGCAACAACAGCAACGACAATCCGCACAACCCTAGGCCGCCCCACAATCCTAATAAACAACGCCGGAATCTGCGCCGCAAAAACAATCCTCTCCACCACCCCCGAACAAACCCGTCACACGTTCGACGTCAACACTCTATCCCACTACTATCTCGCGCAGGAATTCCTGCCGGATATGATCAACAGCAACCACGGGATGGTCGTGACAGTCGCGTCGCTGGCGGGGTACGCCGTGACACCGAATATGGTAGATTACTCCGCTTCCAAGGCGGCGGCGATTGCGTTCCATGAGGGGCTTGCTGCGGAATTGGTTACGCGGTATCAGGCTCCAAGGGTGCGTACTGTGCTTGTTACGCAGGGGTTTACGAAGACGGCGTTGATTAGGGATCTCACGCCTGAGGATACTTGGTTTAATCCGTTGCTTGCTCCGGAGACGGTTGCTGAGCGGGTTGTTGGGCAGGTGCTTAAGGGGGAGAGTGGGCATGTTCTTGTTCCGGGGTCTGCGGGCTGGGTTTCTAAGAGACTGAGGGGGATGCCTGGGTGGTTTCAGCATCTTTTAAGGTGTCGGTTGGAGAGGTTGATGAGGGCTCAGTGAGTGGGGTTGGGGTGGGTTTATTTGGACTTGATATGGGTGTTTATGTATTGGATTGGACTAATTTTGATAGGATTATGGTTATTCAAGGGATATTTGGCTTCATATGGATATTTGAGCTTAATGGGACAGTGGCATTAACAGAAATGTTGAGGGTCATTAGACCTCTTTACGCGCAGCGGTTACAGACGGACTTGTTCAAGCCCCGATATATGTAGCGACCCTGGAATACGTCAACTCGCACAAAGAACCAATCTCCGTTGCAGGAGGAGGTTAACTCTTGTCCAGTCCAGTGGGGCTGGGTCAGCCATTTTTCCCGAAGAGGTCCCATACACTAATGATGTCATCAACGTCATAGTATGGGATCGAAGTATATATAGCCAAGACATTTCTGGGCACTGAACTAGCCACAAATTCATTCTACAAACCCCAACTACAATGTCTTTCACCCATAAAAAACCCGAGGTTCTCTCCTCAGAAAACACCGGGCCCCAAGTACCCAAGCAAGAGAGCACATCCCAGAGTCTTTCCCAACGTGTTTCCCAGCCTGAGAACTCCGAGAACAGGGACTATGCAGTGAATACAGGGGGTGCCGAGAACCAAGATAATGCCGAGTACCAAGAGAAGGCCGAGAAGACCAAGGACCAAGGCCGTCGCGGCACTGCTGCGGTCATGGAGGATCACCACGTCAGCAGAGAAGCACTGAAGGGTCCTCAAGGTCAAGCGCCCCGTACAGCAGAAGAATTCGAGAAAGAAAGGAAGGCTGGCAAAGCCGCCGATGGATCGCGCTCTGGTAAGCTTTCACTAAGATATCTTGTTCGCTTTGGACAACGCTAATAAGACTATAGGTGGCTCGACTGAAGCTAAGGGCAGTGAGAACAGTGGCAAGCAAAGTACCATGGAGAAGATAAAGGAGAGGCTTGCGCACCCGTTACATGGCAAGAAATCTGAGTAGATATGATTCGCGCTGTATGATATCATCGGATTAGGAAAGGGAGGGTACGAGTGAACGATTTGTATATTTCCATGACCTTTCGCCTGAATATAATGAATAACTTTATTTAAATTCGCCCCTCAAATCGTGTGTATTGCCAATGTGCATTACTCCCGGTGGTATAGTTAATACCAAAGAAATCCATGAGGTTGGCTGATTGGTTCAATGTGGGTGGGAGCGGCACCAAGCGGACATCATTACCAAGAACTGCATCCTCGTCTACGAATCCGATGTCTTACCAGTTCTCATTTCTCGGTTCCATGGAATGATAACTGAGAATACGAAGGTGAGATGAACTTGGCTAATAACAGAAGCATCCCCGGACTTAAAAACAAGCCGTGCAATGCCCGTGGGTGAAGTGCCCCACACACGTCATGGAAGTGTCCATAGCCCAGGTTGATACTTAAATCCCACGTAACTTGTACGAGTTTCTACATCTACTGCTACCGCTCCTACTATGGCAACTAATCAATTCATCGGTTCAAGTGAGGGACCCGATCCAGGTCTAGAAACAGTGGATCTAGCAGACCATAAAGGCGAAACCTCCGGGAATAACAAGATAGAGCTAACACAGTCTGCTGGCTACGATGGCTTGGGATACTGCTATCCCACTTGGAGAAAATGGCAAATCCTCTGCGTGATGTTTTGTATCCAAATATCTATCAACCTGAACGCAAGTCTCTACGCAAACGGTGTCGCCGCGATCTCCAAGGAGCACAATGTGAGCGAACAAGTTGCGAGAATCCCCCAGATGACCTTTCTTTGCGCCTATGCCTTCGGATGCGAACTGTGGGCCCCTTGGAGTGAAGAACTGGGACGGTGGCCAACTCAACAACTCAGCCTCTTCCTCGTTAACATATGGCAATTACCATGCGCTCTTGCTCCCAATTTTGCGACTTATATCGTGGTTCGCTTGCTTGGCGGGTTGAGTACAGCGGGGGGTCGGTAACACTAGGAGTTATCGCAGATATGTGGGAGCCCGATGACCAGGAATACGCCGTCGCTTTCCTCGTGCTGTCATCTGTCGGAGGCTCCGTTGTCGGAGCTGTCGTTGGTGGGTTTGTGGAAGACCGTCATCCATTGGCCTGGATCTTCTGGGTTCAACTCCTTGCTGGCGGCTGTGTTCAGATCATGCATTTCTTCCTGGTGCCGGAAACGCGAGCTACCATACTGCTCGACAGGATAGCGAAGAAGAGACGCAAGGATGGACCAGGAAATGTCAATATCTGGGGCCCACACGAAATTCACGGGTATTCGCTCTCTCCACGAGATATCTGGAGAGTATGGAAACGCCCATTCGTGATGCTCCTCACTGAGCCCATTGTTATGTGGCTTTCGCTACTGAGCGGGTTCAGTGATTCTTTGATCTTTACCTTTCTTCAAGGATTTCAACCGGTCTTTAAACAGTGGGGCTTTGGGACTATTCAAATCAGTCTTGCATTTATACCGTCAGTGGAACCCTATGTTCTTTTTGGAGGCGCATACTAAACGCTTATTTTATAGGCTGATCGTTGGTTATTTCCTCGCATACCTCTCATTCCTACCCTCCATCCACATGTTCAGACAAAGACGACGCAAGAATGGCTCCGACTCTGTTTCTCCAGAAGCGCGATTGTGGTGGCTACTCTATGGTGAGTCAAGACGTCCAATCACGAAGGCAATCTGTCTGTTCTTACAAAAATGTATGATGGTCAGTCATACCCTCTCTTCCAATTGGCCTATTTGGCTTTGCATGGACGACTCTGGGCCCATCATATGTCCCTTGGATCGCGCCTATGATTTTCACCGCGGTAATCGGAATTGCTAATGTGAGCTCCCGATCCAATGCACAACACGGAAAGGCCTTCTGATGTCGCACAGTATTCCATCTATCAATCTTCCATTGACTACACGATTGCTGCATACGGAGAATACGCAGCATCTGCTACAGGAGGCAACGACTTCGCTCGCGACTTTCTTGCAGGAATTGCAGCTATGTATTCTACACCGATGTTCGAGAACATTGGCCACACATTTCCGTATGCGTATGCGTCCACAATCCTTGCTGTTGTCTCGATTTTTGTTACGACACCGATCTACTTCTTTTACCACAAAGGTCGTCAGATTCGCGAGCGGTCACCGTTTGCAATGCAGATGATGGAGGAGAATAAACAACGGCGACTTTCTCAGGCTGGTAGGGGTGAAAAGATGGGGGACCGTAGTAGTCATGTGGAAGATTCCCAGGTAGGCGCTTAGTTTACACATTGAATAAATTTAGCCTTTTGTGTTTGATGTGGGCGAGTAGACTGTGAAGGAGATAATTTCCGATGTTGCGGCGTTGTGCCTGATCTGCACCAATCTCTACTAATATATGTTTTCTACATCATTAACAATCTACCATGGTCTAATATTGCGCTTCCACAGCTGAGAGGAAACTAGAGGTAAGTTTGGTCGACAAAAAGATGTTAAAAGATGTTAAGGTGTGAGGTCATGATGAATCAATCAAATAGGCCTACAACGTCACCTGGCATATGCATTCCAAAGTTATATTTCTTCAGCAAGGAAGACATCTTTGGAACATCTCGCGTTCTTCTTCACTTGTAATCAAGCTATTATTCTATCTCTTCAACAGGGCAGGAATCAGTTGATGCAATGCTGAACCATATAGCGATCTATCCGAAGGGAATTTCGGCCAGGATGACCCGCCCAAGACTTCTACTGCCTCATCAAACATATCTTCGAAAGCTTGACACCGTTCGACCACGACCAGCCCTCGAAAGTCTGCCGTACTCGACTGGTGGTTATGGCGATGACGATAACAAGGGTGATCCTCAAGACAAGAATCCGGCCTCCCAAGGTGTGAGTCCTCGAACTCGGGAGCTGGAGCACCCAGGACCCTCACCACCGGATACGAGATCAGCAGAGTCGAAGTCTTCCGACGCCTCGAAGCCATCTTCCTCCAAACCAACAAAGGGGGAAGAGAATATCCCTCGATCGTCGAAAGAAGAACTGAACAACGAAAAGAAAAGACAAGGTAAACAAGGTTGAGCGGTTGAGTCTGATGGACAAGGTTGTGCTGGGAAAGTTGTCGTATACTGCAAAACGATTCGAATAGGTTCTTCAAGTAACGTTAACGATATGGATCCTACTGTAGTCCTGTTACATGTAAAAGAGTAGATGAAATCTGTTAAAAAGTGGAATCAAGGTTGAGCACCTGGTTAATTTTGCCGCATTTACCCTTTCACTTTCATTCTCCCATTCTCCCATTTTAAGATCCGATAAGTTACAGTGCCAGAGACACAGAACACAGAATCTGAGGATCATGTATAGACCCGTGGAGCCTCAGGTGTCAAATCGCAAACATGGCTGGCTGGACCCGACGCTCCACAGTGAGATTTCAACCGTGGTTCAGTACGATGATATCAACTCCATTCAAGTGTAGCTACAGTATGTTCTTGTAGTGATACCGACACATATCTCTAGGATATGCATCTCTCTATGTCCGAATAGATATATATATGCGAAAATTTAGTAAAGTAATGCCCGATCTCGAGTGACGAAGTTCCCAGCCCCGTGGCACGTGCACGATGCTTCACCGCGAGTTTGATTCGCTCCACTCGTTGCACCGGACAGCTCATCAAGGCAAACGAAATGAGTGATTCACATTTTTCACATTCGTGCATTGATGCTTGACATACCCGACATACTCGACCTTTCATTGAGCGAAAGTTCTGAAGTATTGGAGCACTGGAGTACTAGAGCAAGGCTGGAAACGATCGGGAGGATAAGCGGTTAAGTCCCGCCGATCCACGGTTCAGCTTGTTTACAAACAAACCCATAACAACCAGAGGCTGGGGATCTGACAACTTTCCTTCCCCATACTCCTACATTCCTCATTCCCTTCCCACATGGTGGATTCCTGAGGGCCTAATTAATTGCCCACCATGTTCAAGGCTCTGATGGGCAGTCGGTCATCGTCGTCCACCGACGTGCGCTCCAAGAGCCGGCGCAAGACCGACAACTCCGACGCCAAATCGACCTCAAGTCGCAAATCCTCACGGGGTGACGACCGTGACCGCGGCCTGGGTGATTTGTCCTCGTACTCACCATCGGGCTCCCGCAGTAAGCGTGGGCCGTCTAGCATAGCCGGCGACTCCATCGCTTCCAGCTATGTGACCGCAGAACCGGAAGCCATTGATGATTCCGGTCGCTATATCATTGAGCGCACCCCCAAACGCAGAGACAGTGACCGGGATAGCAAGAGTTCTCGCCGCCGCGAACGCGACCGATCCGTGAGTCCAGATCGGGAGAGGAGAAGAAGCCGACGGGCGACGGAAGATACTCTGGATGATGACTTGGATCTGGAGCGGGAGCGCGACCGCCGTGAGCGTCGTCGCACCCAGTCTGGGGACCCTTATGTGCCTCCGGTCTCTATGAGCATGCCGCCTAGCGCCCCCGCCGTACAGTTTGCCACCGACATTGCGGCACCAGGCTTCTCACAGTTTCCCATGCAATATGACACTGGCATGCCTCCTACCGGCCATTCACCAGAGCATGAGGTGCCTTATGATCCTCATGTCCAGCAACAATTCCCGGGTCAATTCCCAGAGGGTGTTGCGCAGCCGTACCTGCCGATGAATCCTGCCGGCGCTGCGGCAGACTACTACGGTGACCAAGGTCAGTCTGTAGAGATGCAGCCCGGTGTTCGCCCGGCGCCTCCATCTGTGCTCCCCAACACTCAAGCACACTTGATGGCCGCATCTCCCACGGCCAATCCTCCCCCAGAGCCCAGTAGCATGGGTCAGACTGGTGCGGCGGCGGCTTATTTTGAGGATGATTTCCATGTCCCTGCGCAACCCGCGAAGCCTCCGTCGGCGTCTTCATCCAGGCCTCCCAAACCCTCGAATCCTTCGAAACCTAGCAAGCCTTCTTCATCGAGCGTGCTTCCTGCTGCAGCTGTTGGAGCCGCTACCTATGGGATTAGTGGCATGATGTCTCACTCTCACAACGATCAACACTCTTCGTCTGAGGTGCATCACTCTAGCTCTTACAACCAGCCAATGGCCCAACCTATGAGCCAACCTATGAGCCAGCCAATGACCCAGCCGATGGCAAGCAGCAGCCACAAGCCTACACACAAGCCTCCTCACTCGCACAGCTTCAGCGAAGGAGTCGGCCTCGCAGCTGCTGGTGGTGCGGCTGGATACATGATGGGTCACCATCATCACTCCTCGAGCCCGGAGCACGCTTCGCAATACAGCTTCCAGAACTACGAGGGCTCGTCTCAAGCTGGTATCCCACCATATGCCCCCGGTTATCCCAACCACAACCACAACCACGCCCTATATGCTGCAGGTGCAGCAGGATACGCTTCCAATGCTGCTCATAACCCCGGATTCTATCCTCATGGCCCCGGTGCGCTTGCTCTCCAAGAGCGCCAACGTGGGCCCCTCGGACGGTTCGTTGATTTCTGGCGGGATCCCGAGGCCGTTGGAAGATTCGAGGACTACACGGAGACAATTGGCGTTTGCAAGTACTGTTTCCAGCCCGGAACGAGCTCCCTGGATGCACCTCGCAAGCATCACTATGGCAGACGTCGCCGGCACTCCGCTGATCGACACAGCAGTGCCAGCTCGTCTAGAGTGAGCAAGGTCAGCCGTTACCAGTCATCTGAAGACGAAGGCCGCCGACGTAACAAGTCCAAGAAGTCCTCGTCATGGCTGCCTGGCATGCTGGCTGGCTATGCGACCAAGTCACTCTTCTCGAACAAGGAGTTTGATGATTCGTACAGCATCCGCTCTGGCCGAGTAGCTTCCTCTCATGACGAAGATGACCGCAGGAGCTACACTTCTCGTGGCGTGACTCGCCGTTCTGGTCGCAGTCCCCAGAGAGATTACCAATCGGACAGTAAACGCCCATCCGGATACTCGAGACGGACACGCTCCCGATCCCGTTCTTCATCCCGTTCTGAGCGCCATTCATTCTTGAAGGAGGCTGCCCTGGGTGCTGCAGTTGGTGGAGCTGCGTTGGCTGTTACCAAGTCGCGTAACCGCTCCCGCAGCCGGTCTCCTGGAAGAGATCAACGTCGCAAGGATTCATCCTCTTCATCGTCCTTTGTCAACGTCTCTCGCCCCTCGAAGAAGTCTGTCGCCGGTGGTATCGGCTCTTTCTTCACTTCCTCATCGGAGAACCGGAAGAAGCGTCAGAGCAAGAAGCGCAGTGGTTTCTTCTCCTTCAAAGGTGGTTCGTCATCTTCTTCGCTTGATAACGATCTTGCCTTTGGAGATGGGTTTTCCAAGAAGTCTTCTAAGCTCAAGAAGAAGGACAAGAAGGGCAAAGATGTCGATGCCGCTTTGGTAGGACTTGGTGCTACTGCAGCTCGCCTGGCTGGCTCCTCGCCTAATGGTCCTAGCCGCAGTGCAGGCCAGATATACACCAAATCCCGTCATTCAAACTACGCTTCCTCTGCCAACGACGACGAGTGGATCGATGAATCCGAGGACCAGTCTGCCTCAAGTGTCAGCTCCGCGCTAGCATTCGGAGCAAGTAGCGCTGATTCATCCTCCGACTCAAGCAGTCGTTGGGGCTGGCGATGGGGCAGCAAGAAGGACAAAAAGAAGAAAGACAAGAAGTCCAGTCCCACCAACGCTGCACTCGCAATTGGTGCTGGTGCTCTCGGAGCCGCTGCCATTTCTTCTGCTCGTCACCGTGATAGCGAGCCCCCAAGCAGCTCTGGCAGTCTCCAGCAAGTCTATCCGATGCCCACTTCTGACCCATCTCGCTTCGATGTTGCCAAGATGTCTCCTTCTGTGTCTGGTGGCCACCCGGCCCTCGTCCGTCCTGGACCTATTCCCCTCCAGCAGCCGCAGCCTGTCACCCCTGTCTCGCAAGCCGTGTACACTACCCAAGGAGGTCTGCCAGGATCGACCCCTGCCTACAGTGCACCAGCTGTTCCTCCTGCCTTTGCCGCGAACGGATTTGGACCACATGACGCTCAGCTCCACGACTCTCGGGATGCCATATGGGCCCCCGAAGTTCCACAATCCGAAGGTCGCAGACCCCATCGACGCAGCGACTCCTTCCCTGTTTTCCCTACTCAGGAAACTGCTTCTGGCTTGAAGCGCCGGTCAACCACCAAGGACCAGGCTTCCGTTCAATTCAACTTGACGGAGGAGCAAGCAGAAAGGGAACGCCGCCTTGATCGCCGTGACCGGAACTCCCGAGATGATTTTGTCGACCCGCAACCTCTTCAATTGCTCGATAGAGAGGACGAAGATCGCCAGGAGATCGAACGTCTTGTTCGTCGCCGCAGGGAGCGAGAGGAAGAAGATCGCCTGGAGGCTGAACGTCTTGACCGTCGTCGCAAGGAGCGCGAGGATGAGAAGCGCCAATACACCACTGAAAGGGAGAAGGACTCCTCAGCTTGGGTTGGAGTAGCCGCTGCTGGAGCTCTTGGCGCTGCCGCTGCTAGTACCGTTCTTTCTCGCAAGACGGACGACGATGAAGCCTCTGAAGCCAGCCTGCGACGCAATGAACGCCGGGAGAAACGCCGTGCTGAGCGTCGCCGTGATGGTGACATTGATGCCGAGTCTTCACTTGTGTCAAGGTTCGAGCCTGTTCAGCCTATTGAAGAAGCGCCAGCGGTGGAACACCGCGAAGAGAAGAAGCCACGCTCTCCTCGCCGTGCTTCTCCTCGCCAACCCCAAGTTTACGAAGATTACGCAGAGTTCTTCGCTCCCGAAGAGCTACGACACAGCCCTGATGACCAGAAGCGTAGCGGCTCTGGCGGTATGCCCACGATTGTGGAAATTGAGCCCGCCAGTGAGCGCCGTGCTCGCGACGAAATTCCACGCGAAGAGCCGGACTATTCGCACGAGCCTTACAAAAATGTTGACCACCTCCCATGGCCAGTTCCCCGCCTCAACTTCATTGAGCCGACTCCTCCCCAGAGCATAAATGGTGGATCCGTTCGCGATGCTACTTCCCCCATTGAACCACCTGTAGATACATCATCCTATGATACCAAGCCTCGAGAACGATCAACCACTGGCTCCCGCGTCTCCTGGGGCGACGACAAGACCCATGAATACGAGATCCCATCTTCTTCCGAAAAGGATCCCCTGGAGCATGACGTCTCTCCTTATGAGGAGGTCTCTCCCAAGGATGTCCCACTGCCTGTGTCTGAGATCAGTTCCACCAGGGAGATTGCTAGCAAGCCCGAATACGGAAACGACATCGAATTCGCCGCCACCGTTGCTGCCGCGACCGCCGCTGCTGGATTTGATCCCGCTATGATTACCGATGACCCATCCTACCATACCCGCACTTCTCCCCCTGGATCAGAGGATGAAGGACGTTTCAATTCATCCTGGGTGACATCAGCCCGCAAGGAGCCCCACGGCTTCGTTCAAGGTGAAATCGAAGAAGTTGGACCCAAGACAATTAAGGATGTGTCGTCTTCCAAGCATATCACCGACAAGGATGAACTTTTTTCGACGAACCAGAGTCCTTCTCGAAGAATAACGATATTTCCTTGGGACGCCGTGACAAGTCCTCGATTGCCCAGGAGGTTCTTGAGCGGTTGAACGGCAAGCGTGATAAGCAAGATCAACCTAGTTCTCCGGAGCGTGATGTTGATATTGATGCCTTTTCCATGCCTGGTGGCTTTGATGCTGCTGATTCGAAAGACCTCGTTAATTCCCGTGATGAAAGATCTGTCTTCTCTGCCCCTGGCCCTGTTACTCAAGTACCCGAGTCGCCGACTCAGTCCAAGAAATCCAAGTCCAAGAAGAAGTCTAGAAAGAGTGTTGATGCCTTCGAGATTGAGACAAAGGAACGTGAACCGGAACCAGAACCAGTGCGTCAGTCTGAGCGGGTGCCAGAGTCTGTGCGTGAGCCCGAGCCCGAGATCATCGAGGTTCAAGACGAAAACCGCTCTATTGTTTCTGCCCCCGCTACCAAAGACGAGAAATCCAAGTCTAGAAGATCCAAACGCAGCGGTGATGACTTCGATATCGCCCCATTGCAGGACGTTACTGAGTCTCGCGATGACACCCGCTCTGTCTTCTCTGTGCCTGTCACGAAGGATGAAACATCCAAATCACGGAAGTCTCGAGGCAGCGGTGATGATTTCGACATCTACAGATCGCGAGAAGTGCCTGACTCCGGAGAGCCTTCTCCCCCTGTCACTGCTGCTCCCGTATCCAAAGATTACGGGTCTCCCAGATCCAAGACATCCAGACGAAGCGGCGATGACTTAGAAATTGTCTCATCCCGAGATATTTCCGAGTCTCGTGATGATGGATCTGTCTTCTCTTCCCCTGCCACCAAGGATGAGACCAGCAAGTCTGGGAGATCTAGACGAAGTGGTGACGACTTTGAAATTTCTCGTTCGCGCGATGCGGCTGAGTCTCGGGATGATACTCGCTCTGTGTTCTCTGTTCCGGCTACCAAGGATGAGACCAGCAAGTCAACGCGGTCTCGACGCAGCGGCGATGACTTTGACATTTTCCGCTCTCGCGACCCATCTGAATCTCGTTCCGTTACGTCGGAGTCGGCTAGACATAGGACATCGCGCCGAAGCGGCGACGATTACGTCTCCCGATCACGCGACGTTTCTGAGTCCCGGTCTGTTGCTTCTGAGTCTTCTAGACACAGAAAGTCTCGCAGAAGTGGTGATGACTTTGATCCTCCCCGTGACACTGAAACCCCTCCGCCCGAAGACGGAGAGGACGGCGAGGAGAAGAAGAAACGCCGGAAGCGCCACTCCAGACATGGCAGCGACACATTCTCCATTGATGACGATGCTCGTTCTGCTGTCACAGATCTTGCGGACGACAGGTCTGAGCGCCGCAAGCACCGTCATCGCTCCTCGCGCGACAGCAACTTCGATGATACTGCCTCTGTAACGTCTTCTCCTGCAAGGATTAGCGAGTCCCGCGAGAGACGTAAGGCCAAGGATGAAGAAAAGGAGAAGAAGCCGGGTGGCTTCTTGAGAAGCATCTTTGGCTCGCAGGTCTCAGCTCCCGCGGAGCGTACCCGCTCATCCTCGCTGGATAAGCGTTCCTCCCGCGAAGCCCTGTCTGAGGCTGGTGTCGATGATGAGCGCCGTCGCCGCAAGAAGCGTTCCTCTAAACACCGCAGCTCCAGCAACGGAGATGAACTGGAAGATGCGTCTGACAAGGAGAAGGATGCTGAGGATGGCACGAATCTGGAGGATTACAGGTCTAGTAGACAGCGCAAGGAAGAGCGACGTCGGCATCGGTACGAGGAAATTGTGGATTCAGGACGGAAACGGGATTCTGAGAAGGTATAGCATCTGAAATTTCTTTTTGTTGTTACTCATGTTGTCATTTTTATTGTACACATTCATGTGCCATATAGTTACCCTTTTTCGCTGGCGATGGCTTCTGTCACACCGGCTTTGCACAAAAACCACAAGACCCGAACAAAAAAGAAATGTACTAAGCTTTTACTGGTATTACTCCATGTGCAGGACCATAATGACGACTACGACAATCAATCTTTTTTAAACGAGCGCCCCGAAACGCCAGCCGCGGCTGAGCGCGATGATGATGTACGTGGTGCTTCGGGGCTCCCAGCATCGGCAGCAGAAACTGCTCTCGGTGCAGCTGCAGGCCTAGGCTTAGGCGAGATTTTGCAGCAAAGACCCCGGAGCCGCTCGACGTCTCCTCCAAGCGCCGAGAAAGCCCTCGACCTCACGCCCAAGTCTCAGAGCAGACCTGCTTCACCTGAAACAAGCCGATCCCCCAACGCACGCCGCGGCTCCGTGGCCAAGTCAATCACCGAGTCTCCAACAGCCGTGCCTCTGCACTTCCGCCGCCCCCCAACATCACCGGGCCTTCCCCGCGCTGTCCCCGTCGAAGCGCCTAACGTTGAATCCCCCGGCTCACCAAGCCAACAGCGCCACCGCCGTCCTGGCTCAGTCGAGTTCCGCAATTCCCGCGAGATCAGGCCGCTGTGGTTAGTTGAGCGCCATAGCTCTGTCAAGGGCGAGGCTGAGCCTCAAGAGGGATTGCCCTCGCTCCCGTCCAGCAAAACCTCTTCCCGTGTCCCATCCATTGAAGACCTGAAGGCCCTCAATGACGATGATGCTGTTCGGACCTGGGAGCAGGTGGACCTGAGTCACTCGATTATGGAGAACCGTCGACCTACCGGTCTGACAATCGAAACCGATCACGCTAACGAGAACCATCATCGCGAGATTGATCTCCTCGACTCGCAGCAGGCTACTCCTACTGCTGAGCACTTCGAGAGTTCTAGCCACTCCGCTAAGAAGGAGAAGCTCAAATATGAGTTCCATTCTCCTTCTGAGCTTTTACGGAACCCTGACAACTTCGAGCCGTTGCCTGGCTCGCCTACTTTGGAGGCTCTTCCTTCTGCCGAGGGGTCAGTGATTGGTCCTAAGAACAAGGAGGTTGAGGAGAAACCTGCTGAGCAGGAGGCTTGGCTTGAGTCTGAAATTCCCACCTGGGAGAAGGAGCCCCTCCCTAGTGGTGGCGATGTTGCCAAGGCCGCTGGCTTCGCTGGTATAGTCGATGCAGCTGCCATCGCCGCCGTGAAGAAGAAGGAGAACCAACACTCCGCCGAACACGCAGAAGACTCTGAACCTCCCGCGCTGCCAGAAGCTGAAACGGAAGCTGCCGCCGCTGAGCCCAAGGTTCACGGCTTCGGCGATATCGTCGACGCAGCTGTTGCAACAGAAGTTGCTTCGCACGACAAGGCACCCGCCGACGAAGAGATCGGAGAACCGGGCACTGCAATCGAAGAGAATGCACCCGTCCAACTCGAGTCTACACAGCCAGTTGAGGCAGCAAAGGAGATAATAGAAGGACCCATCCCTGAACCGATAGAAGAGTCTGCTGGGCCTGCTGACACTGAGACTGCCGAAGAGACTGCCATGACTCCGGCTCAGAAGCGCAAGGCCAAGAAGAACAAGAAGAAGAATAAGAGTCAGGGTCAGAGTGTTGACTTTGTTCCTGAAGAGACTGCTCCTGTTGTTCAAGAGGATGCTTCTAAGGAGATTAAGCAAACGCCTGTTGCCGAGACGCCTGCTGTTCAAGATGCTCCCGTTGAGGTGGACACTACTCCGGTTGATCCGGAGGCCGTTGCTCCTGCGCAAAAAGATGTTCCTGAGACTGCTCAACCCGAAGCTGAAGCCGAGCCCGTTGAAGCGCCCCGCGAGATTGTGGCGGAGCCTGAGATCTCACCTGAGCCTGAAGTTCCTGCGCCCTCTGCGGATGAAGATGCTACCGCTCAGCAGCCCGCCGAAACTGAGCCCGCTGAAGCATCTCGCGACCTTGGACTTGATTCTTCTGCAGCTGTTGCTGAGACTTTCGAGCATGTTACTGCGCCAGAGCCTGAGGCCGAGCCCGAAGTTGCTTTGACGGCTGCCCAGAAGAAGAAGGCTAAGAAGGACAAGAAGAAGAAGAACAAGTCCAAGGACGCTTCTGCTGAAGAGCCTGCTGATGATGTGGCTACTTCTCAACCTCAGGATGAGGTTGTTGCTTCTACCAAGATACCCAAGCAAGAGGAGACTGTACCCAGCGCCGAAGAGCCTGTCCTACCAGCAGAGGGCTCGGACAAGAACATCGAGGAGCAGGAAGCCACAGAGCCTGTCTTCACCGATGCCAATGAGACTGCGGTCCCTGAGACTACGCAACCGGCAGGCGAGGAAGTATCTCGAAGCCTGCAAGACATCGATAGGCCAGTTGAAGAAGCAACCCTCGTAGCTTCGGAGGATCTCACCGCCCCTGCAGTCACCGAACCAACCAAAGAAGACTCAGAAGGCGAGGACAACTTTCAGGAAGCCGTTGAAGAGCAAGCCCCTCAGCCCGTCGAAGAGAAGGAGCCCGAGGTTGCACCGGAGCCCACAGCAGAGCTTGTGTCCGAGCCTGCTGCTGAGCCTGCCGCTGAGTCGGCCTCGGAAATTCCAGCCAACATGCCCGCAGAAGCCCCCGCAGAGCCCCAGGAGACAAAGGCTCAGAAAAAGAAGAACAAGAAGAAAAACCGCAAATCTGTCGCTGTCGAAGAGATCTCAGTTCCCACCGAGGAAGAGCCAACACCTGCCCCTGAGGGCGAAACCGAAGAGTTCAAATCTGCTTCGACCGAGCCTGCAGATACCCAGATTTCTGAAACTAGCGGTGAAGCCTTGCAAACTGATCCTGAACAACCTGCCAAGGGTCTCGAGCTGCCTTCTGAGACAGCCGCCAAAGAACCTGCTGCTGCACCACAGCAGCAGGATGTCGCTCCAGCTGAGTCTACCGCCGATGTTGCCCCTGCTCCAGTTGACATAGAGGGCCCTACAGGAAAGACTGCTCGTGAAATCGCCGAGCCAGCTGCCGTTGAGACTCAGCCTGAAGCCCAGCCTGAGACCGCCGCTGAACCTGAACCTGAATCTCAACCTCAACCCGAAGCTGAGGCAGAGGCCGAGGCCGAGCCCGAGGTTGCCTTGACTGCTGCGCAGAAGAAGAAGGCCAAGAAGGACAAGAAAAAGAAGAACAAGCAGAGCCAATCTTCTGTTCCTGATGGGGAACAGCCTGCTGAGTCTGCACCTACTGAGCCTTCTTCGCCGGCACCTGAGGCTGTACCTGCGGCCGAGCCTACTGCTAAGGAGGTCTCTTCGGTGCCAGAAGAGGTGTTGGCTGGTGTGGCGCCTCAAGATACTGAGAAGGGGGTGCACATTGAGTCTGAGCAGTCTGTTGAGCATGAGCAACCCGCCGAGCTCGAAAAGATTGTTGAGCCAGAGCAGCCTCAAGAAGAAGGAGCTCCCGCCTCCATCCTGGAGCCCACCGTAGAGGAGACAACCGCAGAGATTTCGAAGGAAGAGCCCGCAGAACAGGAGGAACAGGTCCAAGCAGAAGAAACCCCTGTCGAACCCGAGGTCCCCATGACTGCAGCCCAGAGAAAGAAGGCCAAGAAGGCCGCGAAAAAGAAACAGGAGGAAGAAGCGGCCCTCGCTGCTGCTTCTGACAATGCCAACCCTGCCGAGTCTGAGCCCGTACCCGAGGCTGAATCTACTGAGACTCCTGCTCCGGTGGAGTACCCCGCAGTGGTGGAAGATAAGCCTGCTGAGATTGAACAAGACGCTGCGCCTGCGGCTGAAATTGAGGCTCCTACCACCGAGGAAACACCCTTGCCAGCGGACGCTGAGGTCGCCGAGTCAAGCCAAGACCTCAAGCCCTCCACCGAGGATGTGCCCGCGGTAGCCGACGTCGAGCCTGCTGAGGCTAGTGCTGATGTTGTTCCTGCATCCGAGGAAGCTCCTGTCCCTGCTGATGTACCCCAATCTGAGGAGCCAAAGTCCGAAGATGCAACCCTAGCACCTGCTGAAGAAGCCACACCCGCAGCTGTTGAGACTGAAACTCCTCAAGAGCCAGAAGCACCAGCAGAGCCCGAGGTGCCAATGACTGCCGCCGAGAAGAAGAAAGCCAAGAAGAACAAGAAGAAGCAGCAGCAGCAAAAGCAGTCTGAGTCTGCTCCCGCAGAGGATGCTGCCCCTTTAGTCGAGGAGACAAAGGCCACCGAAGAAGCCACCGTCCCTGTGCCAACTCCGACTGAGGCAGCACCTGAAGTTGAAACCGAGACCACAGCCCAAGAGGAGCAAACCCAGGATACTCCTGCTCTCGACAAGGAAGCTCCGACAGAGTCGGTCTCCGATGAGACTGTTGCTGCTCCCGAACCCTCCGAAGAAGCTACCGATATTCAGGCTGTAGCTCAAGAGACTGCTCCAGAGGCCGCGGCCGAACCAGCTGCCCCTGTGGAAAATTTCCAGGAAGAGCAGAAAGCCGATGCTGCTTTGGAACAGCCTTCGGAGGAGAAGTCCACAGATGACAAGGAGCCGATCGCTGAGGAGACTCCAATCGCAGAATCTATCGAGGCTGCAGCACCAGAGGAGGCCGCCCTGACTCCAGCTCAGAAGCGAAAGGCTAAGAAGGACAAGAAAAAGAACAAGGGCCTCTCAGCTACCCCTGAAGAACAGCAGCCTGTACCCGCTGAAGAGGACTCAAAGCCTACGCCTGTGGAGGAAGAACCCACGCCTACTCCTGCCGAGGAGCGCGCGGAGCCTACCAGCGAACCACCCTCCACTGACAAAGAGGTTGAGCCCCCTGCCCCGACAGAGGAAGCGAGCCCCGAGGAGGCATCCCCAGAGACTTTGCAACAGGATGCCCCCGCCGATGCAGCCGCAGCTGAGGCCGCTGAAGACGCCGCGATGGCTCCAGCTCAAAAGCGCAAGTCCAAGAAAGACAAGAAGAAGCGACAGTCCCTTGCCGCTGAAGAGTTACAAGCTACGCCTATAGAGGAAGAGCCCAAGTCTGTGCCTGCTGAAAAAATGGTAGAGCCTACACCTCCGGCAGAGTCTACAGAGCCTGCGCCCCCCCAGGATGTTGAGCAACCTGCCAATGACAAGGAGATCGAATCTCCTACCGTGGTAGAGGAAGCGAAGCCTGAGGAATCGTTACCTGAGAACACCCAAAATGATGCCCCTCCCGATGAAGCGGCAATTGAGGCTGCTGAAGAAGCTGCGATGACACCCGCCCAAAAGCGGAAGGCCAAGAAAGACAAGAAGAAGCGCCAGTCTCTTGCCGTTGAGGAACATCAGCCCGTAGCCGCTGAGGAAGAGGTAAAGGACACGCCTGTTGAAGACGGTCTAAAGGGTGTGTCCACTGCAGAAGCCACGGAGGCTAATCCAGCAGAGACGACAGAGCTTGCGCCAGCTCAGGAGATTGAGCAGCCTACTCTTGAGAAAGATGCCGAACCCCCTGTTGTGACCGAAGAACTCCCTAATGCCGAGGAGCCTTCACCAGAGGAGAGCATTTCGCAAGATGCTCCTGCGGATACAGCAGCCGCCGAGGCTGCCGAAGAAGCTACCATGACTCCCGCTCAGAAGCGCAAGGCCAAGAAAGACAAGAAGAAGCGCCAGTCACTTGCTGCTGAAGAACAGCAGACTGCGCCGCCTGAGGAGCTACCTGCAGCTAGTGAGGAGGAGACCAAAGCTGCACCCGCCGAAGATGTGTCCGCCGAGCCTGCACCAAGCCAGGACAATGAGCAACCTGCTTTGGCTGAGGATGTTGAGGCTCTTGTGGCCACAGAAGAAGCGACAAAACCAGAGGAGCCCTCGCCAGAAGAAAGTACCCAGCAGGATTTCCCCGCTGACACCGCCACACCGGACGCTGTGGAGGAGGAAGCAATGACCCCCGCTCAAAAGCGCAAGGCCAAGAAAGACAAGAAAAAGAATCGAAAGTCTGTCGCTTGGGGTGATGAGGAAACTGCTTCGCAGGCCGACGACTCTAAGCGTGAACAGGACTCTCCTGTCCCCGAAGAAAAAACCGATTCGCAGGATCCTTCGGCCGAACCTACTGTCACTTCTGAAGATGCCGCCAAGGAACTTGCCGTTGCCGAAGAAGTGGCCGAAGCTGTCACTGACAAGGATGTCTCATTACTCGAGACCCCTGCGTCGGGCGAGCCAGAGAAGACAGAGGTGGTTGCTCCATCTGAAGAAGCCAAGGAGATTACTGAGCAGGAACCCTCTACCCCTGGAAAGCCCGAGGAGGAATCCAAGCCTGCGTCAGATCCTCAGTCACCCAGTGGACAAGATGCTGAAGCACAGGCCGAGGCTGGAATGACAGCAAAGGAGCGTCGCAAGGCAAAGAAGAACAAGAAGAAGGGCAAGTCTGTTGACTTGACCGACGACGCCCCCGTTGAAAAAGAGGCCGCACCCGAGGCTCCTGCTGAGACACCTGCCGATACGCCAGCAGAGCCAACACCGGGCCCCGAGGAGGAGAAGGGCGTCGATCCTGAGACCCCCAAGGCAGAGGAACCCGCGACAGTTGAGCCTGCAACCGAAGATGCTCCAAAGGAGGAGAACGCCGACCAGCATCCTGCCACCAAGACCACAACCGAGATCGAGCCAGTCCCATCACCAGCCGAGCCAGCGGAAGAGGTTGAAATGTCAGCCAAGGAGCGCCGCAAAGCAAAGAAGGCCAAGAAACGCCAGTCCAAGAATGTCGACGCCGATAATGACGCCTCTTCCGCGCCGCCAACCGAGCCTGGCACGCCCGGTGAACCTGCTGACAGCGTCGAAAAAGTCCTTACCTCCACGGACACCCCGGGACTCTCAGCCGTGACGGCAACCTCGCCTGCGGAACATGACGGTAAAGAACATCAGTCCCACGACATAGAAACTCACGCCGCGGCGAAAGAAATGGCTTCGACTGATGAATTCATGTCTTCGCAGGTAGAGCAGCCTCAGATAGAGAGTCCTTTTTTAGATTATCCTCCCCAGCCCGTGCTTGAGCGTTCAGTTAATTCCGGCGAGTTGGAGGAGGTACTTGCTCCGGAGCAGGATAACGAACCCCCTGCTATCCATGAGCCTGAACTATTGACAAAGGAGGAAGACCTTGAAGGTGAAGGTCAGAAGGAAGATGGTGAGAAGCCACAGGAGGAGTTGGTTGAACATGCACCTAGTGCAGGGGAGATGTCGTCTGTGCCGGAAGCAGACTATCTCTCTGGAGAGAAGGCTATTGAAGAGACGCCTGTGGATGTGCCGGAGGAAGTTGTCCCTGAGGCACAGACGGGGGAAGCTCCCGCGGAAGAGGAGACTTCAGAGACAGCTTTGTCGAAGAAGCAGAAAAAGAAAAACAAGAAAAAAAACAGAAAGCAAGAGGAGGACATAGTCGAGGAGGAAGCTCCAGCACCCGAGCTTGAAGCCGCTATCACAGAGGAAAAGGAACAGCCTGAAGCTGTGAATTTGGCCGAGTCTGGATCGGTACCGGAGCCAGAGGAGAAGACAGCAACCGAGCCTGAGCCTGTTGCGGAGACCGAAACAGTGTCAGCCTCCGAGGAGCAATCCACTGACCAGCCGAAGGATACCGAAGAACCTTCCGCGGTCAAGCCAATCGAGGCCGTTGAAGCTACCAATGAGCGCACTGTCCTGGAGGCTGAACCCGTTGCCCCTGGCAGTGAAGAACCTGAATCAGCACCTATCACCAAACCGAGCAAGAAAGACAAGAAGAAGCAGCGCCAATTGCTCCTTGCTCAGGAAGCTGAAGCTAAGCAGCAGCCTGAAGAACAGCCAGCTCCCGAGGCTAGTGAGGCTGCTGCCCCGGAATCTGATATTGCAACGGATGTTGCGACTGCCGATGAAAAGACGCAGGATGAACCTGTTGCTTACGCAGAGGAAATTACTGTGAAGCCTACTGATGTCACCGAGGAGACTGCTAAGGATATTGAGCCGTCACCCCTGGAGGCTGAAGGGCCAGTTCCAACTCAAGAGCCCGAAAGCGGAGAGCGCTCAATCGAACTTCCGTCAGACGATCTGAAGACAGAGGAGATCGTGCAAGAACCTGCCACCGAGACCGCAGCAGAGAACATGAGTGCTGAGAAACCCTCCGAACAAGCTTTGGCTGAGGCCGCCATTGAGCCCGAGCCTGAGGCGCCCACTACCTTCAAGAAATTGAGCAAGAAGGAGAGGAAGAAGGCCGCAGCCGCCGCCGCAGCCGCCGCCACTCTGCTCGAGGAGGAGAATAGCGACAAGGGATTGCCTGCAGCTGAAGAGCCATTATCCTCTGTGCCGCAAGCCCCAGAGGAGCCCACCGAACAACCAACTGGTGATCTGCAATCCACAGAAGCTCGCGATAAGCCCCAGCCCGAGCCAGAAAAGGACCTTGACGAGGCACAGGAACTGGCAGCTTTCGATCCAAAAGATGACGAACCTGCTGAGCAGCAGGCTGTCGAGGCTCCCGAAAACACGAAGCCTCTCGCGCCAGAGGTGAGCCCCGAGCAGCCCATAAAAGAGCCCACCGAAGAGCCAATTGTTGCTGAAACCATCTCTCGCAAACTGTCAAAGAAAGAGAAGAAAAAGGCCAAGAAGCAAGAACAGCAAGAACTGATCGAGTCGACTTCTCTTGCCGAGGAATCTGTTCCCGCTCCCGAGCCTGAAACAACAGAGGCTGTTCACGAAAAAAGCACCAAGGTGCTCTCTGCTCCGGAGCCGGAGTCTCTCGCTCAGGAGACCTCTCAGGAGGCCTCCCAGGAGACTCCTGTTGAGCTCGAGTCCGAGAGTATTGCATTGGAAGACAAGCAACCACTGGAGAGCGAGAAAGACCATGAGTTTGTCTCCCAGGATCTATCCAATGAGCCCGAGCCCGCAGAAGCCGTGGTCCAGGAACAGACAACCTTTGACCAGCCCGCTGCAGCTGAGGAAAAGAATGTTGAGGAGGACGTTGAAGTCGCTGGGCCTCCCACGCAAGAACTCGAAAAAGCAGCTGATCCCGAAGATCAGCCCGTGGGATCTGAAGTGACACCCGCTTTGTCCAAGAAGATGTCGAAGAAGGACAAGCGCAAGGCCAAGAAGAAGGGTGTTGCCGACGAGCCCAAAGAGATAGACAGCCAGCCAGCGGAAGCTGTGTTTGAGCCCGAAGCTCCACGCGAACTTGACTTTGCCGCAAACCCTACACTAGTTGCAGAGCGAGAGCTGCCGATTGATGCTCCATCTGCAACTGAAGAGCAACCCGCACCTGCACCCGAGGCTGAGTCTGAGACTGTACTTGGTCCTACGCAGGCTGAGCCAGAGCATGTTACCGAGGAAGAAACTTCTCTTTCACGCAAAGCTACCAAGAAGAAGGCGAAGAAGGCTAAAAAGACTAGCCAAGGATTGGATTTTGAGCCACAGACTGAGGTCCAGAATGAGACAGATCAAGCCGCCATCGCGCCGTTTGAAGATGACGCCTTCAAGCCTCGAGACACCGAGCTTGCGGATGCACCTGTCGAAAAGGCAAACCAGGAAGACGAAAACTGGCCCGCGATTGACTGGGAACATGCAAAAGGTGAACATGCGCAGCAATTTCGGGACACAATTCCTGAGCCTGAGTCCGAGCCTGTGATCCCATCAAACCCCGAGACTATTGGGGAATTTGAGGATTCTACAACCCCCAAAGATCTGCAGGGACCTACAGAACCTGCCGAAGAAGACGCTCGGTCTGCGCCGCTGAGCAAGAAAGACAAGAAGAAGGCCAATAAGAACAAGAAGCAATCGCAGCAAGCAGATCTTGAGGAATCTGAACCCTTGCCTCTGATCTCCTATGACAAAGGCGTTCAGGGAACCACCCCCGAAAGTCTACAAGAACCTACAGAGACCAAGGAGATCGAACCCCCCGTCCGGACAACTACACCTGGGGGTTCTAAGATTGCCAATCTGTTCCCCGGATTGGAGCGCGGTGGATTCAAGCGGCCAACTCTGGACAAGCAAATACCGTCGCTAAAAGATAGTGCTGAGGAAGAGACAACAGCGGGAGCCAGTCGCGGCATTGCTATCCCTGTCTTGGAAGCACCCAGACCGACGACTGAAGTCACAGAGGTTGCCAAAAATACCAGTGGCGAACTACCCAGCAGTCTCCAAAGGCAAATCGAATCTTCAATCTCGCATGACGAGCCCCTAGCCGAAGTTACTACAGCTACGGAAGGACAATCAAGGGAGCTAGACTTCTCGGTGCATGGCGAGAAGTCCTTGGATGCGCCATTCTCGCTGCCAGAGCCCTCTAACGAGCCGTCTTCTCCTGCCAAGAACCTCGTATCTCAGGTGGCAGCCGGTGAAGACCTGTCTGGACTGCGTCGTTCACCATCAATCCATGGACGACACGAAAAGACGCCTCGGACGTGGAGCTTGGATGAGCCCTCTGTACCAGCTCTCGCTCCATCCCCACCTCGGTCGCTCTTCGGCCCTGACGATGTCTACACTCGACCCCGTACACCGCTTGATACAATCGCGGAACAAGAACCAAGGGATGGCCATGGAGCAACCACGGGTCGCCGCGGGACGCCCCGTCTGGAGATCAAACCCGAACATGTTCTTCCACGACCTCAAACTCCTGTTCGCAAGTTCACAGATACTGCCTTTGACCGGGAGTCGTGGCCTACGCCCGAAAACGAGAGCCGAAAGGGCTCCCGGGAAGATCTGAAACGCGAAATTACAAAAACGCCCGAGCAGGTCTTAAAGCCCAGCACCAGCAGCGGTAAGCTGCGTCGGACAAATCGCAGCACTAGCGGCGATCTGCGGGCGGCTAGTCTTGCAGGTTCCCAGCCTTCGGACCTTGATCAGCTTCCCTCTTCTTCCTCTTACGACCCCGTCACTGACAAGGGCAAACGTCCGGTGCGCAATATGTCGGATGTCTATGTGAGTAATTAATTAATGTTTTGTTTTGTTTATTTACTAATTTTTCTAGGAGGGATGGGGTGAGACTCCCAGCTCCCCACGGTCGCCCAGCCGACCGCCTAGTGTCCGTCGTCGCCGCAGCATGCAACACTTGCAAGATATCGAAACCCGTCTCGACCAACTCATTTCTGAAAACCGTCTACTCATCGCTGCCCGCGATGAAGCCGAATACAACTTAAAACACTCTAGCGTCGCTCGCCGAAAGAGCGACCGGGCACTCAACACCCGCGATAGCGACCTGCGCGACAAGGAAGCCGAAGTGGAACAATTGAAGAGCTCGGTGGAGTGGCTGCAGAAGGAGACAACCCGTCTGTCCCAGGAGAATGAAGGGTTAGCAGCGTCCAATGCTGCCCTCGCCGCCGCCCACGCTGCCGAAGTGAACAATGTCCGCGAATCCTCCACGCGCGAACTCGAGGACCTACGGTCGCAACACACTCAGCTTTCGTCCCAGGTGGATGATCGAGTCCGACAAGAGATTGAAACAGCTCTTGCACAAAAAGACATTGAGTTGCGTCGTCTTCGCACCGAACTTGAGGAGACTCGCGACAAGGTCAAGGAGCTACAACAACAAATCTCAGCGTCAGTTCATGACAATGCTCTCGTCTTCCGAGACGAAGAATACTTCGACGCTGCCTGCCAGAAGCTCTGCGGCCACGTCCAATCTTGGGTGCTGCGCTTCTCCAAGCACAACGACAAACGTCGATGCCGCTCGCTCAGTGAGTTGCACGACGAGAAGATCGCAGACCGGTTCGACAACGCCCTTCTGGACGGTTCCGATCCGGATGCATACCTTTCCGACCGTGTTCGTCGCCGCGATGTCTTCATGTCGGTGATAATGACCATGGTCTGGGAATACGTTTTCACTCGCTACCTGTTTGGTATGGATCGCGAGCAACGTCAAAAGCTCAAGTCTCTTGAGAAACAACTGGGTGAAGTTGGCCCAAGCCGCGCTGTCCACCGCTGGCGAGCCACCACCCTTACCCTTCTTTCCCGGAGACCAGCCTTTGCCGCTCAGCGCGAGAGCGACACAGAGGCTGTCACCTTGGAGATCTTCAAGACCCTGTCCAAGGTCCTCCCTCCCCCCTCCCACGTTGAGTCGCAGCTCTTGGACAGCCTTCGCAAGATTATGCGAGTAGCAGTTAACCTGTCCCTGGAGATGCGCACTCAGCTGGCTGAGTTCATTATGCTCCCGCCCTTGCAGCCTGAGTACGATACCAATGGCGACCTTGCACGGCAGGTGTATTTCAATGCTGCATTGATGAATGAGCGGAGTGGTCTCACCAACGACAATGGCGAGCTGGAAGCCCAGCAGTCTGTTGTTCGCATCGTGCTCTTCCCTCTCGTCGTCAAAAAGGGCAATGATGTGGGGGAGGGCGATGACGAAGTTGTCGTCTGTCCCGCTCAGGTCCTCATTGCCCGTCCTGGCAAAGACAAGAGAGTATCAAGGATGACCAGTGGGGATCGTATGTCGATAGATGCCACCAAGTCGGTCCACAGCATGGCACCATCGTCTATGATGGACGTGAGTAATATGATCTGAGGCGTCACACTCAGGTCATGATTTCTCCCATCTAACACACGATCTTCTTCACATCTGTTTTTTGTCTCTCGCCTTGTTTGTTATTCTTTTTGCCGGATAACCGCATGGAGTTCGGCTTGAAGCCACGGTCTCTAGACCGCTGGCATTTGCATTCGGAGTTATTGCTTCAGTTTTGTTTTCATATTGATCTATTTCCTTTCCTTTTTTCTTGCATTTATGTGTTCCTAAGACAATGTGTCAGTCAACTGTGTTTATCATGGCCTTGATGTCTTATGAGTGATGACCCTGTACTTCTGGCAAGACAATTTAATACATCTTAACGTCGTTAATACAATTCCAATATAGGCAGTAACTATTCTCTTCAATGGTAGTGTCATTCCAAGGCACCGTGTGCACTCGCAGTTTTGAGACGTGGGAGGTGGTGGTTGCTGGCGTTGGCTACAAAAGCCCGGCGTTGACATTTTCGATCTTCTCCTCGTCGACTCTCCGGAATTCTTTGCCTCGAAGGATTTCTGCCCCATCTTAATTTGATCTCTCCCAAATCTTCAATCATGTTCAAGAAGTTGTTGATGTTGTCGCCGCGCAAGAAGAAGGCCAAGGACCAGACTCATACTTCGGGATCTAGTTCTACCGGTCCGTCCACTCCGTCCGCTCCGTCCGCACCAATCCTTGCGGCCTCGACTTTCTCCGCTCCACCCGACCCTAACCTTCCAAACCCTAACTCCGCTGGTATGTTGTCCTCCTCCTCGGTTGGCTCTATATAATAGCCTCTTTTACTAATTGTTTGTCTTGTTTCTTTGCAGTCGCCAATGATTCACCCGAGGTCGTTGAGCCCAAACTTGGCGTTCTGGCCGTCAGCCTCTATCAGGCTCAATGCATAAGCCTGCCTAGAGATGCCGACCTGCCTAAGGGTGTTATGCCCTACGCTCTGATTGATTATGACAAGACTCAAGTCTTCATAAACTCTGTTTCTGGTACCTCCTCCGAGCCTCTTTGGGCCGGTCGCGCCAACCAATTCATGTTCGATGTCTGGAAATCGACCCAGCTCACCGTTCACCTTTTCGTTCGCAGCTCTTCGTATTCCCCCGCGGTCGGCAGGTCCAAGGATATCTGCGTCGGCACTGCTCATGTCATCCCTCCCATCAATAAACAAGGCATGAAGAACGGCGATGAGTTCATCTCGTGGCTGGACTTCGACGAAGGACCAGGCCAGCTCAAGATTGGTTTCCAATATGCCGAAACCATGGATGAGAAGCTCACTGTCTCTGACTTCACCCTCCTCAAGGTTATTGGTCAGGGAAGTTTCGGCAAAGTCCTGCAGGTCCGCAAGAACGACACCCAGCGCGTCTATGCCATGAAGTCCGTTCGCAAGGCGAAGATCATTTCTCGCAACGAGGTTCTCCACACTATGACCGAGCGATCCGTTCTTGCTCAAGTCAACAACGCTTTCATCGTTCCATTGAAGTTCAGCTTCCAATCCGAGACCAAGCTCTATTTCGTCCTCGCCTTTGTTAACGGCGGAGAATTGTTCACTCATCTTAACGACGCGAAGGCCTTCGACATCAACCGCGCCCGCTTCTACACTGCGGAACTACTCTGCGCCCTCGAGTGCCTGCACGACTTCGGTGTCATCTACCGCGACCTCAAGCCCGAGAACATCCTCCTTGACTACGAGGGCCACATCGCCCTCTGCGACTTCGGTCTTTGCAAACTCGCGATGAGGGACGAGGATAAGACCGACACTTTCTGCGGCACACCCGAGTACATGGCCCCAGAGGTCATCACCAACTCGCCCTACAACAAGACGGTCGACTGGTGGACCCTGGGCGTGCTGCTGTACGAGATGCTCACCGGCCTGCCGCCCTTCTACGACGAGGACAAGGACGAGATGTACCGAAAGATCGTCTTCGGCGACCTGTAGTTCTCGACTGCCGTGATCGCCCCTGCCGCAAAGAGCCTGCTGCAGGGACTGCTGCACCGGGGCCCCGCCCAGCGCCTTGGTGCCAACGGTGCGGGCGAGATCAAGGCCCACCCCTTCTTCAAAGGGATTGATTGGCACAAGCTTGCCCAGCGCCGATACGTGCCGGCCTTCAAGCCGAATGTGGTACGTCATTAAAAGTCTATTCTATCTATAAGTAAATGCTAATAAGTCTCATTTCTCTAGACCGGCATCAACGACACCGGGGCCATTGACCAGCAGTGGACTGGTCAAAGTCCACGCGACTCGGTTCCCTCGGGCCCTGCCCTTTGCCGGGCCCAGCAACAGCAATTTGCTGGGTTTAGTTTCACGCGGGCCGGGTCGAGTCCTCATGCTGAGGGCTCCCGTGTGGCTGGTTCTCAGAACCAGGAGTGAAGAGTGCGGTGAGGGCAATCTGAGGGGTAAACTCACAGGGGTTAATCAATTGTGAGAGCCCGTGAGAGATGTTTTCTAACCAGAAGTTGAGAGAGAAGTGAATCAAAACAAAGCATCGCCCCTCCTCTAACCTTCCTAACTGCCTAGGCAGACTGTCTGTCGGCCTTTTGGTCTTAAATGCCACTTTCACACGCTTAGGTTCGCTTGATTTTAGAATCAGTAAGTGCTTAATAATTTGGATGTTCACGTATTACTTAGAGATCAATTAGAGATTTTTTAACTACGCAATTTTTAGTCTACGCCTGGGAGATTACCTACTAAGTTTTAGCTTAAGATACCTTTTGATGATCCTGATTCCTTGATCCAAGGTGAGACTATACGCTACAGCAAGACGTAAAGTTCACGCCTAATAGTACAAGCTCCTTAGGTACTCCAAGGCTTACGTGTTTTCGAAGCTGAACATCTTTTCCCGTGCTCTGCTTGCTTCATAGAGAAACTACCAGGTTTGTACCTACCTTTCCCGCATTCATTATTCTCTGCATTTTCCATAGTTCCACAAATATACAGTCTTCCACTCTTTTCCCTAACTCTATCAGATTCTATCTTACCTCGTTGCTAACTGTTCTTTCTAATTCAACGAGCACACCCGTGACTATTCTGTCCTTTTTTGAGACTGTCCTTAGGTAACGAGCATACCCGGGACTTATCTGGTCTCTAACGTTCCTTTTGTCTGTCAGAATAGGTGGTCAGGCTTTGACTCATCGATACTTACCATGAATACCACCCAGGGAGCCCCATTGAGACATTGCCACTTTGAGAACTCCGATGAAAAGCACAATTGTGGTTAAACTAGCGTTTGTAGGGCAGGTACTCAAATATACCGTAGATATCTAAACAAAGCTATCGGACTAAATAGATAATTGATAGGTAGGTACTGTGGAAAAGAATAAACAACAATGAAAAAAAATACAAGGAGTAAGAGTGCTATGTAGTTTGATATGACGTCAGAAAGATATAGTGACTCGGTCACGTGACAGTATCATCAAAAGCCGCAAAAGCCAAAGGCAAAGCACATCTCTTACTCATATCCTATTTACCAGTCATCATGTCAGCTGCCAAGGTTCAAAAGATTATCGACGACAATGGAGTTGGTATGTGCCCGGCAAGTCCGAAGTCATTCAAAGCTAATATATCCCAGTCGTCTTCTCCAAGTCCTACTGCCCTTACTGCAATGCGACTAAGAGCACACTTCGGAGCTTGGATGCCACATTCGAATGCCTCGAATTGGATAAGATGGGTAAGTAATTAGTGGTACCATTTGTTCTGACGGTTTATCTTACCTCTTGCCAAGAGCGATACTAACACTCTACAAAGAGGACGGTGGCGAGATCCAAGATGCATTGCAAGAGCTCACCAAGCAGCGCACTGTTCCTAACATCTTTATCAACCACAAACATATTGGTGGTAACTCCGATTTGCAGAAGTTGAATACTGCTCAATTGAAGGCAGTGTTGAAGGAAGCTGGTGCGATTTAAATGTGTGGCTTGCTATTAAAATGATATTATGTTGAAAACAAATTATTCTTAAGCATCTCGCCATACATGTAGTACGGCTGCGTCGGCAAAAAAGTCCTGCTTTTCAGAAGTGGATCGAAGGTCTTTCTCTCCTTTCCTCCTTCTCTACTCCCTACTCATCTTACCAAATGCAGCCTTGTCTTGACCTTCAGCTATCTGCCAAGCTTCACAACAAGATCTTGGAGCATTTATGGATTAGTACTGGACGGCATATAGCTTCACTTCCATCTACAACCTGGTGGGAAAACTCTTCCCCAGTTCCATTCGACCTCGCTTCCCGCCTGAGCCCGAAACTCATATAGTTTCTATGTTTATCAAAATCCGTCTATATTCTAAATACGGATTTCTATTTTTTTCTATTTTCTATGTGGCCTTTAAGAGAGTTAGTACCTCCTCCGATTCTCTATTCTTAAATCGTGGGAAGATCGGTTGGCGTGGCTGTATTTAGGGATATACTCTACTGATAAGGATGAAGTTAGTATCTTGCTAGTTTCGCTCCTCTATTAGCTCCTCTATTAGATTGATTTGATACTAATATAAGGGATAGATTTAACTAAGAGACTAAACTAGCTGCCTTCTTCCTAGATTAGGAATATATAGTTGATTATACTAAAAAGCTATAGCCGTAGAAGCCTTTATAGCACATTCTCTAGGCTTATCTAGAGATGATTGATAATAGCAAAGTGACACCATCTTTAGAGCCGAAAAGTACATTACCGGAACAATTCTACCCCTAGGAAATTCATCAATACACTCAGCGGGATATTAAGAAAGCCGTCGTTGCTTTCGCCCGTCTTCTCGATACAATCGAATCACGACTACCTCTAACCACTAGCAATCAAGAAATAGAGCTTCTATACTTAAACTTAGCGGTTAATAAATCTTTCCCTACAAAGAATTCATTTATCCGATCTTTCCTCTCCGCTATTCCTCCTCGCCACATAAAGTTCCGCTATATAGCTCTAAGGATCCGGATACAAAATCCGACAGAGTTTGTGTCCTAACTATTTATAGAGCCTCGTAAAAACTTCTAACCGCTTAGCAAAATCGAAGAGAGCATATATAGCCTCCTAACCCTCTTATTTCGAGCGGATAGGGTGAATAGCTCACCCTAGACCGGGCCGTGGTTTCCGGATAGGATCGCTTAGGATGTTCCCGCTAGCTTATACATTAAGCCTACGTGCTAGTCCCTAGCCTAGAATTTTAGGAACGAGAGTAGACCGCTACTACTGTTTAGGGTTAGTGCTAATAGGTATGCGCGAGGCAGCAATAGTATCCCGTTGTCCTATTGCCCTTCAACTAAGGGGCCATATCAGGTATATCATTTCAGTGGGTTTCTGCCAACGAGTCTGCGATGTGTGTAGGTTCATAAGGTGTTTGCTAATTAGGCGGAGCGTGCTGAATTGGCCGATTGGGAAGTGAATGAGGATGGAGTTGCGGGTGGGATTGAAAAGTCCAAAGATGCTGACACTCTAGAGCATTGGTAGAAATATCAGGTTCCGCTGTCTTGGTAGAGACGAGATTGAAGTAGAAAAATTGTCCAGCGTTTCCTCTCCTAGCCTATAACATTACCTTAAACGGTTTCGGCTTCACACTCAGATAAGTATATACTTGGACTCTAGGTGACCTCCATTCTCCCTGCTCTACACCTTGCTCTATACCACAGATTTGAGAAGTACATGGTGGAAGCAAAGTACAAATGGCGCAGAACGTAGTGAAAAAGGCTGCCAGTTTGGAGGGACGGTAATTGGTTGGGTGTGCAATGGCACTAGTAAGATATATGATGGCCGCGCCTGGAAGATTCCATCAGGACTTTTCTTCATTATACCTAGCATCATTATATCTCCCAATTGGTTTATTCCAGAGTTTGGAAGCTTTTCCTGTATGACATTTTCTGGGAGAAGCTAACTGTATTCAGTCTCCTCGGTGGCTTCTTAGAGGCTGCACAGTAGAGGCTCAAACAAATCTGCAGAAATTATGACAAGGGTCTTCTACAACAGACGAGATCGAGGAAGACTTCTCATTACTACAGAAAGGGCTGGAAGAGGAACCGGAACAAGGTCATTTCAAAGAGCTATTTTCGAACGCCAACCGAAAACGAACAGCAATCGTTGTAGGACTCAACTTTTTCAGCAAGCGACTGGGCAGGCATTCACTTCACAATATGGAACTTTATACGTCAAGCCTCTGCAAACGATCAACAGGTTTAACTTCAACGTGATCATGGTTTCATCGGACTCTGTGTGATCATAGTATGCTTGTTCCTCAACGATAGGGTTGGTAGAAGGTATGGTAGCCTCATTGCACTCAAGACAGCACGTTGATTCATGCTAATCTAGATAGGCCTTTACTTTTGATCGGTGCGGCAGTCCAAATGGCAGCTCTCATGGCTATGGGAGCGCTTGGGGTACATACTCCAAACTATACTGAAAAGTCAACCATTGTCGCGATGTCGTCCTTGTTTATGATTGAATTTAACATAGGCTGGGCTGATTTGACATACGTCATGACCACTGAGATTCCAGCACTAAGATTGCGAGATAACTCACAGCGCATTGCATCTGTTGCAAATATGCTAACGTTGTAAGTGGGCGTTCCGGGACTATATATAACCTTGCACGTTAATGAGCTAACATCCACTCGTGTAGCTTTGTGGTTGCGTCTAGTATGCCATGTCTCATGGATTCTGACTATGCCAACCTACATTCAAAGGTTGGTTTTATTTATGGGAGTATTTCGGTAGCCTCGGTTGTTTTTGTGTACTTTCGCGTGCCGGAATGTCATGGAAGGTAATTTGAAGAGATTGATCAGATGCTCCCTGAGAAGATTAACCTTCGGAAATTTGGTAGTCATGAACAGTCTGAAGTTGTCTTGCAGGGACAGTTGAAGAAGTGCCAGGGGAGATTGATAGTGTCTAGGTTACCTCGTGATAATGGCAGATCTATATCGGGACGTATGCGTTAAAAGCAATCTCCTCCAGATAAATGTATCGTATTCGAGATGAATATATGCAACAACTAAAATGAGATCAATGAACAATACACTGTGTAACCAAAAAAAAAAGAGTTTTATATGTTCATTTTGATACGAATCCCAGTCACAGATGACTAATGAACTTCTCCGTGGGTCTGGCCAGCTCCTGTGAGAGCTCTGTCCGCCTCCCATATCCGGTGTATTGGGTTGCCTTGGAACTTCTCTCCTTCTTCGTAGCTTATCGGGCCTACTTATATTTATCTGTTCAAGTATCGTGATCGTCGCGCTAAGATCGCTGGGTTCGCATTCCTTGTTTTAATCTCCCGCTCAGCCTAATGTTCCACTTTGCTTTGCCACCCGCGTCATCCCCACGCTAAGCTGCAGCTCTCGCGCATTTTCCACTACGGTGTCTAGGCGCTGAATGCCTGTCAAACATGCCAATGTCGCTTCTCCCATGATCAACAGCGCTAACTAGATCGCATGGGACAAACCCTGCATGCTGCGAGACCTTCCGGAATTCGAGAACCCTGTTCAGCCTGGCTTAATTTGGGTCTTAATTTGCTGATAGGCTCTTGAATCGAATCTCCTTTCACGGAACACTCCTTGGGTCACTCGGAGCTTTTGAACGCAGCCGCCATCCACTTGACGTGTTCACTGTCATGGATCCACCAATGACCCCGACACCAGGCAGCGCGGCTTCTCGACCGTCTGCTACCTCGCATTCTAGCTCCAAAAACCGTCTCCAACGCAGCAGCGATTACCCACCCTCTGATAACAAGGCTAGTTACAGTCCAATGGGCGGTCGGGCCCCAGGGACTGGTCCGATCCCCGTCTCCGAGGCTACGCCAGCTGGAGAGACCCGCTCAGAACACCCCGCCGATAATGGTGCTGGAAAACCCTCCAAGTCCTCCAAACGCAGGAAGAACCGCAATCGCAAACGTCGCAATCGGCACCAATCTTTTTTACACCCTCGCGAGAGGAGGCCCATGATAGCGCCGAAGAGCATTCAGGTGCTGGTGGAGGTGCCCGAGATTCAATGGAGGCCGATCGGCCAACCTCGAGGGACACTTCGTTCTTCAAATTGGGGAGGAATTTAAGTAATACAAGCTTGGAGAGTGATGCATTGTTGGATCATCGGTATGTTCTTTCGATATGAGCGATATATAGCTCCTGGGGTTGATGCTAATCGAAGGTGTCAAATAGGGACCAGCCGATGATGCGACCTCGTCGTGACAGCCGCCTTGCTTCATCACTGCGTCCGACCTCTATCCTATCCAATGTCTTCCGGTCGAATGACGGACAATCCCGCAGCACTCCGAAAGCAGGTCGGAACCAGCAACATCGCGATGGTGATAGCGACGAAGAAGCAAACGACCGAACTCCATTGATGCGGGCTACCTCGGGGCACACCTCCAATACCGCTCGCTACGGCGCAGACTCCCGCGCCAATCTGTTTTCATCTCGTGCTCGCCAACCATCCGTTCAAACTGTATCATCAGGATGCTCTCCACGAGACAACCGCAGCCCACTTGATTCTTCCGCTATCGAACGTGACTACGATGTGAATAATCCACCGTCAATCCCCGGGTCTCCGAAGTTAGGACCAGAGATGAATTATGATGATGCTGTAGTAACTGGGGCCGATTGGGACTTTTCCTTGGCCCGGTCCTTGGAAATGCACAGGGACTCTCTAAACATGAACGAAACATTGATTGATATGGATGGTAATGGGGCACATCCTCATTCGGCACCCTCTTCTCCCGGTTCGCCATTACTTTCGCCGCATCAGGAACTGCGGCGCCGCCGAACTGTGGCATTACCAGCAGAGGAGGATGTGTGCTTCCCTACCGAAACGATATCGGAACTCGGGGACGAGGGTACTAGACCACGGGATGAGGCTGGTGAGCGTCGACGCCGCAGACATCGGCGGTGGCCCGATCTCTCCGTGCTGGAAGAATGGAGTCGCGAGGAGAAAGAGGAACGCAACGGGGACCTTCGAGTTAAGAAGATTAATGAACCGATGCTCATTGAGGGCAGATTGCGTCCTCAGTATAAATTTTGGCGGCGCGAAGAGGATGAGGCACCTTACCGATTTACATACTTCAACGAGGAGTTCCCAAGCACTATCCACGCTCAAACGATCTCCGAGCTGGTTCAACCAGGAGGCAGCTTCCGGGAATTGTTTATTCCAGATCCCCCAGAATTAGAAGATTCATCTGATGACGAAGACTCGGACAGAGAGTCTTTTATGGAAACTGCAGCTGCCGCCCATTCAGCTCATCCCGTTAATACCGGTCCGCGGATAGGGGTGCCTGTACCGGAAGGTCAAGGCCATCAAACAAACGTCAATCCCAATATGACAAGCGGTACCGCTCAGACACCCAGTGAAAAGAAAACCGGTGATCTTCTCGCCGGCAACGCTCCTCCAGTGAGAGGTCCGTCACGCTTGTCTGTTATAAGCGAAGGACATCCCAACTCTCACCGAGACCTCTCGCCCGCGCAGTCAAACCTTGCTCCGAAACCCAAACCTAAACGCTACGGCCCCAGGCCTACCTTTTGGTTAGATGTTCTCTCTCCGACAGATGCAGAGATGCGTACAATCGCCAAGGCATTTGGAATCCACGCGCTGACAGCAGAGGATATCATGATGCAAGAAGCCCGAGAGAAAGTGGAATTGTTCCGAAGCTACTATTTCGTCAACTACCGGACTTTTGAGCAAGACACCAATAGTGAGGACTATCTTGAGCCAGTCAACATGTATGTCGTGGTTTTCCGTGAAGGCGTGATATCCTTCCATTTCTCGCAAACGCCTCATCCCGCCAACGTGCGGCGGCGCGTCCGTCAATTGATGGATTACCTGATCTTGAGCTCCGACTGGATCTCATATGCCCTGATTGACGACATTACCGACGTTTTCGGCCCACTGATTCAAGCCATTGAAGACGAGGTAGATGAGATCGACGAGATGATCATGCAAATGCACTCATCTAGCAAGGAAGCGTCGTCCAATGACAGCGTGCTTCCTTCATTTGCACCAGGAGAAATGCTCCGGCGAGTAGGAGAATGCCGCAAGAAGGTCATGGGATTATACCGGCTACTCAGCAACAAGGCAGATGTTGTCAAGGGCTTTGCCAAACGTTGCAATGAGCAGTGGGAGGTGGCCCCCAAGTCCGAGATTGGTCTCTACCTGGGTGATATTCAAGATCACATTATGACGATGACGGGAAATTTGACGCATTATGAGACGTAAGCATTCCGTTCCCTGATTCTGCAAGATGTTGCAGCTGGCTGACCATTTCCCAGAATTCTCTCTCGCGCCCATTCTAATTATCTCGCGCAGATCAACATTCTGATGAACGAGCGCCAGGAACATACTGCCGATGTCTTGGGTAAGCTGACTGTTCTTGGTACGATTGTCCTACCGATGAACATCATTTGCGGCATGTGGGGTATGAACGTCAAGGTACCTGGTCAGGAAATCGACAACTTGAACTGGTTTTGGTGCAGTAAGTCTTCCCATGGCCTGTTTGTTTTTTGCTGGTTCTATCACTGACACGGTATAGTTACTGGCGGACTATTTGTATTTGCTTCTGTGTCTGTTTGGATTGCTAAACGAGTCTACAAAATTGTGTAAATGGACAAAAGCTTCTTGTGTTCTTGCGTGTTATAATTTCTACGCGTCGACGGATCGATACCCAGGAATTTGTTTCTCTATTATGTTTTTCGATCCCACTTGCGGCCTCTGGCTTTGGTTCAGAGCCCAAACGATATTAACGATAAACGGTGTATGTATCTTGGGCTCTTTTCCTAATATGGTGTTGTACATAGCTGGTTTGCAGTTAGGATAGAACTGTACATTATTAATGACGCGTTACAAGCTATAACTCATTATTGGTTCTATATCCACTGTTTCCTCCCTTGCAGTAGCGCCTGCACCTTTGTCTGGAATACAATAACTTGAAAAAAACTCACAGGAACTCAAGGGATTCAAGGAATTATAGAACCTTCAGCTGTATCACCTTGTTGTACCTACGTTACGTATCCTGAAGTAACTTTTGAGGCGATGAGGTCATTGTGGCTGGTATTCACCTTACCGTAATTTATTATTCCCTCTTTTTTATTACCTTATGTACCTCCCGTCATTACCTCATCGTCAACCCCGGACTCTTGTTTCCCTTACTCTCCGTCTTCAAACGTTTTTCCTCTCAAAAACTTCCATCCTCACATTCTAAGATTCGCACATTGCGTTCTAGACCATCCGTGTGCTCTTTGCTGCAGTGCGAGGACCCCCTTCTTGACGTGGGCTATTGTCATTGGCCTCTGCCGAGCGCGGACCTGACCCTCTCAGCCACTTTCACCGAGGTTTTGGTCACCGACATCTCAGGCGCATTCGGCAGCCAAATCATCCTCTTTCACCAAAACCAGTCAAGCCAAAACGTTGAGCCGGATCGGCGGACCCCCATCTGCGCAAATCCGCCAACCATAAGCCGTCTTCGATTCAGTCGTTCTAGACGCTCTTGTTCTTGCCCGAAACAAAGCCAAACGGCATGTGTGTCTCTCTTTGCAATACTCTGACGGCCCACTTAGTATTCTAAACACACTCCATCTATCTCCAGTTTCCCCAACCCCCCTGCAACTGCTGCAGCCCTTCGTTTCCCCGGTTCTTCTGTTCAGAAACCCCATTTCCAACAGCATGTGGTGTTCGGCTATTTGTTCTGCCATACCCTCGCATGTGTAACGACCCGTATTCTGCGCAACATCTCCTTCGACAACTCGTGATATCTCATTCGCTCTTGCCTACAACTCATCTCTTCACCGTCGACCGTTCCCTGCCTGGCGCCGTGCCTTGCTTTTTCTGATCCCCTTTGGGACCTGTTTCTGCCCAACTACCCGGCTTCCTCTCGGGTCTCCTGACTTGTCTACGTTGTGTCAGTCCATTCTGACTCGACAAAGACCATGGCTGCGGAATCCGAGAGGCCGCCTCACCTTAATGGTGCCTCCGGATCGTCCAGAGATGCCAAGAATGCAGAGGAGGCACCGGATGCTGTGCATCGGTCGACCAGCGAAGGTGCGGCAACTGAGCGCTCGTCTGTTAAATCTCAGTCCCAGCCCATGTCCCAGGTGCCCAGGCTTTCTCCAAGTATTACGAACCCTTCCGCGCCTGCGTCTGCTACAAACTCCGCTGTCTCCTCCCGCGAATCCTCTCCGGTCCGATTATCCTCACGTCCCGTTAATCACTCCCCGACCCGAGTGTCCTCTCAATCCCGAAAGGCTAGTCAAGACCGATCAAGCCCGACTCGAACCTCGAACGGTCCAACATCTGTCCCGCTAGGATATTCTACAACTTTCAATAACCAGCGATCATCGTCTTCTCCCGTGAAACCTCTTGTCCTCTCCGCCCCTCCTGAGTCGCTGGCCAATGTTGCCAGTCCAGAAAAGTCCAACATGTCATCGTGGGCTGGGAGCCGTCGCGCGGATTTGGATCCAACTCTTGCGAATACTTCACATAAGAGATCGTCGCCGACTGAAGATCAGGTCACAAAGGTCGATCGAAGCACGCCTCGGGCTGTCACTAGGGGCGCCAGTGGACAAGGGTCCTCCTTGGAAACCGTCGAAGAGATGGCTAGCAATCCTTCGACCCCATCCAGTGAAAGCGCCGCCAAGCCGGTCACCCCGGAGGAATCACGGTTGCACCGGATCGACGAGAACCCAACTCCGCGTCCTTCACAGCAAAATACAGGGAGTGGCAGTGATAGTGGAGAGAACCGGAGCTCTGGAACAAAGGAAGAGCTTCGTTCCCAAGCATCCGGGGCGGCGAAACCCCCCGGAACTCTTATTCCAAAGCAATCAACAACATCCCTTAGTGCCGGTGCTCGCGGAAAGCCTGCTGATGGCTCCGTCCGCAATATGACCGTGGAAACGGAGACAGTCAGCTCCATTCCGCAGGTCTCTCTGGGTGTGGGCGCGGGAGAGCGAGGCAACGCTTCTCGTGCTGACCAGGGCACCCTTCGCATGAAGCCTTCTACCGAAACAATTCGCCCGCGCAAAGAGAAGAAGAAAAACCGTCGCCCCAATACCATCCAAACGGGGCCTGCGACCAGCAAAGCGGATATATTTGAAGCCAAAGTGGCTAATGCAGTTGACGAGGCTGATGTCTCGGATTCCGACGAAACCTTCGTTTACGAATCTAACCCACCTGACCCCTATCCTTCCCGACCCTCTCGTTATCACTCCCGGACGCCGAGTGCAACATCCATGGCAAGCCAAGTGGATCAGCTGGCTGGCCGTGCACGAGGATTGCGGGACGGTGCTCATAGCGTGACTAGCAAGCGGAGCATGAAGTTCACCAACAACCCCTACAATAGCAGTATTGACGGTGAGGCTCCCGAGATTGAGGGAAGTCGCAACGGTTCCAGGGTCAGTGGAAGCGGAACCATTACCCCACGGCATCACAATATCGGCCGCCACGGACGCAACGGCGTCCACCCAGGTCTCTTCGATAACGACAACACACCTTTTCCCCAATCACAGACTCAGCCTAAGTCCCCAAGGCATTTCATTGGGAATGGATATCGGCACTCGCGCCACAGCAATACTCGCTCGTCGCCCAACTATAAAACCATTAATGGTACGAAGAAGGCCGGTGAGCTTTACGGGTATGACTTTGACGCAGAAGGCGCAGACGATGAGCGCACCCCCTTGGTTGGCACGCCACGTGCAGTCCGCAGTCGTCATGGCCGAAGACCAAACAGCGCAAGCCTGCGGCAGATGGAGTATATGGCGCAGCGCCAACGCGGATATTTCTCCCGATACGGCTCATGCGCCATGATACTTCTTTTATTGGTTATTGTGGCTGGTGGTGCCACATCGTTTATCGTAGCGGCAACCCAGCCTCTATTGGATGTCCAAGTCGTTGCTATTCAAAACGTCCTTGCGTCAGAGCAAGAGATCATGTTGGATCTGAACGTGGAATCAGTCAATCCAAATCTGTTCCCTGTCACTATCGAAGATACAGATATCAACATCTTCGCCAAGAGCCGCTTCGTCGGTACTGACAAGCTCTGGCGCGAGTATGATGACTCGGATAACTTTCCACGTGTCCAGCAAAGTCGGCGTCGCTGGCAGCTGTCACAGACCGTGCGCTGCCTTGGAAGTGTGGAGTGCATTAAGGAAGCCATGCCTGGCCACTCATCACTACATACCAACGACGGTGTTGACAAAGGGACCGACCCGCCAAAAGACCCAGAAGGCGACTCCCAGACTATGCTCCTGGGTCGTGTGTTCCACTTCGACTCGCCACTATCTTTCGAGTCCTCGCCATGGAACCATCTCACCTCCAGCTCGAAGGGACAGATTCGCTTAGCTCGGCCGGGGAACAAAACCGAGGAAGGAGGCACAGAGCGCTGGGAACGCGTCCTACAACACCCCTTTGAACTGATCGTTCGTGGCGTCGTCAAATATCAGCTCCCACTGAGCTCCCATTACCTGTCAGCGTCTATCAGCTCCAGCGTCAAGTATGTCCCAGATAATGAGGACACGGACCCTGAACAACCACCCAGCAACGACACAGCCCGCATTACGCTGACGAAAAGAACCACGCCACCTGTCCGCCTTCTACTCCTTGAAAATCCTTCCTCCGCACCCAGACCCCGTGCGAGACGACCTTTTACGGCATAACAATAACCCATTTAGCGATAGATTGATATCATTGACTTACGACAGCCCTGTTCCTTTTCTTATCTTTTTTTATTTATTTATTATTTGTCATGTAACGAGACGAAAAGCAAAGAGTCCCAACCCTACCTACTTTACCCTGGTACCCCGGGGGAAACTAGGTACAACAGATTGGACCCGTCCCTTTCATGGCTTGAGACTTCTCTCCTTTTCCGCTGTATACCCATTTGCAAGCCCTCTGTCTTAACACCGACTTGGATTTCTTTGTTTCAGCCTGGATATTATTGCTTGTATTAGATAGGTCTGGTTCAACCATTTTCAACCTACCCGTTTTCTGCTTTGTCTTTTTTCTTCTCCCTTGTCTTTTTGAAGATTACCCCCGGATCTGGGATCTGTTCCGTTCCTTGTATGGCAACCGCCTGCTTTTTACTATTATCATCGGGATACTTTTCGAGTGCTGTTGTCGTGTCGTGTCTTGAAGAAGCACACCTTGTACCTATACTGTGTATTTTGTTTTCCTTGGCTCTTCGCTGATCTCGGACTCGCCTTTTTGTGCCTCTTTGTATGTCGTGGCCTCATTGGATTCAGGTAATTATTTCCTTAGCCTCGATTATTGAAATACGAGAGCGTTGGACTGGCTGTTCGTGTTGTACAAAATACTCCCCCTGTGTCTTTATTCTTTTGCTCATTGCCTACTAGACTTTTATGAATGAATGATATGACCTTCAAATGAGAGAATGGTGCCCGCTACAGTAGAAATTCAACGTCGACAGAGCAGAGCGTTTCCTTCCCTTCCACATAGACGTCAAGGCAACCATCACTATCTAGCTGTGCATTTAGAAAGCAAGTCAAGGGCTTGCGAGGACGAAGACATAGTAGTCCCGATCTCCACCTTGACCGCAAATAACATACGGAAGATGTATCATTTAAAGGTGTTCATATAACATTGGGGAGTAAAAATGATAACAAAAATCATTGAACTATCTGAGCATCTGAGCACGTAGAAGTCATAAATCATAATAATGGGCATAAGTACCATCCATAACCAAGATGAATGAGTACATCAAAAGAAAACAAGAACTGCAAATAGATAATAATGTACCAAGGAAATGGAAATCAAGGAGTACAAGGGACGTAGAGGCATAAAAGAGAATCAAAGCACAAGATTCGCCTGAAGCTAGTGAAAGGGGAAGGGCACGAGGGGGAAGAGGGGAAGGGGAACAGCAACCAAGGAGACTCAGGGAACTGGGAATAAAAAAGAATATCCTGCAGGAAGTCATTGATTTTCGAGCCAGCGAATTTGAGTCAAACCCAGGATCAGAAAAGAACCTTGCTGAAGCGATTTACCAGATCCTCGAACTTCTCAAGAGCAGGATCACGCTCTTGAATGAGACGACCGTGGGAATCAAAGCGGTCAGGTAAATCCTCAGTTGAGTCAGAGTCCGGTTCAGAGGCCTTATCTTTGCCATGGGTAGAGTGCCGGTGATCATGATGGCGAGAAGAATGAGAATCCTGGTGATGACCTAAAGAACGGGAACCAGAGGTAGGGCCATGACGAGACACGGGCGAATGAGGAACAGATGAAGAGCGACGTCGATGATGGTGGCGATGGGATTTGCCACCTCTTTGCGAATCAGGGCCAACGGTATCATTACTATCATCCGTCTCGTAACCCTTGTCAGGCGTCAAGTCAAACGCAACAGACTTCGAGCTTGAAGCCTGCGCCGGCTGACTATTCGACCTAGACCGAGCTGAAGAAGGGGGATACGGATTATGGCTCTTTAGACCTAGAAGAATAAAAGGTTAACATGGTTTCTATTGTGTCGGTGGATCAGCCCAGTCCAGGACTTGGGCTTGGACCCTTGAGTTCACAGAACCCACCATCGTGCACGGTGTTCTTATTAGAGGAGGGAGGGCTCACATTTTCATCTGCCCTACGTGGTCGAGGAGCGTAAGTTTCTGGCCCCATTCCGGGGCCTGGTGGTACCGCGCCATAGCTGTAAGGCTGGGGCTGGGGTGCAGCACCAGGCGGGGGAGGGTAATCAGCTGGGTGATAGGGTGCAGGGGTCGTGTTCAAGTTATGAGTTGAGTCGCCCGGCGGCGGGGGAAGTAGTTGCTGTTCGGGTAGTAGTGGGGGTCGACGCCCATGGGCGGTGCCTGGGCTCCGGCGTGGGGCGAAGGCGGGTAGGGCTCGGGGTCATAGGATTCCTCGTAAGGATCGCGGTTGGGATCGTGGTCGTACCCTAGTACACCACTAGTCAGGGTGAATATTTCTCAGTGGCATCATGGGGGATTAGAGACTTACGGGAGTGTTCACGCTCTTTGGACTTCTCGCGGTCCTTGCGCTGTGAGTACTTGTGGGCTGCATAGCCAAGTCCTGTAGCACCGAGGGCGGCCGATGCAATATCGCGCGAGCGGCTGCGGTGCTTCTTGCTGCGGTGGCGGCGGTGCTCCCTATCAGAGCCGTCGGAGCTGCTGTAGCGGCCACCACGGCTGCGACTGCGGCTTCGGCTATGGCGACGTGGAGCATACGCCTCGTGTCCGTCGGAGTAGTACGGTGCGCCAGGGCTGGCAGGTGCACCATAGTAGTGCTCAGCGGGGATGCTGCCTGCGACTGGGTGATTTCCATATTCGATCAGGCCGGCTGAGTCCCTAGCAGGGTCTGGGAAAGACTCGGAGGGGGCACGGCTGCGGGATCTGGAGCGATGGCGGCCACGGCTCACACCATCTTTCTTATCCTTCTCGCCTTTCTTCTTTTCGTAGAGACCGGTGGCTGCAGCGGTGGCTAGACCGGCAGCCGCGATTGGGAGGGCTTGTCTGAGCCTGCTGCGGGAACGGGAACGCTCGCCCTTGCGAGAGCGGGAGTGGCTTCGGACTTTCTCGACAAGCCCTGCGACAGCTGCACCAGCCAAACCCGCGCCAGCCATGTGCTTCCGGCGCTCTGACATGCTACGCTCGGAGGCATCTTTGCCATCTTTAACGGAACGACCTCTGCTGGCAGCACGAGAACGGGAGCGAGTGCGGGATCGGCTCTTGCGGCCGTTGTTTGACTTGCTGCGTAATGCAGCTACACCGGCAGCCACAGCAGCGGCACCAACACCCAACTCAAGAAGGGTTTTGGCACGAGAGTGTGAGTGAGAGCGGCTGCGGCTCCGGCTGTGATGACGACCACGGCTGTGGCGGCTGTGATGGTGGGACGAACGCTCATCGTCAAAGGAGTGCGAGCGGTGACGACTCTTACTGCGGCGGTAGTAGTCGCGTGCATGCGATGCAGCGTTGACAGCCACTGCACCGAGAGCACCAGCACCAAGAGTCTTACCAAGACGGCTGGCGCCGTCGCTGACTTCTTCACCGTCTCGCTTGCGGTGGCTGCGGATCAATTCTGCTGCTCCGGCACCAACCAATGCACCTTCTGCGAGGTGACGGCGGTGGTGAGGGTGGTCGTCATAGTCGCGGGTCTCTTTGCGAATATAGACCATGCTGTCATCGCTGCTGTAGTCTTGGTCGCGATCACCACGGCGGTGGCTTGCCTGGGAAATGGAGTCTCCTGGGCTCAGCTCGCGACGAGAACGACGGTCATCGTACTCGCGGACTCGACGATGTCTGTGGTAGTAGTACGGATCCTCATCGGCTTCCGAGCGGCGCACAACATTGTAGTCGGATTCGCGAGGAGAGTATGGATCACGGGCTTGACGAATGAGCACACGTTCTCGAATGGCATGAAAAGTATGGGGCTTCACTCGCTCCTGGGGGTCCATGGGGTCTCGAAGGGTATGGTGGGCATGTAGAAGGGTATCGCTTGGGTGTAGGGACTCACGTTCATAGAAATCTCGATCAAAGCGGCGAGCGGGTGGTTCGTAGTCCACTTCTCGCTCGTACCGCGAAATAGTCATGGGTTCACTGCGATCGGCCTTGCGACGAATGACAAGCTCGCGCTCGCCGGCATAGTCGTCGTGTCGCGACATGAAGTCTCGACGGTCGTCCTCGGCTGGAATGACGTAACGTTTGATGGAGACAGGGCGGGAATCGTCCCAATCTCTTTCACGGCTGTAGGTGTACGACATAGGACGCAATGGCAAATGAGAGAAATGTGACGGAGAAGAGAAGGGAAGAACCGAGGGAAGTTGTAAGAAAGCCAAAGCCGAGAAAAAGTGAGATGCAATGCAGGAAATTGAGGGGGCGGCAGGGCAGGGAAGTGGGGTGTTGCAGAGAGGCTGTGATCGACTAGTGACGATCTTTCTGGAAGCCTGATTGGTAACAGTCGCACCAAATGAGAGACACGGAAACTTCAGTCGGGCGTCAAGTCGTAGGGCAGAGAAAGCGGAGCCTTGCGACTCAGCCTCAGAGGATCAGCGTGCAAGACTGAGATGGCAAATCAGAAGTGATAGACAAATAGAGAAGATGGAGAGATGAAGAGATGGAAAAGGAAGCCGAGGAGAGAAGGCAAAGATAAGGCAGTTACCACGTGAGGCTCTGAGCAGTTTGCCCGGGTGTGGCGAAACACGAAGTGTTGAGGCTTAGAGAGATGAGACGAGGCAGAGATGAGAGGGGAGAGATGAAAAGAGAGAGAACGAGCGGAGAGACGAGGTTGAATGTTTGTTTACTGGGATGTTTGGTTCCTCCCGTTCTCATCCATGGAACCAGTGGCTATGCTTGATCATCTATACTCGGGTACTATACCTCGTACAGAACATCTTTGTTCTGCGCCTGTCATTCTTCTTACTCCTGCAGAGACTAGTTGAGATCGGCGCTAACTGCTACATGGTCAGGAGGCCAAGTTTCATTCTAGTTTCAGTAATGATAGGGCACCATAATAAATTAAGTGCGATCCATGCATAGATTAATCTCGGTCTCCAGTGTAGGGCTAGGTAGCCAAATTATTGATTCGGGACTAGACTTGTCCCACGAGGCGTCCATGTGTTGACATCATAGGGAACATAGGGAACAAAGACAAATATTCCACCCCGGACCACATATACCCTGCATTTACCCTCGATATCGCCCCCTGGGATTTACATCTATCACATCATTGACGGGGATATGAGGGCGACATCCGCGAGCGCCCCGGTCTTTGTCTCTGCCCGCATGACGTCAATACTAGTCGCGGGGCATTCTAGCGTTCTCGGCACTTGGACTTCGCCACCAAAGTGAACCTTCCGGGCAAAAGGCTGAATGCACAAAAAGGTGGCCATGGCATATTTATTCTTGACAAAAGGTACAACCAAGAGACTGCCAAGAAAGCACTGTAAGGCAACAATAGCTCGCTTCGAAAAAAATCTAGTGGCATTAATAGATAAGTCTGGGCCATTTCAGGATTGATGACTATTGGGTCAAACCCTTTGCTTTCAAGCATTCTTTCAAACTTTTATCAGGTGCTCCAAATTTAATCCGTAGCCTTAAACTTCTTCTTTTAGCCCTTTTCTTTGCCTCTATTTTGACTTTGGTACGGGTTCTTTCTGGTAATACTCTTGCTACCTATCCTCACCTCTACTCCGTACATTTCCTAAACGGGATACCCTCTCGGCTACTTCTTACCTCCGAAGGAGGGCTGGATACCGGTGATTGTTTCATAAATGTCTGGAACAAGTCCTCGCTCGCAGAGACTTTCTGTTTCTAGTTGGCGACAGGCTGTGATTCATTACTAGAAGGGTTATAACTGATTTTTTTGTTTTGAACGTTCGAGTGTACCTAGTTGGGGACTCAACAGACATTAGTAATGACCAATACAAGGTTCTGCAGAAGCCTTCACCAGTTTCATTACACATGTTCGTCCACGAATGATTACCTCGGACACAATCGGGTCCCGTTATATACGACGGATTTCTAGGCAGATCACATCGGTAACTTTCACCCGGAACATCAACATGAAGTTGGCTAATTGCGCATGCCGAGAAGCACGAGAGAAATATTCCAAACATCTAGTAATCATACATGCACTTGGTCTCAGGATAACAACTTAAAAGAAGGATCAGGATCCAGAAAGCCAGTCCAGACCGGACTGTTCCGGAACTGCATCCAACTCGAGATTGTATGCTCCCCGAATCCCAGAGAAACCGAATAAGGCAGGTTTTCCTGAACAGGGGGCTCTCGCTTATGTTGCAGCTTCTTAGTCTCTCGTGACGCAGCTGTGCGCTGCATGAGCCGGTCCAGAGGCTTGTGAAGAACGGCATCAGTGTGTGGGATACCCCGCTGCCATAACTCATACATTTTACTGACGATGTCCCACGCGTGGTCGGTGTCGGGATTCAGAGGATGGAAACACAGTTCGGAAAGGATAAAAGCGACATACCATTCCTTGTAGCTTTGACATAGCCAGCTCCATTGTGATGTGGCTTCGTTTGTCTGCAGGAGATAGGCAAATTGTACGATTTCGACTGCCATCTTGAAAACACGATCGTCGTGACTGGAAATTGTCCCATACAGATCTGTGGATGACTGTAAATGAGCTGCCAGCCATTATTTCGAGAGCTGGAGTCGGACTATGGTCGCCGACGCCCAATGGATTGGAATATTAAGGTTGAAATGATCCAGATATTCTCTATGGAGGTCCTTTCCCAGATTTGTGACGAAGGACTCTCGGGCATGTGAAGACACCTTGGGATTTTGATTCATCGAATGACATGGCCAATACAAATTGGGCATGATCTGGGAGTTCATAATGCAGAGTGAGTTATCAGTGAAGCCGGACTTAGGCATTGGCAGATTTGGCATGTGCAAAATAAGGTCGTCGTCCACATTAGTCGGAAACTGTGTGTCAAACATCCCAGGTCTGATCTGAGTATCGACATCTTGATCTCGGGAAGATAACATATCCAATAGGCAGATATGCCACCATAACCGACGACGAATCGCGGTTTCGAAGGGCGGCAATGCAAAGTTCTGTCCATCGCGGTGAATCCCTTGCGCCTGCGCAACACGTATAACAACCGCTGACTCGGCCCATACAAGACGAATGTCACCGCCCACTCGATAACAAAGCAAGAACAGAACAGCACCTTGAAAAACGGATATATTCTGGCACTTTATGAAGTTGGCGTGACGAAGTCCCTGGCTCACTGCTCTTTTGCAGTCCTGGATGGCTGTATCGTGGTCGACATCGAGTATGGAATGACAAAGATGAGCTCTCATGCTGGCCACAGCAGCATAGTAAACGCAAAACAGCAATACCTCGTCTGGGTGAGTCATATCGACGCCCGCACTGGCGTATTGGACAATCTGAGATATGGTATCTTGGTGAACGATGGTGATCAACGGTGCCACATTCTCTTGATATAATTTCCATAATGCCTTGATTCTCGCCGCTTGGGAATAATGACAGCGGAAAGATTCAAAAGACCAGCCGTAGTAGGATTTATCACCTCCGAAAAGCCCGCCCTGGGGTAGAACGGTGGAACTCGAGTTCGCATTGGGTGAGCAATCTTCCTCATTTGAGTCACTCTCGATAATGTCACGAAGTTCAGATATCTGTCGAGCAATTAATCATCGTTCGTTGCCATGCCATTCCCGCGATATGCATCTCCTACCTTTTCTCCAAGAGTCACAGAAACTTCATCACTAACGTACCGACTCTTGCCCTCTTTTAGAACCAGTAGCTCCGTCTTCTTTGCTAGGTTCGAAGGGCCATCCAAGTCTGATGTAGGATTGACATCTGAGCCGCAAGGTGACCGGTGCGTTGAGCGAAGCTGTGAGACCTCTTCCTCGAGATCCTTTAAGCGTGCAAGTAACTCGCTAATTGGTGGCCTGTTTAATGTTCGGCGTGCTCTTTTGGGCCCTGGAAAGGCGCATTCCACTTCGGCCTTCACGCATGCACCGCAGGGATATGTTCTATCACATCGCACTTTTTTGTGTTGCAACGCGAACAGCTGCGCTTGTTGAATTCGACACGAGATGAGGTGACCTGGGGTGTTTTGTTTTCGGGGTTATCAGACATATTCCAATCACCCTTGAAGCTGAATGGAAATATGAAGGTTGAAGGGTTTCGTAGCCTCCCTACTCGCCGGATCTGAATCCAATTGAGGAGTTTTTTGCTGAACTCAAAGGCTTCATAAGACGCAATTGGTGCTACTACGCAGATGATCCTGACCGAGAATTTGGGTCCTTCCTTGAACGGTGTATCAACCAAGTCGGCGGACGACAAGACAGTGCCAGAGGCCACTTTCGGCACGCAGGCCTGACCGTTGATCCTTGAGGCACCAGAACCTATTTCTTACAATATCCATAAGAGATTGAGGGAATGGGAAGAAAGAGCAGAGGAATTGCCATGGTATGTCCTTTTCTGGCACCAAGGATCACTCAGGAGCATATACCACAAGTGAGAGCAAAGGCGTTTGTACCACGCATACATAGTTCTTACTGTAGCCTCCGGCGAAGGCCCTGTGCGTGATACATTACTCAATACAACCATTTGATCTCAACAGGTTACAGGGCCGCTCGAAATCAGCTTCACCTTTTCCTTTCTTTTCTGAAATTTATTCTGAAACACACTAGACCCCCTATGATCTAGTCTGTTTTGAGATCCTGAAATGTTTTGTCACTATAGATTACGCGGATGGCGGGGTTGTAACTTTCCTGAAACATAGATACAATCGTTACGCTACGGTTAACTGTGAGGTTCACTTCGGTCAGAGCTTTAGTATACCGTGGCAGCTTTACATATGATAGCGCTTAAGTTCACGTGTATACCTCATGAGTAGTGTAAATGAAAATATACATCATCTCTCAAGGCAAATACAGGGTATAAGATCAAAGCAGGTAATTTTTTCTGTCTCTAATCAGATCACCTGCCGCAGTCTACTTCTCAGTCCTGTGGCTTATTGAGGCTTTACCGAATTAGGAAGGTTTGGACGCCACGATGGGAGCCTAGGGCTAAGCGAAACATGTCCCCTTTCGACACATCAATTTGCGAATTCTACCTGTGACTACGCCTAGATGTCACGCCTTCTCAATCTGCCCAGCGAACTGCTCACTCGCACATTTTTTAATGTGGATCGTTCATCATTAAAGTCGCTGCGCCAATCCTGCCGTTTCATATCACAGCCGGCCACCGATCAGCTCTTCAGGACCGTGCACCTGCAGCCCAGCGAGACAAGCCAAAATGCATTACAAGAGATTTTGAACAATCCCAGTCTACGTCGGATTCCGCGAAAGATCTACATAGACACCGTGGACGAGAGTCTTGTACGATTATCTTAATCCAGCTCCAAGCAACAACTAATGCGCACAGAATTATGATGAAGAAGAAGAGCAAAAATGGCCCCAAGGCTGGGACAATCTTGTTCCGCAAGTGAAAGAATTGCCTCGGCTGAACGCCGCCGTTCTGTGCTTCGATAAGGGGTTTACTTCAGACAGCAGGGATCGGGATTACCTCCATTATACGGACTTCCCCCAGACGCCTCAATTTCGCTTCCACGCAATGCATAAGCTCTTCTCTCTTCTCGAATCCTTACGGCACCCAATCCAAGATCTTGGTATTCGCAACCTACAAGCGGATAACCCCAAAGATCCGAAAACACTTGCGAAAATGGGAAAGGTCCTGTCGGGCCTACTGTCCCTTCGCCTAAGCATTACCAGCGAGACAAATGACGCCGCTCCTGAGCATGATCTCGAGGTATAACCCACCCCATCCTCCATCGAGATGCTTTTTCTAAACATATCAGTATCCGGAAATCCGCAAGTTTTTCAAAGAGTTGCCCAGCACATGGCTGAGTCCCGCTTCTTCTTCCTCCAACATCTCTCGCTCTGCTCGCGTGAATACTCGGGCTTTTACCCTCACCTGGATCTCTCCAATCTGTTCTTTCCACGCCTGAAGACGCTATCACTAGGAAACTTCTGTTTCTTCCATGATGGCCAAATCGACTGGATTCTAAAGCATGGCGACACCCTCGAGGAAATCTACTTCGATGACTGCGCCATCCTCTACGACTTTGGTATGATGGAAGAGAATGTGGACGCCTGTGCTTTACCTAGGGACACTTTGGTGCGCCGCGAGGGCGATGAGTCTTTGTATGGTTCGTTCGAGAAGCGATGGCACCATATTTTTGATCTATTTGCAGAGAAACTGCCAAAACTGCGACACTTTCGAATCGGCCGTAGTAATTGGTACCCGGATATTCCATTTGAGCAGGAGAGGGATATCAAGGTCGGGCTGTATTATAATCGGTATATGTGCTGCTATGATGGATATGGCCCTTCGCCTTATATGGAAGGTGAGGATCCCGAAGAACTCGCAAACCTTGAGAATGCGTGGAGACCGTCACCAGAATGTGACGATGAGGATCGCGCGGCACTGCGGAAACTATTGGCAAAGCTTGGGCATTCTGTCCAGGAAAGTTATTCGAATAGACACTCTGGTGGTCATATAGTGGATCTTGTTCAGAGGAGATACGGATCCGCAGAGTGATACAGTATCTATGGATTGCAATCACTTGGGTAAAAGAGCCTCCACCTAGGCAGGGCTTCCAAGGTTGGAAATTATGCAGACGGTTTCTAAGTCGGCTGGGGGTAAGTGGCATTTGCTAAGTGATTGCTCAACATTTAAAATGATGTTACATATGAGAAAGCAGGAATATATACCTCCAGGGCTATCTACGCAATATCCTTCATCCTTCAAATGCTGGTGAATCGACACCTAGGACTAGACGTAGACCACCTGGTTATCCCCTGACACCATGATTGATTGATCCAGATATTGTAAGGTTCCATTTCTAATGGGCAATTCATGACTTGGACTGGAGCCACCCCGGGGTCGCAGGAAATTTAGCTTGCGTAGGGCTGTCAATAAAGAGGTTCTTGATCAGAATCCACATTTTAAAACTTCTTCAACATCTCTGGCTTTGCAAATAGAAGACTCCTGTGGAGCTGTGGAGGATGAGATGTTGGTAGAGGAAGCGAATTCGAATTCTGGCCAAATAACCACTGACAAAGCGGATTTCCCTTTTGTTTGCTTTGTTTGCAGGATCAACGTTCGTTGAGACCATACAAGCTCATCACGGAATCCTTAAGGGTATCATCGGATACGTTTGATGCGAGCCACTCACCGTATTCTTTGACAGCTAGATCTTTGAACCCGGGGATGTTCAATGGACTTATAGCTCTCAGCTCTGCTGTGGCATCAGCCGGGGTCGTCGAGGCCGATCCAGTAGGGTGGGATGGGTGAACATTGATGTTGATAGGTTGATAAGGCCCTCCATCTCCAAGAACGTTACCGCCTCTACGTTTTTCCTTCTCCTGCCTCTGTTGTTCCTCCATATAGAGCTCATCTCGGATCTCATCCGGGACGTCTTTATGCGTCTCAAGGGTACCGCTCTTTTCGACGAAGGTAACCAAACGCCTGAGAGTTTGCGTACGGAGTCGATAATGCCTTTTCCCCATTGGGTCTAGCCAACAGTAGGGACCCAACTGGCATGCACCCGAACCGCATTTCATCAAGTCATATACACGGCGCCAAATTGATTGTTAGCCGTCTGTATTTTCTTCGGCGTCAAGCTAGGCATCCCGATCGTCAAGCATTCTTTTTGTGACGGAAGATTTACCTCTCTTCTCCCCTTTTCGTCCAGCGGATGGCGAAGTGCAATCCTCTATATTGAAACTAACCCTTAACGTGAGTCTCTTTCCACGACAGAAATAACCCGACCACATTCGTAACTGTTTCTCGATAGGAGCCTAGACAATTTCGGTCTTATTAAAGCGCTTGGTCAAATCACGTTAGGAACGATCATTGACTGCTACGACAATCGCTATGTCGTCGATCCTAACTCTCTTGTTGCGGCTAACCTTCTCTCCTAGGACAGTTTGTAGCTTTTTTTCCAAAAATAACCGCTAGTATACGCTCGGGGCCAATACTAGGTCTTCTTCCGTATCCTTTACCACGGCGTTATTGTTAAGAGCGACACGCTATTCTATAAAGTAGTGGATACAGCTCGGCGGATCCTCGTCGTAGATCTTGTCCGCATCCTATTCAGATTCCTAGAGCAGAGGTATATTGTTCGGTTGAAATCGGCCTGCGACGTTGGGCAGTTCTTCGAGCGAGATCGAAGGGGAGGGACTACACTCGGACTGTGTAGCATAAGGGCTCCGAAAGTTTCCTAGTGTAGGGGCATATTGTGAATCATTTTCCCATGGTTCAAGCTCCTAGGGTTGAGACATATAACCATCGTGGTACGAGGTGCAGTTCATATTTACAGTCGATCAAGGTCCTAGAAGTCTGTCAGCATAGGTGGGTGATACCAATTATGGCAGACGCCTAATAACGATAGAAATCGACGAAATGGAGCAAGAGCCATGAGAAGTACCAACGAGAACCATATTAGCCTACCGGGTTAGTCTTCTACAGCAGTAAACTGAAGTACAGCTCTCGTAATGTACAGTAAGATGTAGATGAAGATGAAGACTACAGGGAGAGGAAGAAATGGAATGGGCGTGGATCAAGCCAGGTTACCAGATGTCCCCCACCCCTTCCAGATTTCACCCCTAGAACTTTCCATGGGAAAATACGGTAATTTACCATGGTTTCAGGGGATATTACAGCCCAGTACGTTAAATCCGACAATACTCCTAGACAGTGTTAATTTCTAATTAACCTCGTTTCGGGTACGGGCCGAGAAACAAGACGTGTGTGTCGGGGGGGGGAAACTGTCTTCGAATTCTACTGTATAACGATATTGGTCTTTAGTTTCCTTCTCGTCTGGTGGTCAGATAAACCACAGACATAGTCCTGAATACTTTTATACTCGAACGATTAATATTAACATGTTGTACAGACTAGTAACTCTGACAAAAAGAAAAGCACCTTGCAACTCCTAATCCCAGCTTTCTTCCCTCAGCCCAATTAATCAAAAATTACAAAATTTCGTTCAACGAGTCTCAAACTGACTCTCCGTCTTCAACCAAGTCCCAAAGTCCTTCAAACCAGGATTCAAATCTTTCAAAGCCGGAATATCAGCCCCGTATCCGTCGTCATGGAACCATTTAAACATAACACCAAACTCCTTAACAGTAGCCATCATCAACCAAACCGGCAGCCTGAAGGTAGTAGGAACCTTCTTGCCAGTCGACCGCTCAAAGATCTCCGACATCTGATCATACGTCAATTCATCCCCTGCAAGCGAAAGCGCATGATTCTTCGAAGCTTCCGGATTCATGAATGCGGAAGCAGCGAAGAATCCAATGTCGCTCGTCGCGATAAGTTGTAGCGGTTTGCCCTTGAGTGTCATTTTCCACGCGGTTGTGAATACCTTGCCGAAGTAATTGTTTGTGAAGTTCTCGTAAAAAGCGACAGGTCGGAGAATCGTCCATTCCATGCCTGTGCCTTTTGCTTTCTCTTTCAGATGCTCCTCGATCTCGTGTTTGTAGATGAAATGGGGGACGGGGGTAGGGTTGCTGTCGGATTTCTCGCCGCCACGGTCGACAGAGCTGTACACGAAGAATTTGACGCCTTGCTTGATAGACTCATCTACTAGCGCGGTTCCTTGACGTCTTTCATCGTCGTTTCGGGGGGTGGCGCTCTGATTTTGATGGTTAGTGGGTTCATGGTATGTGCATAGTTCTCAGAATAAGTCACTCACTTGAACACTGAATACACCCCAAACTGGCTCTGAAGTTTTGCGCTTTACATTTTCGAAAATTGCAGCGGGATCATCAAGGTTTCCCTGGATAAGTGTGATATTGGATGATTTCTGCGCGACCTTCTTTGCCGAAGCCGAGTTGACATCCCTAGTCACAGCGAGGATCTTAAAACTGGCATCTTTTTCAATGAGATTGTTAATCACAGAGCCTCCTTGTTTGCCTGTTGCACCGGTGATGAGAAGGGTGGCCATTGTTGCAGATGTAGAAGCCGGCCATGAGGTTCAGTTCAAGGGTAGAAAAGACTATATTCTGATAAACTTGCAAGTATTGGAGCTAAGTGGCCTTTTAAATATTCTTTTGAACACTATTCCAAAGTGATTGATAAAGGTTCGGCCCTTTCGTGGCCATAAACGCGACGTTTGTCATGCGGTGGCGGCTCGGGTTTAGTTTCAACCCCGAATTTGTTATATATGACGTCATCATATCAGACAATCGCTATTGATGTTAATTCCGTGGAATAAAGTGCCGCAAGCTTGTCAACATCATAGACTAAAGCTATGATATATTAGACTCATATCCAAATAGTTATTAAATTGGGATATTCCTATGTCACAAGCTTGATCTATATTTCCATTGAAGACTGTTTCCTCTATTAACATGGCGAGATTGTAGATATCCAAATCAACTGGCTCATCCCACTGCATCTTACATTAAATCTTAGCCCTGAAGGCTTTGGGCTCCGGCAACTGAGCAGGAGTATCGTCACGCTTCTTTTTCTCAATGAGATGCTCGAATGAAGCAGCACCGCCAACACGAGGAGTGAAAGGCTCGAAATCCCAGAGATAACCAAGAGTACGCAGGATAGAAGAAGCCGAGTAAGAAACAACATCTCCCTCCGAGTTAGTACCCTTCTGCTCAACTTGGCCCTTGGCAATCCACGGCGAGATAAGCAGAGTGGGAATACGACCACCGAGACGATTAAAGGTGAAAGTGTACGACTCGCCATTAGGCGCCGTCTCGGTGTAAGTCAGGTCATCAGGCCTGGGAGCCAGAGGGGGCGGGACGTGGTCGTGGAAACCACCGGTCTCATCGAAGGTCAGGATGAAGAGGGTCTCGTCCCACTGGGGGCTGGCGCGGAGTGCGTCGTAGACATTCTTGATAAAGGTTTCTCCGTCGGAGATCAGGCCTGTTGGGTGCATGGAGCTTGTTCCTTGTCCGCAGCAGGAGGGGTCGACGAAGGAGAACTCGGGCAGGGTGCCTGCTGCGGCATCGGCGTAGAAGTTTGTCAGTGGCTGGACCTTGTCAGTGTTGTTGCTGGTGAAAGTCCAGTCGAAGAAGAAGGCGTCGACCATGTCGGTGCTTGTGTAGTAGTTCTTCCAGGTGTGGTTGGTTTCTGAGAGTTGCTGGAAGATTGAGCGCTGGGTTAGTCCGTGGACATCAGAGTTGAAGGCATCGTCGTTGGTGCCATGGCCGGCTGATGTTCCGGACAGGACATAGGCGCGGTTGGGGTTGGTGGGCTGGTTTATGTTAGTTTGTTATATATGGATAGATAATGGGGTTTGATAAGCACTTACACCGGGGTGATCAGAGTGCCAGTGATTGAAGGTGAGGTAGTTCTGGACCAGAGTGGTCAAGACTGGCACCTCATCCTCGGTGTAATAGTTGAGGACTTGCTTAGCAAGTTCAGTCTTGTTTACATCGTCACCATAGCGACGCAGCTGCTCATGCACGAAGCCCCGTTGAGAAGGGGTGAGCTTGCCCTGAGCGATGTCGGCATTGTTCGGAGAGAAAGTGCCATAGAATTCGATGTTGTTGCCGGTCACCGAGTGAGCAGGATCATCCAGAATTGAGTCAAAGTCCTTAGCGGAACTGCAGACCTCGCCAGAAGAGGCGTCCGTCAGGTTGTATGGGTTACAGAAGGGACCGTTGTTGATGGGGTTCTCCAGTCCCTTGATAGTCTGACCACCGAGCAGGTTGTCCACAGAGCGGTTCTCCATCTCCAGGATGACAACATTCTTAATCTTGCTCTTCAGGTTGCTGATAGAAGCCGAAGAATGAGCTCGGGAGTTGTGAGCCTTGGGGGGAGCAGCGGAGACTGCGGCCGCGAGGGACAGTAGACCGAGAAGGGCAGCGAGATTCATGTTGAATCAGTGAGACAATGTCCAAGACCTGTGCTTGATTCCTCAGACTATATCTCAATGCCGGAATTGGCGTTGTTTTTATACGTTCCTGCTCGGCCAGTCGCATTTTCTCCAGAATCCCCGACATTCCTCAGAACAACGAATCTCCCAACACCCCCTCCCACGTGTTGCTCTAGATCCCATCGGCTCGGTCAAGTTGCATTGAAGCATGGGAATGAGAATGGCCTCCAGCTGCGGGGATATCAATTAATTGGTCCTCCGACAAGGCCAGCCATCTGTCCAGCATGAATAACGTTGGTACGAAAGGCATCCGATTGGCGACTACCACTCCTGTCGGGACCTGCATTGTACCGACTGCCCATACCCAGAAGATGATTGGGCAATGTGAGAGGGATAGACAGGTACACCCATCCTGTAGAAGATGCAACATCGTGTTCCACGGGGTGTTTCCGACCACGCCAAGCATTCGCCTCGACAGCCACAGTAAGGGGGTGTGAAGAATGAAGCGAGAAACCTCTTCAAATCAGATCGTGAGGTTGTTGCACGAGCAATGCTGGCTTGCAGCAAGCTAAGCTATTTCTGTGTTTGGCCCACTTCGTGCCTTGTGGAATTCTCCATGAAGCGCGGAGTGACAACACGTCGGTAAAAAGGCCGGGCTTGTCGGGATGAACCGCGACTTCCAGAAAGCCGCAGAAGAAGTGTCGATCATCGCGAAAGGTGGTATTTGGTCTATAAAGAGGTAAGCTTGGAGAGTTGAGTCGCCAGTGCGCAAAATCGTGGTTTAGGGGCGGGCGGTGATTGGCTGGAGGATATAGGCCATAACAACGTTTGTGGAAGTAGCATTCGGTGCGATATAAATGTTGTACAGGTGCACAATTGAAGAGAATTGTAGGTGCCAAGATTGAGCTGTGGTGAAATTATGTTATGCTCCGTTTACTAAGCATAGCCTTCTTAAGTGTAGGGATACTGAAAGGCATCCGTATATGTACCATTCAACTGTGTAAGGGCATATGTCGACGATTACATACATCGCTTAATGCACGCTCAGATCGCTGGCTATAATCACTTCGCTCCACCGTCAACTTCCACCACACTTCCATTTACATAGCTTGCCGCATCACTCATCAAGAACAAGACAACACTAACTACTTCTTCCATAGTTCCAATCCTCTCCATCGCACTCGCCTGCTTCCCCACAGCTTTGACAGCGTCGTCACCCTGCTTCACCGCAATATTCGTCGGTGTGTGTACATGCCCAGGTGCCACCACATTTACACGAATTTGCTTCGGGCCCAACTCCAGTGCCATGGACTTTGAAAATCCAACGATGCCAAACTTGGAGGCATTGTAAATTGCCCATCCCGCCATAGCACGGGATCCAGCAATGGATGAAACATTGACAATTGATGATCCAACTTTCAGATGAGGAATGATGGCTCGAGTCATCAGGTAAGTACCCTTCACATTCGTGTCGACGATTTTATTCCAGTATTCGTCCGTCGTTTCGGTCAATGGGTATGCTGTCGGATTCACACCGGCACAATTGAACAGATGGCTGACTGTCCCGAACTCTCGGGCAATTGACTCGACGGTTTTCGCTACATCGCACGATGATGTCACATCTAGCTTGAAGACATGGTGTTTGCCTTCAGCAAGATCGAAGGATTCCAGACCCTTCACATTTAGATCGCACAGCGCCAGTCGAGCATTGCTGGCTGACAATGCCTTGGCAGTGGCCAATCTTGCAGGACATTAGCCTACATATACATTATACAGTGGCGATGAGACACAAAATAATGGATAAGAACCGAAAGGAATAACAAGACGTCAACTGGTGCTTACCCAATTCCACTTGCGGCACCGGTGATCACGATGATCTTCCCCGAAAAGTCATATGAAGTCGCCATTATAGTATAAGATGCAAATATGACAAGATGTGATTCTATGTGCTTTCAAATCCAATAGTTTGTCAGTACATCGGGATAATTAAATGTCTCCGAGACGTGGCGGGGTTTGATCACTCTGATTATTAATGACGTGATTTCCAAGCCTCGGGGTTTGGTACACTTCACTTCTTCATATATTGTACTGTTCTTTGGCATTCTCTAATTCGACTCACTTTGAAATACACATGAGCAAATTCCTTTCTCTATTCTCGCGAAGCAGTCGTCTTTTCTCCACACAAAGCTTGCCCAGGATGACGACAGCAGCGTTCAACTACATGGACCCGTCTTCATATGACCCCAATGCAACAGAGGCATTCAAAAAGCCCTGGAGCAAAGTCGACGGGCCCGGACAATCCTACAAGCTCACCAGCTACCAGCGTTCCGTGGAGAATATCCGAGGCCGCGAGGCTGAATTCTCCATAGATAACGCGGGGTTCGCCGTGTACAACCAACCAGCAAAAGAGGCTGCTTTCACAGACGAGACCGAAGTAAAGAAGGGATACTATAGCGAAGTAGAAGATCTCCTTCGAAAGAAGCTTCCAGGAGTGAAAAAAGTCGTCATTTTCGACCATACCATCAGACGCCGAACTCCAGGATCAGCACGTGCCCCGGTCCAGCAGGTACACGTCGACCAAACTCCCCGCGCTGCAGAAGTGCGTGTGCGTCGTCATGTACCAGAAAATGAAGCGGAAGAGCTGTTGAAGGGTCGATATCAAATTATCAATGTCTGGCGACCGATCCAGCACCCTGCGTCTGATTTCCCTCTGGCTGTTATTGATTGGCGGAGTACCGATCCTTCTGACTATGTGAAAGTTGACCTCTTATATCCGAAGGGAGAGGAATCCAGAGAAGTGGCGCCTAATCCTGAGTCAGCATTTTCGACAGATGGATATGAGGTCAAGGGAGAGACATATGGTGTGGCTCCGAATGATAACCATCGATTCTTCTATGCCAAGGATATGACGCCTGAGGAGGTTATGTTTATTAAGTGCTTTGATTCGCGGAGCCAAATGATGACTGGTGGGAAGACGGATATCGCTCATGCTACGTGCCATACTGCTTTCGTTGATCCGCAGACCCCAGCGGGAGCCCCCGGGCGGCAGAGCATTGAGGTTAGATGCTTGGTCTTTTATGAGTAAAGTGATTTTGATCATCTACATGTATATGATTACGGATAATGTCGTTTAATAATATCTTTTGCATTGTGATTGTTCTATTCCTTCTGTGGTATCTATGCATGCCTCAACTCGGCCGAGAAAGTTGCGATCCAAAAACATACACTATCGTCAAGCTTCTTATAATGAGTCAAGTCATAACTTAGCTCATTCGATGCAGTTACGGAGATGCCCGTGTAGATGCGGATCCACCCCACAAATTCGACTCGGGCCGCTTCTGAGTCATTGGATAAATGCTGCACCGGTGGGCTCCTGAGCATATAAACCGCAAGCATTCCGATACCATACGGAGGAAAATATATTGAAATATCTTTGAGTCTCTCTCCAATTCAAACTAGATAGTTCAAGGCGTCTGAATAATGTAAGTACCGTCATCGGCTATTACTCTCAAAACCCCCTTCATCTAACACCATCTATAGCCATTCAAGATGGGAACTACCGAGTCATCCCAACATAAAACCTGGGCAAAAGAACCATATATCATCTCAACCGACCCATCACTAATCCCAATCTCAACACTAAACACCTGGTTCGCAACCGAAGAAGTCTACTGGGCCAAACCCATGCCCGAAGACGCCATGCGAGCAACACTACAAAATTCCCTCTGTTTTGGCTTGTACCACTGTCCAAACAAAGATGCAAATGAAACAAAAGACCCCAAAGCCGAAAATTTGGAGTTCATCGGTATTGCAAGATGCATCACAGACACCACAACATTCATCTACCTAACAGACGTCTTCATTCTACCCACGTATCAGGGCAGTGGACTCGGCAAATGGCTTGTGAGCTGCGTGCAAGAAATCATTGAGACTATGCCGTATTTGAGGAGGTCGCTTTTGTTCACGGGCGATTGGAAACGCTCTGTGCCGTTTTATGAGAGAATTATGGGTGTTGATGTGGTTGAATGTAGGCCGCCGGCTGGTGGCCGGGATGGGAAGGGGTTGGCTGTTATGATGAGGAAGTTTAGGGGACATCCTGATTTTGTAGAGGATTCTTTAACTTAGATGGTGTCGTTACACTATTCACTTGGGAATTTGGAATGTCCTTTATCAGCTATTAGAATTAGGTATTCATTGGTTTCTTTTGAAATGCAGAGGAAATAATAATTATGCAACATTCTTTATATAGAAGATTAATGAAAAGAACCATTTCTATCTCATCAGTTCATAGCGCACATGACTCATGACCAACATTATAACCTTGAAAATGAAGCAAGTCAACTGCCCGTCAAATCATCCGCTAAGGCTTAGGACCATACCCATATCCCCCAACGACAGAGCCCAACGCATCCCACGGTACAGAGGTAGGACCAATCCAATTCTGCGGATGAAGCTGGGCGCCAAAACTAGAATGCATGATTGGTTCACTGGATGATGATACCACTGTCGGTACTGGAGATCCAGAGTTCGAGTGCGGGTGTGGTTGGGAGAGGACGTAAGTATCTTGCATCGTGACCACCGGGGATAGATTTGACATGGTGGATATCGGTGTTGAGACTGCATTGAGGAGGGGATTGTGGATTTGAACGGGAGTCTGGGCCTGGGCCTGGAGGTGGATTTGGGAGTGGGATTGGAAGTGAGATTTTTGATCGTTGTATTTTGTGCTCGCGACGTCGCTAGTTTGTGTGTTAGTCGCTTTTCCTTGTGAAATCATGGTAGAAAGCTTTCGTGGAACATACAGAATTTGTCGAAGAACGGGTACAGCTTTGCTGCAGAAGACACTGCGGACTGAGAGCGAAGCGAATGAGTCGAGTGCTTGGTCGAGAATCTCTTTCATCTCTTCGTACTCAGCCAGGCTCTCTGGAACGAGGAGCATTACTGCTAGTGCTACTGCAGCATGAAAAGCGTGGAAGCTTCCTAGGCCACTGGTGTACCATTTGTATGGTTTGAACTGAGGGGACTCGAGGAGAGCCTGGAATATAGCCAGTGAGGCTTTTGCAGACGCGATGCATTTGGCCCTTGAGACGCATGTTTCGGGTGTGATTTCTCCCTGGATATAGCGGCATAAACTCGGGCGGAATAGAAGGAGGAGGAGCTGGTGGATTTGGCTATAAAGGATGTGGAGGTTTGCCTGGTGGTGAATGGGCAGAGGCTCGGAGTCGAGTTGGTAGCGGGCGTCGCACATTTCTCGTACGGATATTAGTTCCGCTTCGAGATTAGATACTGTAAAGCGGGAGGCGTGGGGATAGGTGAATATTGACTCGGTGATTTTTGATGTGATTTTGTAGAGGCGGTAATTAAACAGAAGGTAGGTCATTTGCGTTGGGCGAGAGGTAGAAGGTGAGGGTGCAGATCTATGGTTGGATCCGGTTAAAAGGTCGACGTCGTCGATGTCGGCGGGCATTTTCACGTCTTGTGTTAACTTTTGCTGATCAAGGCTACCAAATGATGTGTTTTGGATGGTGTAAAGCATCATCAATCCGGCCCAGACCCGTCGTCGTTCTTCGCGCTCGATTGGACCTAGGGCAAATCGCTCTGGATCGAGGTGACAGCCCATCGAAATGGCAACATGCTGTGTAAATCCGAGCAATGTCCATACTGGGAGACCTCGATGAAGTCTTGCGTAGCATATGAGCACTAAGGCTTGTAGGGAGTTGATAGAATGACGAGACACGACTCCATCTGCAGCTAGACATCGCAGTGAAGCAGACCGATATCGTGCTGATAGTGCTTTGATATTTCGGCTGACTGTTCTCTCGCGCCCGAGATCTGCTAATAGGGGATGATCATCGTCAAGGGCGCTGACAGCTATGGCAAGAATAGCAAATAGCAGAGCCAGCCACGACGTTGAAACACTGCTAGGGTCATGGCAGAATTGCTGATATTCTGCCTCAAATGTCAAGTCATGAAGAATATGAAAGACCTATCAATCTGTTAGCCAGTACTAGCCAACCTCCTCCAAATCACATACCGTAGAAAAAACCTGAAAATAGACATCTTTCAGCGTATCACAGTACCTCCCAGGCGGAAGAACCCCAAGCAACTCGGTCCTCGAAACACTTCCATTCCTCACTAACGGGATCTGCAGATCATCATCATCATCTGCAATCTCCGAATCCAAACTTCTCAAACACTCCGCAGCGGGGCTCTTCGCAACAATCGACTCCCACCGAGAAGCAATAGGCACATAACGGACATGGCCGGAAGGCGAGGTATGCAAAGAGCCCACATTACCCAGCATGGGACCTAACGAGTCCCATGTCTCGAATCCAGGACCAATATCAGACTCGGAGAAACTGCCAGTAGCACTCGTCCCACCCAGTGGCGAAACCGCGCCACCGGTGGGCGTTCCAACTTGGGAAGCCATCTGTTTCTGAAGCAAGGCTTCCAGGTTCCTGATTCGAGCCAGTAGCTCACTTTGCACTGCGCTGTCGCCTGGTGAGGATTGCTCAGCTGACAAACGGGGCTGGCCGAGGTAGATGCAGTCTTCGGCGCCGAGGCCACGGCGTACGCAGGTTTGACAGGGTCTGCCATCGCGCGAACACCGGATCTTTCTCATTCGGCAGGCTTGGCAACTAATAGGGAGGCGTTTGCCTGTTGACCGGGATGATGAGGCCATATGGTTGAGTGGGTAGTATAGACCAGACTTGATGGGAGAAATGCCGCACAATGCGCTTTTTTTGGGTGGAACGGTGGAGTGCGGAGATGTTCAAGGACACATGGACCAGTTTTGACTTCAAAGGAAAAGTTGTTCAGGAAACAGGTACTCCGCGATACACGTTGTGGACCGATGGTTTGTTGAGTTCAATTGGGGCCCATCGACTTCCAGATATCGCGGAGGGATAAAACAAGGCCAAAACCTAGTGGGCCAGGGGAAGATAACGTTTTAAAAAAGTCTAGTTGAAGAGTAATGCTATTCTATATATTTTCGGATTTATAATAATAAAATATAATCATCAGGGGGCAACTCTTTTCCCAATGTTTAGCGGACAGCTGAAGGCCGCATAATCCTTTGCCCCAATCTTCAAGCGGACCAAACAAGAAAGCCAAGAGAAACAATAAATGAAAATAATGAATTAGGATATAGTAGACTATGACATAGGACAGCATAGCTTAGGCAGTAACGATGCATGGCACTTCTAGAAGGGAGCGAAATGTTCTCCGGATGGGTCCTTGCGGATCTCTGTTTCAGCGTGGAGTCCCACTTCAGATGAGACTATGCAGAATGAGGTATTTAGTGGAAACTCTGTGAATTGTTTAGTCTTAGAAGGTTTGCTGGGATTGGCTTTAATTCACTGCATCCATGGATTGCATGTTGCTTGGGCCCTGTCAAGTACGGGCCTTGTGCTCTTTGATCAGGAATTCTTTTCAAGGGATCGAGTATGCCGATATGCAGGTTGTTTCATTTTTGCCATTTTCCGTGCCTAGATCGGAAGGTCGTGCAAGGAAGTAAGAGATGATTTCATGTTCAGGAATTGCCGGCTTGCCGTTGCCACTGGGTCCAAGCCACTAGAGGATGCCGATCGGCATCCTTGCGTGACTTGTCATTTGGATTCTCAGCCCAAACCCTGTGGAGGAGCATCTTGACTGTGGATTGGCCACGGCTATTTTCTCCCGACTGAGCCACACCTGCCAGCCATTCCCCCTGGACGCCCTGGCGGCGATAACTTACCGTTGAACAAGCCGACATGTGAGAAAATTCTGACTGAGTTTGCAGGTACCAGTTCCCCGGAGACCTCAGTGGAAATGACGGAAGCCTTGAAATGTTGTTTATTTTTCTATACATCGAACCCATGGGCGGTGAACATCCGGTTCCGTGGTATATATTCTAATAGAGTGAGATCATTCTACTCTATTTTCTTCTTTCTTTAAATCTAACTCAGATCGCCAAAAATTTCCACTGAGGCTCTCAATTCCCACATGGTATGATCGTCAACCCCATTGTGCGAGCTATCGTCTAATTAGCGGGCTCGGACCCCTGTTCCTGGCTGCTGCTGGGATTGCAATAGCCACACATGGAAATATAGACGCGCATCTACTCATTCCAATAAATCTTGTTTAAGTCGTCTAAAGCAATAAATAATAATGTCGGTGAAGTAAACCCCGAAAGAAGCCCGATATCAACTTGTGCGAGCTGATCTGTCAGAAGTCCAAAGTGGCAAACAACCTCCTCCCCGTCCACACACATCTGCACAGAGCAAAGTTTCTGTTCCATGTTCCCGAATATCTTCCTCCCCCACCCACCCCAACCACCGCCAGAGAAAGGGCATATATCAGTTTACTTTTTGCTTTTTGCTTTTCTTCTTGCTTTTTCCCTGAGTGTCCCGTTTCACGTTAAACTTTGTCGTGCATGTTGATCATTGAAAGATCATCCTGTCGCGTGGCGATGGAGGCTTCCGAAAACCATGTATCGGATTTTGGGAGAATTGGGGTGCACGTGGACGGAGTCCTTTCTCTTCTAGAAGACTGAGATCGGCGATGAGCAATCTCAGATCAGTCCAGAGGATTCACCTGGAGTTTACTAGCTCATGTCTCGTCATCGCCCAGACATGTGAATGCTACATGAGCATCAGTAATACGAACGGGAGGCAACGATGATTGGAAACCACTATGAAGACTCCTGTTACAGTTTTACTATGGAGCGTTTAAACTTGGCAGTGGCTTTTGCAAGTATCCGCTATACAGACAAGGATCCACTTATACGAAGAGCACTGTGTCCGTTGACGAAAACAAGATCTTTTATATTCGGCATCCAATGAAGTATCGCACCGGCTATGTAAAAGCCTGATCAGGGTATAGTGCCTCCAATTCGAGATATGCAGGAAAGCCACGCACGCTCCAACAAAGGGGCACGAGCACGGGCAGATAGACATAAGATTTGACATGGAAGGCGTCTCGAAAGCCACCGAACTTCCCCTTATCCGTTGCATTTGTGGGGGATGGCTTTTCAAAGAGAATCTACATGAGTCCATAATATAGAGTTCCGTTGCGCATGCATGGGAAATGGATCCATGGCCATGCACATGCACACTAACATACTGTAGGCTTCGCACCGGAAGTGTTTTCCAATGCTATACCCATTTACTACGCTGGTAGGTTTGTGATTAATAGGTCTCTGAAACTGAAGTAGGAATGTAAACTGCCTAAAAGTTCGTCTCCACTGAGCCCTATGTGAATAAGTTCTAGACGAAACTGCTTAAACTATTACCTCTGTCGATTCCACATGCTTCGTGTCGCCAACCACACTAGCTACACGTTTAAGGCTGTCATCTTGATCGACGACCCGGTCGCCGAATGCTGCTGCCACTTCTTCGAGGGTCTTTCGCTTGGTTTCCCTGTGGATGTTGGGTTAGCGTTGTTCTAGACAGATGGAATAGCATCAGTAGCATCAGTAACATACGGGAAGAAGAAGTAAGCGATGACCAGGAAGAACGAAGAGCATGCCACGAAGACATAGTAGTAGTTCTCGCCGATGTTGGCAAATGCACTGGGTCCTGCCTCGGTGACTGGTTCGGGGTGATGTATTAGCGGTCATTCTTTTCCATACCGTTTAATAAATGTGTGACATACTTGCAACATTGACAATGAAATGAGATGCTGCTGCAAGACCCATAACCTTGCTACGGAGAGCAATGGGTAAGACCTCGGCGCCATACAGCCAGGTAGTACTGTTAAGCATGCCGTCTATTAATCAGGTTAGCAACAATCCCACGCAGAACCAAAGTCAGTCAGTGAGCTTACAGTAGCAAACCACAAACAGGTAGATTCCAAGAATGGCGAATCCCTTTCCGATGTTGTTATCTGTGTGCTGGAATTCCCTCTGCATCACAGCGGCGTAGATTTCTATCAAGACAATGCCGGCCAATCCGGTGATGAGCATCCTTCAGATTGTTAGCATCCACACAAGATACAACCAAAGGAGTATACATACTTTCGGCGACCCCACTGGTCAGTCATATATTTAGTCGTGATTGAGTTAGAGATGAAGGCGACGGTGCCGTAGACTGCGGCTAGAGCGAGAATGGTGTGGGAGCCAATGCCTAGACTTTTGTATAGGATAGCTGAAAAAAGAGTTCGATGTTAGTATGTGTTTCATCTGACACCCAATCCCCAGACTTTCAGAACTCACTCTGATAATACTGAATGACGTTGACACCAGTCAAACTGGTCATAGTCTGCACAGCAATAGACCTATAACCCGAGTTAGTCTCATCTCAAGCAAAAAATAGCAAGAAAGAAGAACCCACACAAGAACCCGATGCCTAAACAACCTAAAGATCTCCCGATAAGAAGTAATCTCCCTCTCCATCTCATACTCAATCTGAGCCTTCATCAACCCAAACTCCTCCTCCATCTCCACCAAACCTACACCCCTCCTTATCCTCGCAAACTCACTCCTCGCAAGATCAATATTCCCAACGCGAATCAACTGCCGCGGCGAATTCGGCATAAAAGTAGCAAGCCCAATAAACAAAATAATACCCCAGGGGATCTGAATGCCCAGCGGCAAACGCCACTGCACATGCCCGTACGGCGCATAACCGCATGCATAGCCAACCCAGTTCGACATCATCGTGCCGAAGGAAATACCACAGCCGGAAATACCACCGATCAGACCACGGTAGCGTGGATCTGAGATCTCGCTTAGGTAGATTGGGACTGTGGCTACTAGCCCGCCGACGGCGTAGCCAGCTAGCACGCGGCCGGCGAGGAACATGCCGATATTCACAGAAGCTGTTTGGATTACTGTGCCGATTGTGACGATTATGCACATTAGTTGCATGAATCGGATGCGGCCGAGTTTATCGCCGATGAAGGTTTGCGTTAGGGCTCCGCAGGCTTCGCCGGCGATGTAGACTGCGACGACCTGGGTTGTGTGTTAGGATTGGGGAATGCTGGATGGTGTGGGCTTGTTGGACGTACAGCTCCTGTTAAGCCCTTTGAGGGCTCTTTCATGTAATCGATCCAGCTTTGGTGGGCGATTGCTTTGGGTCTATTAGTTTTGAGTCCTGGATAAATGGCGATTGGAACTTACTTGTCGTGGCAATGCCGGTATCAAAGCCCTATCCAACACATTAGAATCAACTCTCAATGATAGGAAAAGAGACAACCATACAAACAAGAACGTGCCGATAGCAGCGAAGAACGCAATACCAAGAGCATACCACATAGCCATCTTGGTCAGAATAAGGATGTAAACCCTTCAGTGTCGCTATCCAAGAAAAGTAGCGATGTCAAACGTGCAGAAAACAGCAGCAAACCCACAGCTTATAGAACCCCAGAGTTTACCCCAGATATAGGATGATCTGAGCGACCGCCGGGGTACGTCCGATGAGCCGAGGAAGGGGGCGTCACAGTAGCGAAACAACCTGGAAAGCAGAGGTCGGAGAAGACCCGACAGGAAATGATCTGGGGAAGCGGGGAAGTAAATCTAGTATACGAGTCGAGTCTCCACTCCGTCTTCTCGAGTCATTTGATTGATGTTAGGAAGCCTTTTAGCTTTTGTAACATTGTTATTTGGGGGTTTTCATCCCTATCCCCGGAATGCGTGGGGTTGGATCTACAGAATGGGGGTTTGATAGGGATTCTGCTCACTTCCCGTCCAATCGTTTTATGTCGTGAAATGCTCGGATTGCCACTTTGGGTCACGTCTCGCCTTTCGGTGCTTCTATGTCCGACAAGAATCTGCACTGACCATTCATTGTTTTCACTGGCGGCATGTCTTGATTCAAGCCAAGAAAGAGGTTCTGAGTTTTGCAGGCGAATTGTTGCTTGGTGGCGCTCCAGGACCAGGGTTGTAGAGATCGGGGAGGCACCGATGAGTATTCCAGGTTTCCATCTGTTGGACAGGTTGTTGTCACTTCGTTGATTAGATGTTACTGCATACTGTCCTCTTGTTGAGTGGGCAATAAATTTGAATCTAGGTAACAGTCGGACAAAAATGGATGTCTGTATAATATGTAGGTGGGACTCATTGATGGGGTGATCTTAGAAATCAAACAGACCGATGGAGAAGATGGCTTGAGTTCCAATAGAAGGCAGGCGTAACGGTCCGTCTATATGGACCCTGAGTGCTAAGACAGCGGATCTCCAAAGCAAAGATCCAATTAAACGATGATGTAGAGGAAGAGACACATTCCAGTCCACCGGCTGTGGGCCCAGTCAGGAGCTTGTGAGGACTTGGCTGGGACTGGAACATCCAACCCACATGGTCGGAGCGCTATGATAGAGAACTCTGGGGAGTATGTCAAGGCCCAACGTGGGCATGGCATGACCACAAAGGTGGATACTACGTGCAGCCACTGGCAGCTCTACAGTGAAACAGAATAATCATTCAATAGACTCGTATCCGGTAGTCATAGATGGTGTTTTTGAATAGTTGAATTCCTATTTCATTTTTCCATTGCCAATGTCATAGATGCTCCGCAGCAGCGGAACACGTTGTGCAATGCAGGAAACCCAGAAGCCGAACAAGGAAATCGCACTTAGAAGACAAGAGCAGCACCCTTGGTCTTCTTGTCACCACTGTAGAAAAAGTCACGTCAGCATTGAACAGCCAGTCCAGATCATGGGGATCAACATACCCCAGCTCGAAGTGCTTGCAGCGCTTCAGGGCGAGCTGCTTCTTGGTCTTGCAAGAAGTGCACTCAAGACGCAGAACAACCTTCTTGGTGGTCTTGGCCTTCTTGTGGAAGACGGGCTTGGTCTGACCACCGTAACCACTCTGCTTCCGGTCGTAACGGCGCTTACCCTGGGCGAAGAGGGAGGCCTATTTTCACAAAAGATTCGAATCAGCAAATTGGCTCAGTGTCGGTCGGTGTAGTGAGGGCACGTACCTTGCCAGCCTTGTACTGGGTGACCTTGTGCTGGGTGTGCTTGTGGCAGTCCTTGGACTTGCAGTACGTCCGGCGGGTTTTGGGGATGTTGACCTGTACGGAGATTTCATGAGCATTTGATTCTTTGGTATGATTGTGCGAATGAGAGGATGTCAGGTTCGTGTTCGAAGTCCGATTCGAAATTCGTGCGGTCGCGGAGATATTGGTCGTTCTGATCAAGTCTTGTATTCATCGTAGAGCGGACGTAGTGGGCAGGCAAAAGATTCGAAGAATCAAGTTGCGCACCATTTCAATCGGCTTCTGGATCCCTCGGTCCCATCATGAAATGTTGTTTCGGGGTTTCGCCACCCCTGTTCACTCCAACGTCGACTTCCTGAATCATTCTGCAGAATTCCGGTAAAAAGCAGATGTCTGGGTGGCGGGTGGTGTAGCACTTCGCGATGGTCGTTGGTCTTGACTATTTCGAGCTTGGCCGCACAGTTGGACCGCACAGTTGAATCACGAACAATATCTCCGGTGGGAACTTCGAAGGACTTCGGAACAGAGTATGACATTATCCAGAAGGGTACCCTTACCATTTTGACTGACTTGGCCGGATAGCTGGGTGGTGGTCGTTGGATTGTCGCTTGTCGGAGGAGAGCAAGATCGATTGTTGGGTTGTGGGATTGTGCTCGCTTAGGCCCTATCGGGTGGGCGCTAGCCGCTTTGGGTAAATCGCCAAGTGGTGCTGAGTCATTGTGCCCTTGTTGCCTGAGGCACCCTGACATCATTTTTCAAAGTTTATTGAAGTAGCTCTGTCTACATGCGTCTATGTGTATGTCTTTCTATGGGAAACCCTCTCCAATTGCGACACTGTCTCCTTTCCCGTACCACGTCCGACCTTTCATTAAATCCAGCCCCTTCTCATGCCCAATTACCCATTCTGCATTGAGCGCATTCTCACTCGAGTCAAGCTTCTCATTGATTTGGTCGATCTTGGAAACGAGGTTTGCAGCATACGTCCCAGTTGTCCTCGGGTCCTCTTGCGAACCATCAGTCCGAACAAAACGAGCAATAGTGATATGTGCAGATGGAAGCGTATATCGAGCTGCGATTGAACAGCCAGAACGAGTCACAATATCGTAGAGATCGCGCCGCAGGTGGTGATACGTAAATGTGTCATCTTTTCCACTATACGGGCTAACTTCCTCCTCGCCAGCCGCTGGAAGAAAGCTCAAGGCAATAGCAGAAGTATCAATGCTGACTATCGGCTTGACTAGTCGGGCCCGGTGGGTAAGGGTGTAGTTTATCAGCTCTTGGAGAGACCCACTCTGCTCAAGAGAAGAGCAGATCTCATCAACATCGGATCCTGTCAGTTCAGATCTAATTTCGAGTGTAGTCATGTGCAGGTAATCTGATGGGACAAGCCAGAGGCCTAATGGCTGTTAGTATGCTGCCTGTGGGGGCCCATAACAACCATTACCTGGTCCAGCTAAGGGAGCAACCTCCTGCTGGATATTGTAGACCAAGTCTCGGATATGCTGCGGTGGACGTGCCCAGAAGGCAATATTGTGTCTTGGATCGACGAAGCCTGTCAATCCTCTCTCTGCTTCAAGAACCTGGTGAAGGATTTCGTCGTCTTTCCATTCACGAAATCCGGATTGCAGGAGCTGGTTCCGGAATACGGCATTCCTGTTTGATCTATGAACGGTATAGGCAATTTGCAATTGGTTCTGGTTGCTTGGTTAGTGCTTCGTTGTTGAGGAGTGACTCGGACTTACTGGATCATCATTGAGCTGATCGATTAAACCCTGGAATGGATTTGGAGGCGCAAATGGCACCGATTCGTTGGTCATCTTTTTCAATATTTTGAGTTGACTTTGATTTGATTTGACTGTTGATGCCGAGCTGTTTCAGCGGGGTAGTCGGGGTAGAAAAGTCAGACGGGCGACAACCGAGCGGTCGAAGTATACAGAACAGTAAGTCAATATGGTTATTTTTCAGTCAGGGGAATGGTTAAGGATGAGATTATAGAGATACATGTTTCTTTGACTATCGAGTTTGAATTTATGTTTCCTTACTTGAAGTTTATGGTGGCAGTTAGTAGTATGCGTTAAGATATATATTGCTAGAATCCGGGGAAGCTGTTGCGCAAACAAGGTTTTCCGGAACATCGCTACTAAAATGAGATCATTCTTATGACTACAATAGTAAACTAACACCTCACAAGCCAGATATGATAATTGTACCTAATAATTAATTTGCACGCGAACAATCTCCAATGTGAGGCTCTGACACAATCAGGCCACAAGGCCACAAGCCCCACCAAACCCCCACCGACTCACATCTTCTCTCCGAACTCACCAGCTTGTCCGTACCTCCAACTTAAACCAGCCTCTCCTCTGCATTTCCTCTCCAAACCAAAAAACCACCCACGCTTTCAAAATGTTGATCAAGTACGTTATCTGGCTCTGGGACAAGCCCGTCCCCAATGCGTCATCGCATGACCACCGCAAAGCACCGCGCTAACATTCCATGTTAACCAGAGTCCGCACACTCACAGGCAAGGAGATCGATCTCGATATCGAGCCTGACTACAAGGTACGCCACTTCCCCAGCACGAACGCGTTTCGGCCTCCCGCGCATTGGATCTGTCTCTACCCGCGACTCGGCAGAGCTACAAAAAAATATCTGCACGTTCACCCGTTATTGCGCTTATACTGATGTGAACGGCTTCATGCAGGTCTCCCGGATAAAGGAGCGTGTCGAGGAGCGCGAGGGTATCCCCCCTGTCCAGCAACGACTTATCTTCGGCGGCAAGCAGATGTAAGACACCATACCCGGAGAGTGCAGTTTCACTCTCCTAGTTTCCTTTTGCTCTTCTACTGGGAATTAGAACATGTCTAATACTTGTTTATCTATAGGGCGGATGACAAGACAGCTGCAGAATACAACCTCGAGGGTGGCGCCACACTCCATCTCGTGCTTGCCCTCCGTGGAGGATGTGATGCCCTTTGAACCGTCCTGCATTTCTTTTTAGATACCATACTCTTTTACAGCAATGAGATTACGTTGAGGAAAACTCGTGCATTACACATGGAGCCCTTACCTGGGGTCTATCTTTGACAGATGCAATGCTGATGTTTGCGCTTGACCGGCGATAATTTGCATACTCGGCGTCCTGGATAAGTTTGTTTGGTTAACTATTATCATTGGTTATGCGATGACATCTCAGGTTGGACTTGGCTGCGAGCCTACCTAGGTTCAACCTTTCCCATTTCAAACACGGCCTATGTTGACCCGCTGTAGAGTGGAGAAACGATGGAACCCAGCTTGCAACCGAAGAGATGGAATTTGACGAGCTGAACCCGATCCCCAAGAGTGTAATGAAGTCACAAAATTTCATACTTCACCTAGGCTAGTTTCAAGATGTCTACATTACTGTGTCGTATTTCTACCGTCGATCACTGGCCAATCTTGGAGCCTACCAAGGATAGATGATGGCATCTGATAGCTACGGAGCTTGAGACTAGTGAAGGACGCCACAAGAGAAGATAAACAGAAGACCAGCAAAGAGTAGCATATCAAGCATGTCTGGGAAGAAAAAGGACGAGAAGAGGGCGAGGAGGGAAGAAGGATCGAGCTGAAAGATGCTCGCAGTGGGTCTTTATAGCCATGAATGTGCCTATCTCCGGGGCTGCTCAACTGGCTGAAGAAGAGAGGCAAGCCTAAATATACGACATGCCTAGCCCTTGGTTCTGGTATCTCTATCGACCTAAAGTAAGACAAGTAACCCATGAAGGTAAAATAAGGATCGAATGTGGGAGACATGGTCCTTGTTGGTGTAGTTTGCCTTCTCGAGCTTGTTGTAGTCAAGACCGCTAGATGATTTAATGACTTTGGCAAAATCGTCGGTGACACGGCTAGATGGTCGGTCACTGCAGTACACCATGTATCCTGTGCAGTCAATGAGTCTCCTGATAGTTGGATCAGTACCCATGAAAAGGCAGGGCGTGTCGTGATCATCACCCATGGCGTCAAAAATTTTCCCCTGCATCACCTCGCGAGGGTAGCGTGTGCCATCCTTAGAGCCGTCCCGGAATTCAAGCTGTCTATCGATAGACCTTGGCATGTCCACAAAATCAGGGCTCGCCACGATGGTTCCGATCGTGAATGCGCTTGTTGCGCCCTTAAGGTTCTTATCCGTTAACTTATAGACTATGAAGGAAAGGAGTGAAAAGTAGGTGAGCGTCAAGTGAGGCGAACTTGTCGCCAATCTGATATTCAAGTGAGGTCTACCCGACCTCAGGGAATGAGAACTTATAGCACGAACTCCCACGCTCCCATCACAAATGCATGTCCCCCAGCGCCATAAATATGCAAATAAAATATACATGAAGGCGCGCCCGCGCACCAAAGCAAAACGCCTCAAGATAAATATAAGGACTTGTGATCCTTAGATCATGACACCCGCTTTCGCTTCGCCGGCATGAAGATGCTCGGCTCTTGGCGTCGACGAATGACGCCCTGACGGAGAGCAGGAGGCCCGGATGACGGCGGGCGGGAGGAAGGGGGAGGGTCGTGAGATGGGGCGGGTGCCTTGCCGACAGGCTGAGGAGGAGAGGCAGGTCGCTTGAGATCAGGCTTCGTCGCGGGAGCCTTCTTGGCAGCGGACGACGGAATTGGCTTTCCTGAAGTCAAAGCCCGCAGTCGGTCCTCTCCCCGCAGTCGGTCTTCTCTGACTGGGAGCAAGGGGTGCTTAATGGTCGCAGCGGAAGGTTGGCGGGACCCGATCATGGCAGGGTTGGTCTTCATCTTTGATGCTGGTGCATGCTCGGGGCGGCGGTGCTCTTCGACCAGGGATTGGGGGGCACGGGTGACTTGCGAAGCCCGATTGTTAAGCTTGTTGCTGGGGATGGATAGCGCGTTGTTGCGCTTCTGTGGCGCAAAGATGCCCTTTTTCTTGGGGAACCCTTCTCTAGGAAGTCTTGGAACGTTGAAGACCCAGCCGGCCATGGGTGTCTTTGGGTTGGGCTCGTAGACGGTCTCAACACCACCCATCTTGCGGTCCCAGGAGGCATAGCGTTGTTTCGTGGTGGGTCGTGCTCCGGCCATGCGTGCGCTCTTGCCTTGGTCAAGAATCTTGGGGGTGAGACGGGCGCGCTGGTTGGAGATTCCGTCGAGGGCCATCTTCATTCTCTCGGCATCCGCCTCGAGAGATCGCTCGACCTGTGCACCGAGATCGCAGTACACCTGATACCAATCGTTGGAATCCTCAGGCAGTTCGTACTGGTCCCAACTTGGGATGTCGCGCTTTATGAACTCGAGCCATAGTTCTTTGTCGTGTTCAGCGAACTGGGGGGATGCGAGCTCGAGGGCATGCTAAGAGACAAAGAGAGTGTTAGCAAACATTGCGCGCAAGAGCAAGGGGGAATGACATACAAGCTTCTGAGGGTTGTCGACTTTGATGAGGATGGGACGTGCGAGGGCGTATGGAAGGCTGCCCAAATTATCGAGAACTAGACGGTCCATAAGTGAAGAGGTCAGCAAAAAATTGCTTTGTACTGAAAGTCCGCCCAAAATGGGACCAAAGCGACTGAGGCTTAGCAACAGCCAAAGCACAGACAGTGACATAGCCACAACTGAGATCAGACCAAATGCGTCCAACATGCGGATGATTGTCTCCTTATAATAACATACCCTTAACATGACGAATCGCCATGGCGGTAGCCAGCCGGAGGAGAGATGGGGCTGGCATTGCTTATGACGGAAGAGGACTCGACCGAAATGAGCGATACAGCAAGGGTGGCATAGGAAATGTCGTAATAGAACGCAAATGAGACAAAAATGGAGCAGCAGAAAAAAGTAAATGAAGATGCGAATATGTGAAGATGTGAAGATGAGAAAGCGAGGATGACCCGCAGGTCTCTAATAGCGGATGATCCCCTCGTGGCTGTTTATTGGCTGCCCTTTCTATACACAATATCGATTCTCTATTCTGTTTCTGTTGTTCATTTTCTATTCATCTGATGTTCTATAGGAAATAAGCTGTATTGTCCAATCCAAGTCCAACTACGTCAGTCAATGTTAGGATGAATCACCCTCAGATCCTATTGTCGAGCCATTTGGGCGCTGTACTCGATTTTGATTGGCTGAGAGTAAAAAAGCTCCCCAAAGCAGACCACTCACAGACCTCCAAAATAATAATATTGCTTTATTCTCATCCAATCATTCTGCCATTTTAGCTGTCACGTGCACAGCAAACAACACAAACATTACCCCCCATAGCATCATCGAGGGGCATTATCAAACATCCGCTGGATCTCCAATTCAGTTCAAAATCGAAAATGGCCCCTCGCTCACAGCTAGAGATTGTCACATCCTCCGTGCTCCGCCTGGTCAAGGAGGAGGCCTCCTACCATAAGGAGCTTCAGCAGCAGACCGAGCGTGTGAAGAAGCTCGAGGCCGAAACTGGTGGCGATGACGAGAACCGCGAGTTTACTCTTAAGCAGGAGGTATGTACCTCGAGCATGGATTTTAACTGCCTTACTGTTACTGCTTATGCCAATTGAATCCCGGATGCTAACATCAATCCAGCGTGCGGCACTCGAGGAGACTAGGAAGGTCTTACCCAGCTTGAAGCAGCAGATTGTCCAGACTGTCTCCAACCTGCAAGCTTTGATCGTAAGTACCAGACTGACTGCTACTCCATCGGCATCTATTAACCGCTCTATAGACTGAGGAGGGCAAGAAGGGCCTCGATAGTAACGTCGAGCACATCACTGCCGCCAAAGAAGCCATTGCCAAAGCTAAGACGGCCGAGCGAGAGATCTCGTAAAGGAAATGCCTACACGAATTACCAAAACAAAATACCCAGATGAAAGCTTCTAAATATCAATGATTGTAAATTAAAACATGCTCAACGCCCCGGCCCACCCAAACTCCTTGCTAGTAATGTATATGCAGAACAAAATGCACTAGGTGGTATCCATCTTCTCATTGTACATGTCATCAGGGAGTTCCTCTCCCTCCTCGAGTTCCGATAGCTGGCCCTCAGAGTCTGCAGAGACCTCGCCTTCATCAATCATGTCGGCATCGTCGGCCCCATCACCCTGTGCACTGATGACCTGTCGTAGAGGCGACGCAGCACCTGTAGTACCAGCCTTGTCAATCTGCAGGGCAGATGGCCGACCACCTTCATCCTGGCTGTTCTGCGATGGGGTCAAGGCATCACTGTCCGGGCCGGGGGTATTCGCATTGCTGGTTTTGCCCTTAGACGTGAGATCGCCCTCGTCGTTATCCTCGCCCTCTTGCATACCTTCCCGGCGTTCGACCTCCTCCTTCTCATCGCGGATCAGGCGGCGGAGCTGCATGCCCTCCTCGACAATACGACCGAACTGCTCGCGTCGCTCAGCCCACGTCTTGGCGTAATCCTTGCTCTCCTTTTCCAGGTCTGAGATCTCCACCCGCAACTTCTGAAGGTTCGACTGCTGGTCTTCGCGCGGCTTGAGCAGGCGGTTACTTGTAATCTTATCCGCCAGCTCATCGTAGGTCTTCCGCAGAGAAAGGAGTCTTTGTGCCTCTTCAAGCTGACTCCGGAGGTCGGCGGTGCTCTCCCGGACAGATTGCATTGTCGACAAGATCTGGACCCGCTCGGTGGCGTAGCGCTCGCGTTCATGCTCGTTGCTGGTCAAGAGGAACTGGACGCGCGCAATGCTGCCCTCGAAGGCGGCAAAGTCGAGTGAGACATCCTCGCGGAAGTGGCGCCATTCATCGAGCTTTTTCTGTTTTTCCGTTTCGATGGTCGGGTCGGCGTCGGCGTCTTCGGGCGGAGGAGTGAGAGGGAGCGAGGCTTGCGTTACAATGAGGGATTCGGGGTTTAGGAGGCGCTTCGAGATGCGCTTGAATGGTTTTTCTTCGACATTCAAGAGGCGCGACTTGTGGAGGGCATCTGCGATCGGAAATGTTAGCTTTGAGCTGAGAGGACAAGCTGGAGGAGACTGGACCTTCTTCTGGCTGACCCAGAAGGCCGTAGGAAGCCATTTTGGAGATCTAATTGTATTTAATCTCAAGAAGCTCACAATCGAAAATCTAGAAGGTAAAAAGACCGCGGTCGTTCTACGCGGCTTCAAGTGTCGATCGTGCAGGGAGATGAAAAGTGAAGGCGAGCGGTCTGGCACTTTTTGACTCCGCCTTCTATTGATCTGATTGTTGCGATTTCCCAACGATCGACTTTCACTCCGCAGGCAATTGTTCTTTGTTTTATAATTCGGTCTTGTCTAGGGCCCTTAGCGGCTGGCTGATGCTCAAACCGCGAATACGCAGATTGATCGGGTGCGTGCTTGGGATCACGCCGTTCTCCGCATTTCACCTTCCACCTTGTTAAGCTCGACCGAAGCCACAACCAGTGCTCCATGACCTAATGGGGCTTGTCGCTCAGTCTGCGACTGCGGTACCAGTTGCCTTATTTGCGCCTTCTATACTTGCTCTAGCCTCACTATGACGGAGATGTACTCGGGGCTCCATGTGGGCCAGCGATTCTCCTCGCTGGAGGAATTCAAAACAGTGATACGGAGCATATCAGTCAGACAACACTGGGAGCTCCGTGTAGTTAGGAGTAATAAGAAGAGCGTGGTGATCGGTTGTCGATCATCGGCCAATTGCTTCTTCCGGGTCGTTTGTCGTTCCAACAAGAACGCGACCTACATCACCAGTCTCCAGGATAGCCATAGCTGTCCCCGGGGTGCAGAGTCTCCCTCGGCTACACCTGCTCGCTCTGAAGCTTCCCATGTACGGTTCTTGCTGAGTGAGATCCCTAAATTGTTCGATATGAAATCGAAAATCAAGGCTCAAGATGTCGTGGATGCTGTGAAACGCTACCATGGATATGACATCTCGATGCGCCAGGCACAGCGCGCACTTACCAAGCTTCAGCCACGGCACACCAATAGCCAGGGCGAGCAGTCGCTTGATCTTGATATGAGTGCTGGAGAACCGCAGTCGCCAGAGCAATCTCCCTCAGAATCTCAAGGAGAAGTGGCACAAGCCTTCAGAGAGATGTCTGAGAATCGGTGGCTCCCAGATCATCTCCCTTCACTGATTGACGATGAAAACATCCAACCGAATGAAGCATCAAGCAGCAACTTACCTGCCCCACCGTCTGGCCAACAAGCTCTGCCACCTCCACCCGCGGTGCAGCATCCTCATATCGCCAATCCGCCTTTACTGCGCCAAAATACACACCCAATGGATCTATCACAGCCAGGAGCTGGATACCAGACCACTGCCTCCCTGCCAGTAGCAGTAGCTGAGCCACCCAAAGACCAGCCCTACACTCAGCGCAGTGATCACACTGCAATCCCCCAAATGATTCTTACAAACTTCAAAATTGAGTTTACCTGCACGACCTGCGGGTCACTGAATCAAAGCTTCTTTCCAAATCAGGGCAACGTTACCGGTGCCAACTATATGCCTCACCATGCTGTACCAAACCCCAGTCAAGTCGCGCGACACCCGGTGCCCACTCCCCAGAACGGAGTAGGTAATAATAATAACACAGTTGGTGAAGATGCAGCGTATGATGTTAATGCCGCTACCACACCGACCATCCAGAATGCCTGGGCTACTGGTGGCCTAGGAGTTCCCATTGGACCGGCGCACACCTAACATATCACATACAGAGTACGATGCCAAAGGTGAAATGACGTGGCCGAGAACGGGAGATGCGTTTGATGAAAATTCCTTGCTACATTGTAGCCCGCGTTGACAGGAGGGCCGGCTGACATATTCCTCGCTATGCAAAATCATGCACGATAACAACTGTCTTAATGTCTGATTTATTGTCTTTCTACAAATATAAGGAGGCGTTGAAGTTACGATAGTCGATGCCCGCTTCTGAGTATGCAGTTATGCCTCAATGCCTACTAGACTTTTCCAGGATTTTAGCTAGTTTATACCGTCACATTACACCATAACGCTAGGTGACGGTGAATTGGTGCCGAAAACGGCTTAGTTTGACGCCATTTTAAGCGTCCTATTTATGTGTGATAATATCTTGGCATCAATCAAAGGGACAGACCTAAGGCTATCGACGACTTGAAGGTAATCTGGGGTCTGGTGAGTTCCCAACATGTTATTTACGCTATGGTAATTGCTTCAAGGATGTGACAAGGCTAATTTCGCCTATAACTAGGAGAGCATAATGTTTTTATGTCAAAGACGGAAAGAGCGCAGACATCATGGTTCCAGTGAAAGTTCGAATCTGGATTTAGAGGTAGCGCAGGCATGGTGGTAACATAATAGGCACATGAAAGCCGTAATCGTCAACTAGAGTGTCAGAACTATTTATACAATATGTCTTCGCTCCGACACAACAGAGCCCAACAAGTGCGTATGACCGCTCCCCACGCTTTGCACATATGTCCCTATCGAAAAAATCCGACAAGATAGAGTGATCTCATGGTAAACAAAAGCGTAGGGATGGCAATATTTCCCCAGTTCACTAAGCTCCAAAATCGTGGGTTGCGCAGTGCGGCAGCGCCCATACACCAAGTCGTAACTCCTAAGTGTCCTAGGTCGCCCCACCAAAGGGCTGTTATCAATGCGTGGACTGCCTTGGTATCCGTCGTTGAAGAGAAGACGTAGAGTTCAATAACGGCAAGCAAGAGGAAAAGATTGCCAAGTTGGAATGTAAGAATTTGTTCGGTTGGCAGCAGACGATGCCGCGGTGCGTGCTTTGACTGGGTAAACACGTAGTATGATGGGAAGATGGAGGTTGTTGCGAACGCAAGGATAAGCAGCGTGGGTTCAACGAAGGTGAAGAAATAGCGGGGAATTGTGGGGAGCAGAGATGCCATTGTGGGCTTTTGCGGCTGTAAATGAGCTGATAAAAGGCAGGAAAGATGGAGGCTAGGACTAAGGATACCATTTTCTGGATATAACTTAGTCTGTTTTATACTCATTCATTTCATTAGATCATTGTCTACGGGTACTATGTCCTAGTTATGAGTTTCTCAGATTCTCTCTTCACTCCCGCAAGTGCGTTCGGCGGGTGGATTACCATTCACGCCCCTTACACGGACTTGGACATGAGGTGAAACTCATGTCTGGGCAGTGGCCCCCGCGGGTTCCGCCGACTTGGCTCCAAGCTCCATAGTCTGGGGAGCGGCTCCCGCGGGGCCCGAGGACTTGTTTCCATGCGCCACGATGGTCAAGCAATCCGGTGGCTAATGATAAATGGGCAAGAGTTCAAGGACGATAAGACTACCGGGCTCGCGTCTGGAAATGGAACAGAGACCCGGGAACCGCACATCTCTCCTTCCAATTTATAACCCTATAAGTAACGTCTCTGCGCCTTTTATACAATCTGTTTTCGGTCTCCTCGGCGTTACCAAACACTACTTCCTACACAGAAGTCAAACATGCCTACCCTAGCCATTGCTGGAGGAACATCTGCCAGCCTTGGCCGCGCCATTATCACTGCCGTCATCTCTTCTGAGCAAAGTTTTTGGAACATAGTGATTCTCTCACGCAACCTGAGTGCTCCCCTCTGGCTCCGCGCCATCGACAGAGATGGAACGCGTGCCCAGATTCATGCGATTAATTATCATTCCGTCGATTCCCTCGCAGCCGCCTTGAAAGGTGTCCACACCGTTGTTTCTGTTACATCGGCTGTGGATGGGTCCCAGGCAAAAATACAAATCAACTTGCTGGAGGCCGCGGTCAAAGCTGGCTGCAAACGCTTCGCGCCAGCGCAATGGGGCTTTGGGCCATTAGGGTCGGAGAACATCTCCGTTCTCAAGTGGGCAAATGAGGGTGTGTGGGATGCATGCGTGAAGCACAAGGACAAAATAGAGTCTGCCAAGTTTAACATCGGGTCCTTTATGAACTACATCGGCCACGGAATGTACCCAATTCCATCGCCAACGAGTAGCGAGGAAACGATGCTTCGACAGTTGGCAGCTGGGAAAGGATACGCCGCTGGCGAAGACGAAGCGTGCCAGGGTCTTCAGCGGCAAGGAGATCTGAACGATGGCTCCGGAGCGTTTCTGCTTGGGCTGAGAAATGGAGTTGCCGAGCTACCTCAGACCGAGGACGGCCGATGGCCGCGGATCAGCATGACATCTCTGAGAGATGTGGGCCGATTTATGGCAGCGTCTCTAGACTTGCCAGAGTGGGAGGAAGACATGACTATGGTCGGAGATACTCTCACTATGGGGGAGCTGCTGGCACATGCAGAAGCTGTAACGGGGAAGAAGTTCCAGGTCGATGTAATCAAGCCTAGGGATCTTGAAATCAAGCTCAAAGAGACCGCACAGGACGACTTCATGGCCCTGATGTGGGCTGAATTCAAATTAGCTTATACCCGGGATCTGGAAGATGAGGTAGTTCTGCAGCCTGTGGTGAATAGACTCTGCCCTACTGTTATTCCTATGTCAGTGCGGCAATACATGGAAAACTACTGGAGCAACGTCTAATGTGTTGAGTGTGGCAGAACACCTTCACACTGATGCGATGCAAAGCTGGAAAATTGCCGAGAGGACTTACAATGGGCGTGGTTTTGTAATTAGAAGACGCAAATTATTGAGTTTGCACGCACAGACTTGAGAAATGCAACTTGGTTTGACCTTTGAATGAAAGTGCTTTTGTTATTCATAGCCCCCACTGTGGAAATAGGCAAATTAGACTTCCATAAAAGATCCTTTGAAGCTGGCGAAGCAGCATCTTTGTAGTATGTCCAAAGGCGATGCCACTTTGCTCAGTCGAAAAGTCAAAATGTAAGTCTCCTATGGCGTAGCCGTGGTTATCGCGGTTGTAAACATGCTTTACTAACCCACTCAGCATGCAAGAACGAAGCTGCTGTCTTCCAGTTAACCCATACCTTTCCGGCAATCGCCTTCTTCTTGCCGTTGCATATAGTTACAAATGGAAGAACGAATTCATTACTGCCAAACGTGACAATCCAACAAGTTCATGTTGCCGCACTTGCTAATGATATTTCTACTAGCTCTACTAAATAATTGGCGATTGATGCTTGGTTTACCTTAGGATTGACTGCTGCCTGCCCTTATCACTGTTCAATTCGTTCAAGAAAGAGAAAAGAAGACGCAAAGTTGTTTGAATCATCTATGAAAAGAAAGAAGAGTAATATAAGAAAAAGGAATGCAAGAGAGCCAGTTGTGGGACAATGGGGGCTTGCATGGCCTGTGGACTTTGCAACACGACAATAGGAAACTGCTGGAGAGCTTCAGGGAGCGGTTTGCATATTTTCAGCGTTAATTACAACCACCCTCGTCGATTCGGGAAACAACATGCTCAAAGGCAGTAGTTTGCACAGTGTCGACTAGTCCATAAGAGAGATGACCAGCCGGAATTTGACAAGAACATGCGGAGTTGTAGGAGCATACACCGTCACCCTTTTGAAGCATAGTTAGTCAAATGACTCAGACAGATAAGAAAGTGGATACTCACGGCAAGACAATAATCCAATACCTTGCCACTATGGTCGATATCAAGCGAGAGTTGAGGAATAGTAGCGGTTTTGCCTGCAACAAGAGCAGAAGATGTAAACATGCCAACAGAGTCACTATGATCTCTTTGACCTCTCTTGTTGACACTAGACAACTTCCCAGGAGTGCGGTACGGGTTACCGACGAGGATTACTGATTTGACCATGCTTAAAGCACGACTATCAAGTTGGTTGAGGAGTCTGAGCATCAAGGTAGCGCCCTGGGAGTAGCCAAAGAGAGCATACTTCTGACCAGGGCAATGATGAAGGCCTTCACTGATAACATCTAGTACGAAATTCTCGCCAATAGTCGTGTTCTGGGCAGCACCCGCTGGATACTCAACAGGCAGGCTCACACCGCCACTGATGTTGGCAAGGATGTTCTCGATCATGGGGTAGAACATTGTAGAGACACCCTGCGGCTCAGCGGTTCCACGGGCGTCAATCAACTCTGCCAGTATCAGATGGGTGAGTATAATGTCAAAATAAGAATGTGCGTACTGTAGCTAGAGCATTGCCTGGCCTTTTCTCGAGCAGTGATATTGGCGTGAGGCAATGTGAGAAACTCCAAATTTCCGCATCGGCATTCGAAAGTATTGAGGGCTTCTGTCAGGCTGGCATCACGCACAAAGACAGATGGTCTAGCAAACGCTGAGGCGCATGTGGCTAAGACGGCTAAAAAGGAAAGACGAAGAGTTGGACGCATGGTGTTATACGACTTGTGGAAAAGGAAAGCTGAGACGTGGGAGACGGAGACTTCGAGGCAAAGGTATTTATAATTTTTCTTATATCTCAGGACTCCCATTGATTAAAATTAGATAGTTCAAACTAGTTATATTCAGATTTATCTCGGTTTCCCCTCGTATCCTTTTCCCATTTCGGTGGAGATATGCAGATCTGTCAATGAGCCCCTATCGACAACATTTAGATCCACTCTGCCGAAGGAGGTAGATCTAGATAGGAGATAAATACGGGATATGGGGCAGATTTTTTCAATGGAGACGATATCCTCGGTTTCCCTTCGTATTCTTTTCCAATTTCGGTAGAGAAATGCACATTGAAAGCGAGGTGCATGATCGAACGAGTTTTAGGGAAAGTTTCAGAGAGAAGTTTTATAAAAAAATTAGCATTCGCTTTCAAGCTGCTTATGATGCGCATATTTCATCTAAAATCCAGACATCGTAAGGAATGTAAACGACGACAGCTTGAAATGACGTTCCCCTGCCGTTTATTACTTTCGGCATGGTACTAAAAGACAACTAAAAGACCCAATAGTGTGACGACTTAACTCTGTGCACTAATTGTCGCAGAAGAGCCTCCGATTGCAGTTATGGCTCTTCCGATTCGTACAAGAATTCGATGAAATTGTGAGTTGACTATAAAAAAACAAGAAAATGGCGACCGAAGACGTCTCTTAGTTTTAAAATGCCTTCCTCTTAGAAAGTTTGCCTCCTACGAGTGTGTTGGTGGTCTCACATCTGAACGAACCGGATCAGCAAGTCCCATAGATGCCGATGGCCGAAATCCTGGAAGCTTATATGAAGTTGTACGGATCACTGAAATTAAATTGTGAAGAAAGCCGAAATTGACCCGATGTTAAACATTGCTTTATTAATACAGTTTCTTTGTACTGGGCGACTCCATGGCTAAGATGAGACGGTGTCGTGTGAATGAGATAGGCAGTTAGGTCAATATAAAGCACATTCGCGCGCTTACACTAGTATTTATTATCCAGGAGATACAGGCCGAACAGTCCAATGAGAATGATGTACTTATGAGGATATACGCATGCATTGCATAAAATTCAGAACTAAGGGACGGTTGCCCCCTTTAGGTAGACTTTCGCTTTTATGACTGACAGAGCCGCGTGATTGAGATGTGTTAAACCCAGGGCTATCAATTCATTATTTTGTCTTGCCACGAATTAGTATCGAAACATCCAATTGTCATGGAAAGCCATAATACTAACTGTAATCATGTAACTTTCAATCAGAACAATCTAGCGGCCCTAATTCCCAAGTGACCAAGGAGCAAATTACACAGTTTGCCAACCAAGATTGAGTCAGTACGGAGTATGTAAGTATTTTCGTAAATTTTAACACATACAACTATGAAAAGCTAGCATAGCTGCGCAGTCCCTCTTCTGTTCATTGCATTTCCTTTAGGCTCAATTACTGATGCTTCTGTAGTATATCGGAGGATCCTCCGGCGATCAACACAATAATCGCCGAATCCGGTATATCGGACCGTGGTGAGTCAGCTATCGGAGATCCGATCGGTAGTCCGAGTGGCGGATCCACCGCAAGTCCATTCACCAACCGCAAAGAAAAGATGACGCGGAATTGAGCCGACATAATGTCTCGATCCATGTCCACCGGTGCAGCCTTGGGCCAAAATGGAAGCCGACCACAAGACTTTTTAGCGTGTCGGACCTGCATCCGAAGCAACACCCGCACAGCGGCGCTCAACCTCCAATCGACAGCCAGCACTCAGTCGCCGATGGATCGAAGGGGACTAATTCCTGCTTCCAGGGAAAATTTTTTATTATCAATCCAATGACTCTTATATGACACTGCCGCCGTGGGGTACGCCGTTTCGTCAAACAACATTCGGCATATACTGCATAGGAGCCCGCATCAAGCATTGCACCTTTAATTCTCACTCTTTTGCAAGGGATTCTTCTGTGCCACATTTGACATTCACGGCTATTAGCCAAGCTTTTCGATCATCTTAAAGAAATCCATAGTGGGCCAGCTTGGCACTGCCATACTTCCAGCTATGAATCGACAACGAGAAGCCGAAAAGGCTCTACACGATCAAACCAACATTTTACCATTCGGGCAACTTATGGTTGTCTTTACAGGCCTGGCAATCTCATTACTGATTTGCATGGTGGATCAGAACGGTATTAGTGTGACATTACCAACAATTTCACGCGAACTAAATGCCGAGAATACTATCTCATGGGCGGGAACTTCGTCGCTGATTGCAAATACCATGTTCACTGTGCTCTATGGTCGATTGTCAGATATATTTGGTCGAAAGATTGTGTACATCTCCGCACTGGTGTTACTGTGTATCGCAGACCTCCTCTGTGGCCTGTCAGTGGACCCGGCTATGTTCTATGTCTTCCGAGGCTTAGCTGGTGTGGCCGGCGGTGGTGTCACCTCTTTGACAATGATTATAGTCTCTGATATTGTTACATTAGAGAAGAGAGGCAAGTATCAGGGAATTCTGGGTGCGTCTCTTGGTGTCGGAAATATCATCGGACCATTCCTAGCCGCTGCATTCATCATGCGTTCAACATGGCGTGGCTTTTTCTGGTTGATCTCTCCATTGGCCGCTTGCTCTGCCATTGTGGGATATTTCCTCATCCCAAACAATGCACATAAGGATAGCTTCCGCAAAAATATCTCCCGTATTGATTGGTTCGGTATTCTTGCGTCTTCTATTGGGATCATCTTTCTGTTGATTCCCATCTCAGGAGGTGGATCATATTTCCCATGGGATTCACCGATGGTTATCAGTATGCTGGTGATCGGAGGTTGTGCCTTTATCGCATTTTTGTTCATTGAGTGGAAAGTGGCTACACTGCCGATGCTACCAAGTATGTTTGCCTTCCAAGCTCAACGTTAAGAAAACATATAAACATATCGCTAACTTGAGATTAGTTGTTTTCTTCAAGAACAAAGTCGTCTCTGCAATTTTTCTGCAGAGCTTCCTGTTTGGTGCAGTATACCAAGCAAACCTTTACTATCTGCCGCTATACTACCAGAATGCCCGTGGCTGGTCACCCATTGCCTCTGCTGCCTTGACGAGTCCTATGGTTGCTGCCCAGTCGATTTTCTCTATCACATCAGGGCAATACATCTCACGCATGAAGCGCTATGGAGAAATTATCTGGATTGGATTTGGGTTGTGGACCTTGTAAGTTAATAAATCTCAACCCTTTGGCGTCTGGATACTGACTTGAGAATTTGATAGGGGCTCGGGGTTAATGCTGTTATTTGGCAACCACACCCATCCCGCTGTAATTGCAGTCATAGTGGCAATCATGGGTAGCGGGATCGGCTTTACCTTTCAACCCACCCTTGTCGCCTTGCAAGCCCATTGCACAAAGTCCCAACGAGCAGTCGTGATAGCGAACCGCAACTTCTTCCGTTGCATGGGAGGTGCTTGCGGTCTCGCAGTATCGGCTGCCCTTCTTCAAGCGACCCTTGGATCTAATCTACCGGCAAATTTCGCATACCTAGCGAAATCATCGTACTCGCTTCCTTCGAGATCGAATCTTAGTGCTGTTGAATGGGCTCAGATATTGCTGGCTTATAGCAAGGCATCTCATTCAGTCTTTATTCTACAGGTCCCGCTTATTGGTATATGCTTCCTGGCATGTATCTTCATACGTGACAGAGGCTTGGAACGGCCCAAGGAACCAGAAGAGATCGAGGAAGAGAAGAGGAAGGCCCAAGCGGAGAGAGATGCCGAGGCTGCGATTCCTGAGCAGCCCTTGGAAGAAAATACCCATCACCAGATATCCTACCAGATTAAAAAGCGTCCTTCTCTGTCGAGATTTGCCGAATCATCGATGCCACCTTCCCGTGCGGAACCAAACCTTGAAGGAGATGAAAAGAAGTAGAAGAATTGAAGCTCCAGAGAGACACCACAAGATAGGAAGTAGCATTCTTGCTTTATTTTGCTTTTCATTGTTTGCAGCCATTATGTCCGCATTTGCTTTTTTGCATCCCTTGGCGTACGATACTAAAACACCTTACATTAGATATGCATCACTATATTAATTGAATCAAATCAGACTTGACATCGATACTTACCTAGATCTGGATACACTTATGACTCGTACAAAGATTCAGCGGTTCTCATCGCCCTTCTCTCTCCTGGGCTTTACCAGTCACTTCCATGGGCGGTTGAAGTAGGACTGCCCAGAGCTGGTGAAATTGAACGTGAAAATCTGGCTATTAAAGGTTAGCCATGCTGGAAGTTCGGAACATCTGATACATACCAAGACATCGATAAGCCTAACATAGTGTTTCGAAGGTATATCGTCCTCTGTGTAACCTTCTCTGAGTTCATTAACAATTCTCTTCGCCATTTCATTCGCAGGACTCGGGTCTCCAAAATCGCCAAATTGGAGGCCAAGCGGTCTTTTAGTTCCAAGCAGCCTCAGTCTCAGTACCAATCTTAGTACCTCTGATAGGTCCTCCCAAGAAACTCGCGACCGGCTCCTTATAGACTCCCCAAGTAGCCTCCGCGCAACAGGATCGAGGTGATCTTCCCAGGGACCGCAGTGCATCCGAAAAGGCGCAATCATTTTCAGAACGTCCATTGTTTCATCGACGGCTGGATTGAGATTTGCCACAAAGCCACGATACTTTTCATCGATTCTCTCTGTAGACCCAATGCTTCTCATAGTCCGTTGCAAATTAGCCTGGGGGATATAGCTCTCATCACATCGCCAGTGGAAGCCTTCGTTGTCCACCATTCCCAGAAGATCGGTACCTCGAGCAACTAGTAGCGTTACGGCTCGTTGAAATGCGTCATAATCTTCCACGTCATTGGTCGTATGACGTGGAAAAGGATAAAATGCATAGAAATGGAAGCATCTCCATAAGAGCTTAAGCGAAGCCTTTGAGGGGATAAGGCCAGGATGTGAACTTTCTATGTGTTTTCGAAGACTTTCATCATTCCAATCTAGATTTATAGTTACAGTCAGTAACGTTATTGAACTTCATGGGGCTACTGATCACAACTTACACTTTTGACCAGAACCGTAGGAACACGCATCAAATGTAGCACCCAAATCTTTAATGTAACTCGACCTTGACTTCAAGCTTTCTTGAAGATCTTCCAAAACAGTTTCTGTGTTTAGACACGACTAGTCAGCCTGGTTTTCTCATATCTTAATTGTCGAGACAATGGTTGCGGCTGACCTTGCGTAGCTTCATTCAGATATTGTTTCACTCTCCGTTCATGAGGTGCTTGTACAATCTTCCGTACAACTTCCCCCAACATCTCAGGTAGTACTTCCCACATGCCGTATCCTTTTAGAATAGAATAGGAGCCGGTGTCCTTTAATTTCTCGAAGACGATTAACGTTGAAGCCTAGGGATGTTGCCACGTGGGACATCACTACTCTTACACCCGAAAAAGCCCCAAGGAATCAAACTTAGAGCTCCTTGGAGAAAGGTCTCGACTTAGGATGGCAACAATACGTTTTGTTTGATATCTGGCTTGACTTGCGATGAAATCCGATTGAGTCACACTGGGACCTTTTTGATAAGTACTTGGAATAGCAGTGCGAAATGGAAATTCCCGGCGTTTGGAATGGCTAGAGGTTGAGCAAAGAATAGGCAGTAAGAAAGGTATAAAACTAGAGTGGAAGCAATGTAGCAAGCAGCATAGTCGCATCGTGCCGTTGGTGTCCTCAGAGCCTTGGGTTGTCTTGGCGTTCCGATCTAACCGCATCTTCACTAATGCAACCTGCAACCTCACCTCACACAATAATAGGCGTCCCCTGCCAGGAGCCTTGAACTTCAAAACTCATTAGTTCAGAAAATGCGAAATGTATGCCCTTGGGCATAGCCCCGAGTCTTCACGGCAGGCCAGTCCTGCATCGCGAGATCATAACCCGCGGAAGCGCGGTAGGACCGCATGCACTCGATGCAAGACACGGAAGCAGAGAGTGAGTCTCAGACGGTATCTTTGCAAGGAATACATTGTCTTACGTTACACCAGTGCGACAATGAATATCCGACATGCTCCAACTGTCTGAAGGCGGGGGCCGCGTGCGACAAATCCAGCGTGCGAGAGGACAGTGACCGCCAGAATGAGTAAGTCTCCGGTGTCTAGAGTGACAGAAGATCGCTAATTAATAACGTAGTTATACTCGCGTTCTGGAAGAACGTGTGGCATTCCTGGAGCGCAGACTTAACCAATCAGAGCCAGCAATTCCAGATCCAAATGCTGCCAGTATGACTGCTGCACCTTCGCTGCTCTCCCCGCAAGGGAGTCATCCAACGCCACAAACAGCTACTTCAGGCCTTGACAATAATCCCGTTGGGGAAATTGTGGGCCTACTTGCTCTGAGCTCCTCTGAAGCTCCAGCATACATAGGAGCCAGCTCGGGGTTTTCCCTCGCTAACAATTTGGGGGAGATGGTCCAAACGAGTGTGTGGAACCAGTTTATCTCAAGAATGCAACAGAATCAAACGAACCCAAATGCTGGCAGCAACTCTTCTCAAAACACATCAGCCCGAGTACATGGTCCCTCGGAGCAGCCATCCGCTCCTCGGATTCGGGATCAGCTCTTGCCAGCAAATGCTGAGCCACCCACAGACGAAATGGGGGCACGAATTCTGGACACTTATTTTACCCGACTTCATTCGAGATACCCGTTTCTCAATCAGAAACAAGTCTGGAAAATTCACGAAGATCGATGGCGATTGGCTAAGACCAAACGCGAAGACCTTACTCGGTCCGATCGATTCGCTATTTTCAAGCTCAATCTTATATATGCTATCGGGGCAACGATGCTTCAGTTAAGTGAGAAATATGCATACACAGCACCTGACGTGAGTACTCTTTGTAAGACTGAACGATCTGACGCTTACACCCACCAGCGGTATTATAACACCGCCCTACAACATGTTCACTCAATGTGCGAAGCGAGATCTATTGATAACATCGAAGCCATGATCCTACTTGTCGTCTACCACCTGCGAACCGCATCCAGTCACGGTATGTGGTATATGATTGGACTTGCTATGCGTACTTCCATCGACCTCGGTCTCCACCGAAAGGCAAATGAGATCAACATGGACCCATTCACCACACAGATGCGCCGAAGGCTTTTCTGGACAGTGTATTACCTTGAAAGAGTGGTTTCAATGTCTCTCGGTCGGCCATTCAGCATCTCCGATCGCCACATTGATCTTGACCTACCACTGGACGTGGATGATGACGTTGAAGATCCGGCAATACTAGCAGCCCCCAAGACCCAAATAAGACTACTTCCCTCACATTTGCAATCTACCTTTTTAAACTCCGCCGCATCGATTCACGCATCCAACACAAAATCTACCGTGCCGACCGACCTTTATCTTCCCTCCGACCAAAAATGGACCCCTTATATCTCGAACTTGAAGAATGGAAAGAATCAGCCTTACTCCGATTCAGCGGTCCAGATCTAGATTACCCAATGCTCCACTACAACCGAGCCGTACGGCTACTGATCCAGCCCTTCCTCCCTCTCCTCCCAATCACCGACCCATACTACCATATCTGCCTCCGCGCCGCAGGAAACATCTGTCAATCCCACAAACGCCTCCATCAGACTCTAGAATATGGCCACTCCTTCCTTGCCGTGCAAACCGTTTTCATGGCAGGGATAACACTCCTATACGCCCTGTGGACACATACAGACCAAGTCTGGTCCGTCCGCATGAGCAACGACATCCGTGCCTGCTCAACGGTACTCTTCGTCATGGGCGAGCGCGCAGCATGGGTTAAAAAATACCGCGATGCATTCGAGTTACTTGTTAACGCCACTATGGAGAAATTGCAGGGTAATGAGACAGCTCGCAATGCCGGGATGGCCGAGTTAATGACTGCCCAGCATGGTATTAATTGGAATACTACTGTCCCTAGCATGTCTGGTAGTGACAAGTCCCCGCCGGTCAACCCGAACGGTTTGCCCCTTGATGCCGGGATTACGCCGCAGGTCGGCGCTCCGGATGATTCTGAACACGCGGTTAGGATGGCGTTGCAGTTGGCGCCGTGGATTGATCAGGATGAAAGTGATCCGTTGTGGATGCCGGATTTTGAGACGCTGGAGAATTTGTCTGGAACCTTTTGGAATAATCCTGATACGAGGCTTTTTGATGCCTTATGAGCTTACCAAGAAGCTTCAAGTGGCCGCCTCCAACAAGACTTTCCAACAAAGATGACTCTTTCATTTTTGGTATTAAAGTTAGTTAACCACTTATTGGCTTGATTTCTAAATAACCGCTGGCAATCCCTGTAGCCGTAGGTATACTAGATATCCGCAAAATACCGTTACCCCGAAGGTCCAATTGGATGGCGGTTGCTATGAAAACCGTGACAACGCTTCGTTAAATTGACTTTGTGGTAAATTATGATTCACCTGATGCATCCTCCTTTTCCAATTCGAAACTTGAATGGGATGAAACGAACGGCATTGACACGCATTGGAGGGCGACCTTTCAGGAAGTGTCAATGAGCGATGAGGTTTTGCGAGATGGTATCGATTTTGCATCAGATGTAACAATCCCTCCATCATCTGTTCTTGGCGTTGTCCATCTTCCTCAAGACGATCGGTAGCCGACCTATAGGATTCATTAGATCAAGAACAACCTAACCTGGAGGTGGTAGCGAGGAACAAACCAAAACAGCGTGCTCAAAAGAAGATTGATCGAATCAGTATGAGATTGGAGTTTGTATCGGTATTGACTCAATGAGTCTCGTTGAAGATCCCAGATAAACCTCCGCCATTGGACTTTGACATGCGCGACAACTTCTACGAAGATAGCTTTTGATCGAAACTGAAGGAAATATAATAAGTTTTAAAAAAAGAAACAACAAAAACATACAACAGTAAGGATTCGCTAGTGGTCACCCACCTAACTACTAACTTACCGGCGTGTGGCTTAAGTACGGCTGAGCGGACGGGAAGCCCTGTTCTCCACACCCTGTGGTCGTATGTGCTAGAGTTAGTGGTGAAGGGATACGTATGCTTTGCCTAGGATAGCCAGTCTAGTGGTATCGCCTGGGTGAGTATAGGGTGTCATGCCAACTTAAGGTTCGGCAGGGCTTAGCGTGACAGGTGGGTACATATACTTGCTTGTTAGAGCTCGTACCCGCACAGTCAGTTCTCCCTTCCACTTCTTCGAAATCATCGGCAGTCCAAGAATTATGGCTTCGGATTCATCTCATCAGTCTCTTGTCAAGGGTGGCTACGCTCAACAGGGGAGTCTCCCAAGCATTTTCTTCTCGTCGGCTCCGCCCGTCATTCACAAAAACACCATAATCCTTGCCGCTACCCATTCTAATCTCTCCAGTGCCGACCCCCTCGAAGAAGGCTAGTTCATCTCCGAGTTTTATGCCTTCAACTCTTTGCTTAAGGGTCTCGGCCTTCAGAAGACATACTTAACTGCCGCGGATCCGCAGCGGCTAGTTAACAAATATGGAACATTCCTAAGCGGGAACCCGTACGAAGATCGAAAGGAATGCCTTAGCCATGAGCTTCTCGACAAAGGAGAGCTCACGCCTGTTACTGTGGTGAGATCGGCCCATATGATCGACCAATTCCTAGGGAAAGCCTCGAGGGCGTCTGAGTTGGCTAAGAAAATAAACACTCCTCTACTTCTTCTGACTTTTTGTCACTGTTTGACAATGGTAACTAGCGTAAAGGCCTCTATGGTTTGGCTCAAGGGCGTACTCAATCTCGGAGTGCGCGTCTCACTTATAACTACCGCGTGCTACTCGGGTGACTGGGTTATAAACACGGATTTCAACTACAAGACAATGGCAGCAAGCGATTTAGCTAATGAGAGATTCAACTTATCGAAGGCTTAGGGTGAGTCCCAAAGCATCGGACGTAGCTGTGGCTCCGTCTTTGCCACCACGCTCTTAGAAAGTCTATCAAGCGCTGCAACTCCCTTGAGACGTGAGTGAGTGAGCTGAGATCTCTGGTCTCGATACGCGGTCCATTTTGCAACCAGATGAGCCTAATGAAGTCCAGGCCATAACATACAATGCTTTCTGCCATTCAGTGTGGAAAACGTGCGAGCACCGAGTGACTCGGCTGTGGAATGACCAAGGTGAAACTCAAGACGATTACTTGGAATTACTCATGGACGGGCAGAACTGGATTCCCTCTCGCAGACTTTCAGCGACGATGGAATTCCTCACCTCTCACCTCTACGCGGGCCCAAATAACGTCCGGGACCCCAGAAATACCAAACCCCAAAAACCTCTATGATTAATTCACTACTGTAAAACAACTTTAACCCGAGGCACTCGAAAATGGACAAAAAAGAGGTGAAGAAAGAGAGGTCAAAGTAGGGCAAAGACATTGTATGAAACGGTACACTCTGTTCGAGGCTTTTGTGTAGAAAGTATCTAATACTTCACCAGTGGCACTGTATACGCATTTATGACCCCTGTTGTATATAACCAACGTCGTATTCAAGTAAAAATAGGTATATGTACAGTCTAGTCACACCCTGATTATAAAAAGCTATTAGCGAATATTAACAGCTCAATTACTTCCACTCCCTCTTCCATGTTCAATTCAAACCTTCCAAACTTCACTCGTTTCTAGCATAAGACCTCATTTTTGGGCCTTCCCACTTATGCCGTCCGCGAACAATCCAATCCCCACAGGCAAATAATATAACAAACCCAAGCACAGGCCCGGCATAGTTCATATTTTCCGCAGTGACCGGCACCGTAGCCGGGAATGGAAGGAAGATAACGAAATAAGTGGCGAAGAGAATAGCAAGAAGATTCATGGGGAGGCCGAATTTCCCTAGACTAAATGTTCCCTGCGGGATATCCTGGGGCGACGTGAAACGCTTCAAGACAAGGAGGATGAGAGGAATAAGATAGGAAATGTAGAGACCGAGCGTGCTGAGCGAGAGAATAGCGTTGAATGCAGCCGTAGACCCGATCTGGATGAACGAGAGCGCGAAGATGCATGATGCAACTAGGAATAAAGCACGGAGGGGGATCTTGTAGGTTGGGTCGACGAGAGCAAAGAAGTCGGAGAAGGGGAGTCCGTTGTCTCGAGCGAAAGCCCAGGTGAGACGCGTGACGGAGGCAAGGCCGTTGAAGAGGGCGATCCAGCCGGGCAGCATGCCCATTGCCATGAGGACGAAGGTGGCTGCCTTGGATCCGGTTGCTTGGTAGGCGATTGTAATGATGGGGTAGCCTGTTGGGCTGGTGACTGCTTCGGTGTAGTCTCCCATACAATAGAGGATGGCGATCAGGTAGCAGAATGCGAGGGTTCCGTTGATAAGGGTGCCGTAGATCATGGAGCGGGGGACGACGACGCTGGCGTTTTTGACTTCTTCAGCCATGTGAATTACGCCGTCGACACCTGTTGGTATGTATTAGATTGTTCAATACTCTGATACAGGGGGGACGTACCAGCCAGGGGAGTAATGACACCAAGAAGACCGATGGAGAATACAACTCCGGAATCCTTCCAGCCACTCAAGCCGCCGACAAAAGTGTTCCAGACAAACGAGTCGGGATTTCGAGGGGCGAGGATAACGAAGACTGCGATGGTAACGGGCAGGAAGACAACATGCATGATACCCGCAGCAACCTCGATGCCTCCCAGAACGCGACGCGCAAATATATTGATGATTATTGGTATTATTGCAACTGCCCACATGAGCAGGGTACCACGCCATCTCACAAGCTCATAGTCAGGGTGCGCCAGCACAACCATGCCCTGGATTTGGGTTCCGATGAAGTATGGCGCGATGCAGACGAGAGCTGACCAGGAGAAGACAGTCACCCAACCTGATATGTTCAGCATGTGACTATGAACGAAGGAAAATGTCAAGATATGCGCTCACCCTGGAAGAAACTGATGAATCGACGACCACGAGGCGCGAGGAAATAGCTCCAGTGATATTGAGCACCCGCAGTTGGGTGTCTGGCGGTCTCGGGTCAGCGCTGTCAAATCGCAGACATTTGTGCACGTACAGAGAGGCAAGCTCGGCTAAAGAGCATGCGATGGCCAGATTACCCACGGTGCTTAAGATAATCCCATAAACAATTGCTGCAGGGCCGCCGTTGTAGAGCCCCGAGAGCAAACTACCACCGGCGGATTCCCAGGTGGCAAGTAGGCAAGTGGAAAAAGCGACCGATGAGAAGAAGTTGAGATATCTCTGTTGAAAGATTAGAGTTTGCGCAGGTCAATCGAACGCTGGATGTTTACCTCCAGTTGTTGTTTCTGGCGCAATGTAACGCTCTCATAGGCACCATTCCCACTCCCTGCTGGCACTGATCGCACAGCGCTCCCGCTCTTCATTTCCATCTCTTCCTGCATATTGAAACACAATCGAGGACAGAAAAGCCGGAGAAAAAAGTCGACACAATTTAGACCAGTCGGCCTGAAGGCGGCAAGAAGTACTTGGGGCCATCTTTGCCTCCTCATTTCCGTAAACAGAGACTAGACAGGGGTCTTTATTGCGCAATGAATGCGAAACAAGTAGTAGACACCCCATATGCAAGTTGTTGCGCCGCGTTGAAACGGTCCTGTTCGCTTCGGCGCAAACCCTTGTCGTTGCATTCTAATAACGAGAGGGGCGCTGTTTAGTGCTGCATCTGCCCCTGTACCGCAAAATTAAACAGCGCGGACTCCGCGCTTTGGTGTTGGCTGCTAACATTGCCTAGTAAAAGAGCGGTCTTTTCTAGTGGCTAGTGGCCCCACGATTTCGGTTCTGGTGCATACTTATGGACAACGCTATTGATGGAAAAATCTCGGACCCACCTGAGTAGTCTAAACTATTGGTATATTAGATTGAACAGACAGTGTACTGACAGGATTCGCATCCTTACGCCAGATGAGATGCGATGGTGCCACGCCAAACCAACAGCCACCTCGTGCGGCCCCTGTGAGTAGGGCCCGGACTCGAAGAAAGAGCAGGCAACTTTAGTATCAGGGATGTGAAAAAGCAGGTTTTTATTCTGTGCTGGTGCCCATCTCCGCAGATTCTGAAAACTTTGATGTCGATGTCATGCGATGGCCGACCAAAAGAACGCCTTCCAGGCCCTGTCAAGCGATAATCGCGGTAGTATCATCACCTTGACCTCGGTATCCCTTCTGATTGTGGCCATAATCTTTGTGCTCGCTAAGGTCAGTTCGGTGGTTTATTTCAAGCAGCGACGGACAGCAGTCAATACTCCCATCTGGGTCGCTTTGATTCTTGCAATTGTCCAAGTCGTCGTCTTACAGAAGGCTGTTGACCATGGACTGGGAAAGCACCAGGACCGGCTTAGCGAAGGCGATATTCAGGCCTGGAGCAAGTTCGCCTTCGCTGCTCATATTCTGCTCATCATTGTCTTGTCTCTTTCGAAAATGTCGACCATCCTGCTGGTTTGGAAGTTATCGCCGAGTAAGAGCCTCTGTCGCAGCTGTGCTGTTACGGCTGGTATAGTTGTCGGGTGGTCGATACTCGCAATATTGAGTATAGCTTTTCAGTGTGAATTGCCCGATCTGTGGCTATACTCCCCCGAGCGATGTGCTGGAGAGGTTAGTATGCACCAGGAAACCGAGCCAAAATCGACTAAACACCTCATCTAATCCATAACAGGGTGCCCTATTCTACCTGATCGCGGTCTTCAACATCCTCACAGAAATTATCATTGTTGTCCAGCCGTTTCTTATGATGCGGAATGTCCAGATGGCCTGGCACAAGCGGGTGAAGATTCTGTGCTCCTTCTCTTTGCGCCTAAGGTATCTTAGCACTAACTCCAGGAACTCTTCCTTCGAATTCAATAACGCACTGACTAACCAATCACAGTATCGTCGGCCTCGGAATCGCCCACCTAGCCCTCCTGCCTTCATTCGTTCACTCAACCGACGTCTCCTGTCCGTGACACCCCATTCCCCTTCCAACTCCCGCCAAAGCCTCATTGAATTTTGATCTGACAATTATATAGGGGATATTGTCATTTGGGAAACAATCGGCCAGACGATGATGCTCACAGCCGTCGTAACCGCCTGCGTCCCAACCCTCTACCACATCTTCGCCGGCCTGCACTCTGGCCTGACAACAACGCAGATCCCCGACGGGATCGGGCTCGAGCTCCCGCAGACCAAGGCTAGCGGGTATATCAACCAATCCTCCTCGGGAGCAAGCCAGTCGCATTCGCGTGAACGCTCGAAGAAGAATGGACGGTCAATGTTTGATGGATGGGGAGGTGAGACCGGGGTTGTCACTGAGGTTTCGTCGGGTCAGGATTTGAATCAGAATGGTGAGGGTGGTAGGCAGTCTAGTTCGAGCGAGGGGACCGAGAGTACGCGGCATTTGACGCAGAAATCCCAAAGGCAGGGAGCCGTGCTAAGGACGGTGGATATTACGGTGGAGGTTAAGGAGCCCTACCATCGGGACCGGAGTTGAGGGGTATATACAATACTGGGTGTTTAATACTTTGTGCCACGAGTGCGTTGATAAGCCAATTTCTAGGAAGGAATCTTTTTACGCGTTATAATGTAGTCCTTAGCGAAAAGTTTTGGAGGCTAAGTTCCTAAGGAGTCGGATAAGGCTTGTTCGAAAAGTTAGTATCTATAGATTCGTTACGGAAACGTCTCTATCAGTACTAATTATTAGGAACGTAAGTCATAATATAAACTAAGTATTAGACTAATAGCGCCTAATTAGATGCTATATCCTCGTATTTTTCCAGCGTAGTATTACGCACGACTATCGCGTCGTCGCTAAGGTAGAAAATTCCTGGTTATACTTGCCTAATGCTTCTCTGCTTCCAACGTCAACGATCTGTCTCTCAACCGTACCGTTGCCTAGCAGGCCTTATACCCGCTAATTCCTTTTGAGGGTATCGAGGAGCGATGCCAGATAATGCTCCGAACATATCTATACTGGAGTATTGGTCTGGTTGTAGTGTTGTCAAGTTATAATCAAGTAAAGAGTCACTAAGGTTTCTGAAATCTTCTGTCCCATAATATCTCGCACTTTATCCTCATACCGAAAATTACGACTGCGATCATGAACGTGGCTTCTGCTCAGGATCGTCATGAGGCACTTTCTGCAATCGCGGACCTCTGCCAGCATTCGTCGCAGGATAAGTCCAGAACGAGAACCAGCGCAGGCGTTAGCGGGAGACAGCCCGGTGGAAGATAGCACCAGTGCCGACATGAAAGCTTTCGTTATAGAGAACTACCTGAAAGACCTCGGGCCGCTAAAGAGTAGGCTCGACTATTGCACCCTTGCAACTGCCTGTAAGTACGCTCTTGAAAGCGGTGGGCCTCCGGATTTCTAAGACCAGGTGGTAGCGACTATTGCCTCGCCAAACTCGTGGGTGGGGTTTCGACACAGACCCAAAGCCGCCAAATAACGGTAATCTATTCAAAATCACAGAGTATTAAATGTGCTATCAGGTGTATTACAAATGTAATTCCATAATATACGGGCTCATGGGTTCTGAGCAGGTCGGGTAACCCGCGCGTACCCGACAAAGAAATACGGTGAGGTCTAGATCGATCCATCCAAGTGTTCCATAATCACATCGTCTTATAATTAGATATACCCAGACGATCATTCGTTTCCTTCATTGAACTTTCTACATCTCTTACTTTACTCTAAAGCCACGTCACTGTTGTCTCTCTCTTTCTCTCTCCATTTATCCATGCATGCCAAGCCTTGGACCGCCGAATCCACTTGAGAGTTCGATGCTGATCACCCCCTCCAGTCCTATCTATAATGGATTCTGCTACAATAGATTCTGTTGAATCGGAATTTCCCAAATCATGTGGAGTCATTGTCCCAGGGCCTGGAACAGAACTTCACAGGGTGATGGCCCGCTGGTCGGACGTGGGCCTATCTCGGCCCGCCCTCATTGTGACACCAACTACAAGAGAGGACGTTATAGCAGCCATTCAATATGCTACTACTCACGGTCTCCAAGTCGTACCTGGCGGAGGTGGGCATGGAGTCGCGGTACCTATCCATAGCAGAACATTGTATTTGAATATGCGAATGTTCAACCACGTCGCCGTGGATACGACCAATAGTCTAGTGACTTTCGGGGGAGGAGCCACTAATGAAGAGGTACTTGATGCTTGTGTTAAAGAAGGCTATTATACTGGTTGGTGCACCCCCCTTGCATATCAGAAAATATCCCAGAGCCCTACTTCACAACGGAAAATGCTATGACTAGTGATTAATTCAACTCAACGCAGTGATCGCAAACTCCGGGGCAGTCGGCATGGTCGGCATGGTGCTAGGTGGTGGCTTCAGTCTATTTTCCGGCATGCATGGTCTTCCTATTGATCATGTTGAATCTGTAGAGGTTATCATCGCCTCCGGCAAGGTGCTAAATCTTGATTCTTCATCCAAAGGCGAAGATGGGGCTCTATTCAACACCATATGTGGCGGCGGAAATGGGTTAGGCGTCGTCACAAACATGACTATGCGTGCCTTTCCTATAACCCCGCTAAAGCTTGAAGAGGGTAACAAAATTTGGACCCGCAGACTGGTATTTCCAGGTCCAGCAATTGAGGATGTTGTCAAATTATTCCTGAGTTTGACTCCAACTCCACAGATGCAGCCTTTGCTCATGCTGGTGCGGGCTCCCCCAACAGCACCTACGCCAGAAATGCCCTTAATATTGCTTACGTTGACATACTGTGGTTCTGCGCATGATGCGGAATTATTCTCGCGAGAAGCTAAATTGCACGAGCTAAGATCAGCGATCTCGGACCAAACATGTCTCACCCCTCTTGGCGACTTTTTCGAGGGAACCAAGGCCCTCAATGCCCACGGTGACTTCAAAGAGCAGCACAGTGCTAGAACAATGAACTTATCGCCCACAAGCCTCGTGAAAGCCTTTTATAGGTGGCAACAATTTGGCGAGGAGGTACAGGACGCCCGGGCCCACACGATTGCACTCTTCACTATGTACAGCCCAGAAGTCACGATCAAGAATGGAACCTGCGATACAAACAAAAGGAAACCTTTTCTCGGTCGAAATAGACCCTTCTTCAGCCAGACGATAAAATGGTACTCGAAGGAAGAGACCAAGGCGTTGGCAGATAAGTACAGTACGGACATGATGTGCATCATACGTGAAGATGATGCAAGCAGTGGGTTGCGGCCAATAACCCTTCCTAACAACATGCAGATTGGCTCAGATTTAGGAGAAGGATACAGTTCAGAAATGATCTCCGTTATGAAGAATTTGAGAGCCGTGTGGGATGAGAGGTCACTTTTCTGCGGTCTAGGAGACAAAGTCGAGAAGCTCCCGACAGAATTTGCTCCTTGATCCCGATATATTTCCTTGGTGGTTCGCTTGGTATCTGAAAAAGTATTTGTGTTAAAAGTTATCTGTGTTAAACGGAAAATGGGAAAATTGAACCTGATATTAGAAGTTATCAATTACTCTCGAAATTGACAATTTTATTATTTCGATATATATGCTACGCTTTTGCCATTTTATTCTGTCTCAGCGTCTCAATGGTTCATTGCTCATAAAAGCCTAATACGTTCTATACCGCAATGGCTAAAGCTGCTGGTTGCAGCAAGCGCGCAATCCTCAGAATCCGGTCTAATCTGCGACTATTCGGTACCATCAAAGCTCCCCCATCAAGCTAGACGTCCACGAAGCACCGCACCAATCACGTTAGAGGCCTTATGCCGTAGTCTGCTTAAGAGGCCCAATTTATACCTTTCTGAGATGTAACTTATCTTCTTAGATAAATTCGACGTCTCCATATCTAAGTCCACGATTAGCGACGCTCTGCATAGACACGGGTGATTGAAGAAGACAGTCGACGAAACGCCAAAGAGCTCCGGATGGTGGGCCGCGACAACGTGGCTTTTGTTCTTCGGCAATACCCACCTTGGCGCCAACTGTATCGTGAATTACTCCCACTTTCCAAGTGTCTAGCAACATGATTTCTCTCTGTTTATAGGCTATCTAAAACTAGCTATTTACCTGACTAGATAACCATGCAGAGCAAAGGCAGTAGCAATAGCCGAAACCTTCAATTTTCTAGCCCTTCCCAGTTTGCTGGGATACAATGCCATCGGCCACTGCCAGTCTACTGTGTTTTTCTGACCTTGCCGAATGGCTTCGACCGAGAAGCAGAGACCGCTTTGGAGTTATGACAGAGTTCTGGCCTGCCATGTTTCCCTGTACTTGCTTCCCGTCCCACCTGCACCCATGAGCATGCCGAAGGTATGGTATCCTGAGGTGGAGCATGATCAGCACAGTCTAGTCATCCACAACTTCTCGAGTGGCTGATGGGAGGTTTCTATCCATGGACGATCTCCGGACCTTGTGCAACCAGAAGGAAATTCGGTGTTCAGGACATGACGATTTAGTGGATAGTCCTATCAATAGACTCTTTCAATGTCTTGCTTCAGCTCCTATTCACGGTGGATCTTGCTATGCTACCACCTAATGCTGCGAGAGTAAGTACATATCACATAACCTTTATAGCGCCCAGGCTTTTGAACCTCACATATTTATTAACGGGTCCCAGCATCTTCTCGTAACACCACACTGGGCAATGGTTCCTCCTGCTTGGTGGGCACATTGGGCCTCGGGCCTAGTTCAAACCCGGCCTCTACACCCACCTGACGGGGGCTTCTGTGTCGACACAGCGAGTCTTCGTCCGTCGGAATGGATCTGTGGAATCGGTGGGACCGGATCTGATCCAGCGCGGTCTTGAAGTCATCCAGAATAACCGTGTCGCAGAGGCACTTGAAGATGAACGACAGTTTCCAGAACGGCTGTATGCCGGTTGGCAGGTCGGCCGTATTAAATGCATGTAGCACACTACAAGTTTCAACGATCATAAAAATAATCGAGAGACACATAGACACTAATAGGATCCCGAACCGTGGGGCGACAATCACTAGCTCCACAATACCAAATGAGTACACGTATTTGATAGTCCAGACAAAAGATATCGTGGTGAAAATCCACCAGGGGTCCCTATAGGGCTGTTAGACAAGCAAAACTTCACAGAAGCCGAAATACTCTACCGAAAAAGTGGTTCCATGGGCCTAGTGGTTTGGTAGATAGGGTTGCCGTTCTGGAAGTACGCAAAGTTAGCGTAGATTTCCACCACCCAGTAGGGTTGCACGAGGATGACAGTCGAGATGTAGAAGAGGGACACCCGGCGAGATAGAAATGGCTTGTTCTTCATCCACGCAATTACATTGTGCAGACTCCATGAAACTATCAACCCAATGACCGTAAAGGAGAGATACCACTCGTAGACCGGAGAGTGCGCAAAAATGAAGGTGCCATGGGGCATCGCCAGGAGTAACTAGACAAGATCACATCAGTGTCTGGAGCAATGCTTTATAGCAAGGGGTTATACCTCTACGAAAATCAGCTTATGAAGGAGGACGTTTTTCTTCATGTTGGCCACCGTCACCGCCGCCATGACGACCAGCGAGCCGACCATCAGTCCTTGCCCCCACGCTTCTAACACGAGCCCATTGGGGTCGGTCGGACGCGATGAATCGGCTCGGTCAGACATTCTGGCAAGAAAAAGACAATCAGACCAGTTCGAGAATTATGCCCAACTGGTCTCTGGTAATGAACGGTCAGCGACGATAAGGTGATTTAAAAGCATCATCCCGCCCTCTGTAGTCTCGAAGTAACCACACCACTTTCGAAAGTTAAATGCGAACCGGGCCAATGGTATTGACGCACCGGGCGCATTCACCCTTGACGTTTCCAAGATATTGGGCCTGCCCGACGAACGTTAGAGTGTGGCGAATCCCTGCGACCAACTCTTGACGTTTGCGGCCAGGCCGTCATGATAAGGTTGGCCGCTGGCCAGACTTTGGGTGAACGAGTGATGAGATCTCTTTCCTTGGATAAAGATGAGGTAATTGAGGTAGACTGCTTGTATCAATAGCATGGCCCATCCTGAGATGAGTGACCCCGTTGCTGAAGGTGTATAGACCGAAAAGAATGGCAGTGGCGGGTCGATCGCTGTTCTTGGATCTCCCCGCCGGTTCCATCTCTCCACATTACAATACAACTCACCATCATTGCTTGTTGAATTTTGTTGGCAGTGCAGAGTCACGTCACCTGGCGCCGAGAACGCGTTGTCGTGGACACACAACCACCCCCCAAACAATCAGCCATTTCCAAGCTTCCAGTTTCTCCAATCTCTCGGTGCTTTTAAGCGAGTCCAAGACCGGGGCGAGCAAATCATACTTACGATTCATACCTACGAGCGTGGAAAATCTTCACTCGAGCTTCTCGCTGGCGGATTCAGCCGTTAAAAGTGTTCGGCATTTTCCGTTGGTTGGCTGCAGGGCTTCGGTCATTCGGTCGCGGCGACGCGTACTGTATTCTTCCAAGCAGTGTCCGTCATTCAGACTGAAAGGATCTGGAAACGGAGATCCACAGAGTGTCGAGTTACCCCGTGTCTGGCTCATCATAACTCTTGGTAACAAATGTGAAGGCTCCTGAGAACATTTTCTGAGATTTTTGGGAGCCAAGCAGATCCGACGGATTTCCTCAGTGCGATCAGCCAGGGTTTCTATGTATTAAAAATCGAATAGTAAAGACAGAAGAAATAAAATACAAAAAATATTTGTGTTACTTAGATAAGAAGTGGTTCTAGAGACTGGTGTCGCCATCAAAGATTTTCACCATATTTCGTTGACCCTAATTCTAAGGGAAAACACCTCGGCGGAGTGCTAAGTTTGGCTTGCCGTTGCAAATGTGCCATTTTAGCCGCGGGATTGATATCTCGGACCTATTTTTGATCCATGGTAGTGGACATTATGCTTGATTTCAACCATGATCGTAAGGCTCCCAACGACCTTATTAAACCACCCAAGCCACTTTTTATCCTGCGCCTTCTATAGTATTTTAGACGACATTCTCAAACACAACTGGCTATGCCCGTACTAGTCTGTACTGTAACGACCACGTTCCGACACAGTGTTCCAAGGGGCCGAGCCTTCAATTACTAGAGAACAATCACTAAAGGTCTATTAGTTTACTAAAGTGAAGTGAATGGTACCTTTTACAATATCTGCTTCAATATATAGCTACCAACCTTAAACAAATTAGAATAATTCGAATAGCCCTATCAAGGTGATATAACTAGCTATTGGTAAGCTTATAGCTTATAGATCTAGTTAGCTTACCCTTTAGGGAAGTTCTTTATATCGCTTTGAAGTGCAAAATTACGTTTTAGAAAACCAAAAGAAATAGTGCGTACCGTATCCTCGGAATCTATAGTTATCTAATAGGTATTAGCCCGTTACACTATTAGGCTTTCTATTCTGATCGCAGAAGGAAAAAAGTTTCCGTAACTAAGCCTGATAGTTCCTAGTAGTCTGTGCTCAAGGCCACCTCACGTGAGGCCTCAACGTCGCGTGAGAGACTTTTCAGCTTCTCCTCGATTCTTTCCACACAGTCGGAACCGAGAGGTAATCTCAGAATCTTTCCTTTCAGTGATCCGGCTTGTCCTTCTCCCGTCACAACCTCGAACACCCGGGCCACACCCTTCAATGGATCTCCCCGCTGTGTTCCCTGCATGGTGTCAAACTTGCCCAGCGCAACGTCCACTGGCCCCCCAATATAGGGCTCAGACAGTCCGGTTTCGTTCTTGGTAGCTGCTGCGAGGAAGTTCGTCTTGAACGCCCCTGGCTCCACTACCAGCAAGGAGATATCGAACGGTGCAAGCTCTCGCGCAAGTGACTCCGAAAGACCCTCAAGCGCGAACTTGCTGCCGGCATACATGCCACAGGACGGGAGTCCATCCTGTCCGGCAATGCTGGTGATGTTCACTATCGTTCCACTACGACGGGCACGCATAGAGGGGAGTGCCGCGCGAATGAGTCTCAGGGGACCGAAAAAGTTGGTCTCGAATTGGAGGTAGGCTTCGTCGTCTCTGCGTTTGCCATTAGATACAAGCCAGATTAGAATTCGCTTCTTCATCTCACCGTATATCCTCCACCGCTCCCAACAGTGAATAGCCCGCATTGTTGACTAAGACATCGATGCCGCCATAGAAGCTCTCCGCTTGCTTGACGGCGTCAGGGATGGTGTTTCCTTTGCTCACGTCGAGGTCGATGACCTTTCCACCCTTTGACTCAATTGCCTGGATAGCGTCGGCGGATTTTATTCTGCTGCGCACAGACGCGACGACCTGGTGGCCTGCAGCCAACGCATGGAGGGCCAGGTAGTAGCCGAAGCCTGAGGAGCCACCAGTGATAAACCAGACAAGAGGCGCCATTGTATTGTCGCAAGTCAAATATCTTTATAGGTTGAAGTCTTAGTCGCAGAGTTCAGGTAATTGAGAAATTCAAGGGGGCACGTCGAGTTGAAAATCTCGGGCTTCTCGATAGAGCACGGGGAAATACGAATAAGTTAATAAAAACACAACCTTGCCTCATGTTGGAAACAAAGAACGTCTGGGGGGATAATTGCGGTCTCGGCGTGAGTGAAGGGTTCAGCCCGCAGCCACCGAGGACGAGATCGCCAGTCATGGGCCCACAGGGTTTGTCTCTGGTGTACGCCGGTCCCAGGCAGGGATCGGGAACCAAAGGAAGGAAGCGGCCCGTTCAAGCTTACCGGTGCATTCGGTCGCAACCGTACATTACCTCTCGTCTTAGCTACCTTATCTGGTGCATGATCCGGTGTCTTATGATTAATTCGACTAGTTGCAGATATTATAATAATTCTGTCACAATCAACTCCACTTTTCACTCATACTTGTCACACCGCTACCCCGTATTTACCCCTACTTCAAACAATATATGGAGACAATAGAAGGCAACTTATCCCCGGCCATCCCGGTCTCACGATCCTCAGAATCCATTTCGCTTCAAGAATGCCAGAGTATCATCCATTAACTGCTGGGCATGGTTATGCAGATGGATGCCATGTCCCGCTTGAGGATAGACCTTGATGTCATGATCTGTGGCATTTGGGAACCGGTCGTACAGCGCATACGGAGCGGACCCACATGAACGACCGCAGAAGGTCGCATCCTGGTCGCCATTGGCGAGCATCACAGGGCCTTTGTACAAGTTCGGCGTCACCAGATGGTACGCCAGGGAAATAGACAGGCCGAGGGTGTCGAGATCCCTCAGGTAGAAGTCCACCGGCACGATTTCCGGGTCAAAGTCCCCATAGAACACGGCCGCTTGCCGACCAGCCGGGTTCATCTGCGTCGTGTACTCAGCCGTGTACTTCTTCCACTCGGGCTTCTCGAGCCCATTGGCAGCCACCTGCAATCCACTCAGGAATGCAGGGTACAGATCCTGGATATCCCAAGTGAAGCCATGGAGCACCAACGCGTCGATGGCGTCAGGAACCTGGTATGCCAGCGACACCCCTGCAATGGATGCAATGCTAAACCCGATGTAGGCCACCTTGTCATACTTCATGCCGCCAATCTGCCCCGCCTTCAGAAGCTTGATGATATGGTGGACCTGCTCGACAATCACCTGCGTCTGGACTTCGTACAGGGGGTGGGGATGCGACGAGTTGCCGGACCCGATCAGGTCGAAGGCCAGAGTGGGATAGCCCTCGGCGTGCATGCGGCGGGTCCAGGAGTACTTCTCCGGCTGCCACGGCCAGTCCCACATGATCTTGCTGAATGTAGCGCCGTGGACGAGCATTTGGATGGTGTCCTGCTTGTTGGTGGCTTGCGCCGGTGGCGTGCAGTAGATACCCGAGATGTGGTAGGTCGCCGTCCTGAAATCGCGGAAGTCCATGAAGTTATGGAGAACCTCGATGCTGTAGTCGTCATCCTCGAAGTGACCGTCCGAGTTCTCGGTCACATTGAACGGAATCACCAAGTTGGTGCAGCTGTGGCCGGACTCATGCTGGAAACTGTCCCGTGGGCGAACCTCGGCAGGGTGGGCAACGGATGGCCTAATCAAGGATAACGGGGAAGAGAGGAGGAGGAAAGAGAGAAGGCTCCTCGATATAACGTGCATCTTGTAACAAGTCTGTCCACTCGGAGACGGTGCACGTAAACATTCGACAAAGGAATAGAACAACCTGATCGAGAAGTATCTTATCCAAATCTCCAGACGTGGGTCTTTATACCAAGGCCTTCCTTATATACTATATCGCCTTTAAAACTATCATCACTGGGGCAGAGTACCAATGGGGAAGAATTAAACCCAAACCAGTGGGGCACTCACTTGGTCCCCTTAGGTGCATTTACCTCGTATTCCCCCTTTGATATTAACCGGACGTCAATTCATGGCTCGAGACCCCGCGTACAACGAAAGAAAGGGTAATGTAGATATCCAGCGGACCGGGTTCCGGGTCAGACACTTGGTTGACTCCTTATCCTAGACTGGATGCACAAACGTCAGTCGGTTCCAGATTGCAATATGCTCCCCTTTTTGGTTCGTACCTGCTGCAAAACTTGGCCGCCCCGAACGACTAACCCATTGACTCTAACTTTATCGTTATTGAGAGTATGTGGACATCGACGTTTCCTTTGGGTTACGTAGTGAGATGTTTTGGTAGAGAATTGCCAGCGAATAGGAAGGTCCCATTCCTTAGTTCAATGCCTCGGAAGTGGTGGAAAATTATGTATATCGAAGAAAGACCTAACTACACGTGTAGGCTTCCGGTATAAGGAATTATCTAACGAATTACTCAATATTCCTGATGGATAGTGACGCAGAAAATGAAAGAGCAAAAGGAAAAGAAAACGCCCATCACAATCTGTAAGTATTGAGTTCGGTGCTGAAGTCGTTGGAATTCCCCCGATCTGGAAGCAGCATCCACCCAGACGAGTTTGAACTTCAGATATACTGCTCATCAATTGCCAGAAATGTTCCACTCCCAGTGCGGCACGCCTGCTTGATCTTCACATTCATCACCTCGTCATTGTGCAAAACCAAATGATGTAGTCGGGTAGGTAGACACATTTGGGTTCAGGAAGCACTTCAATATGGCTGGTATGCCGCCAATGCCGCCCTAGAGTACAGGACATCAATACCAACCTTAGGCACATATTGGCGACAAAACATCCATAAGGGCAAATTAACTCCATTATTGCAGAAATTTTTCCTTCCTCCATGACTCCAGGTAAAGATCCAGTAATTCGATGCTCAATCCATTGCAGGCACGCAACGAGCGCGAAACGCGTCGCGCTCGCGTGGTATCCAATACTACCCCTCCGCTGGAAAGAACTTGGAATTCTGCCTGGAGGAAGGGCAGAAGATGGTGGATGAACTTCAAGTTTGCCTCAGTACAGGCCATTGACGATGCGCGCTCAAGCCAAGTCCCGAATGAGACGGGCAGTGGCGTTTTCAACCTCAATTTGCTGGCAAGAATGGGCAGCAGGGGTTTCCAGGCTTGACGGATCGGGTTCTCAACGTGATATATGATATTCTGGAGAGGGTCTTCCGACCGTGACGAGAGGATCTCCACAATAGATTTCGCAGCTGTGTCAATTGGGATCCACGAGAAGGACTGCAAGGGCGTCAGGTTTGCTCATTACTATATATGCTCATGTTACTCACCCCGTCCAATTCTGGCAAGGCCCCGATAAGCTGGGATGCCTTAAGAATTGCTGGAAAGTGCTCGTTGGAGTTCCAAATCCCCGAGTGCGTGCCCCCGGTTAACTGACCCAGGCGTACGATGCTTGGATGCAGGTGATCGCGCCGTGTTTTGGCTGCTTCAATTAGGATCCGTTCACATACCCACTTGGCCTGAGCGTAGCCCATATCTGCCGTGGCTGAGGGGTCTACGATTGGCGCTTCTGGTACTTTTCTCCGACTTGCGCAACGCGCGCTAATCGCAATGGAGGACGTGAACAGCAATCGGGGAGGAGACGAACGGCGTTGCTTCCGATGACAGTCTGCGCAAAGGTCGACTAGCCTTCCCACTGTCTGGATCTGGGGCTCGAATGAGGAAAGACTCCTTTGGAAGTCCATTGGCCAGGCGCTATGGATGATGTGGGTTACCGTCCGCACTATGTGACGATATTCCTTGTGTGGTAAGCCCAACTCAGGCTGATGCAGTTGGTTTGACGACAAGAACCTGATTTTGGTCCACGCGGATTCTGAGAGAGTGATCCCACGCGCACTGTTGGCTTGTTGCTGCCGATCCCTGGGATCCAGTCCTTGATGCAACCGACTGAGACAGATAATCTGCGATACATTCACGTTACGCAACAGCTGATCCAATAGATGTACCCCAAGATGACCTGTTGAGCCTGTGAGTAGCACAATCCAACCCGTAGAACAGGCAGGAGTGTACTTCGATGCTAGATCAAGCATCTGATTTAATTTCGAGTCCAACGACGCACCATTTGTGTCGTCGCTGCCAGCACCTGCTAATAATCGCTCGGACAGTGTATTGAAGCTCGGATGCTGGTAGACGAAAGAAGGCTGTATTTTTCTGGAGGTCAGTACCGGAAATGAGTCTTTGTTAGACACACGGCTCAGCATACGAGCCAAACGCGTTGCTTCCAGGGAATCCATGCCCAGTTCAAACCAGTCATCCGAATCTGCCCAGTTGGCAACGGGCAACCCCCGGTCCTGCACACAAGTCTGGACCATCACACGCAAGCTGTCGATGATTGTGTCGGGATTGTTCTCCAGGGTGAAAGAAAACGAGTCCTGGGTATTAGAAGTAGTATAGACTTCTTCAATCTCCTGTGCAAAGAGATCGTATGTCTCGCGACGCATGACAGATCCCTTATCCGACCTTGGCAACACCTTCTCTGAGGTTTTGACCAGGATCATGCTCTTGGATGCGATACGCGCATGGCGGTCCAAGGAAATGTTTTCCTGCTGCACGATCTTCCAGATCCGCTCCACGAGAGTTTCCACGTCATCATTCTCAAGAGGTACTTCTGGCTCTATCAGAACTCCAACTTCTTCGCGGTTCTGTCCGAATACAACAGCTGTCTTCACCCCTTCTTGCCCGCTAAGCGTGATCTCAAACTGATTGGGGAGAACTTTTTCTCCGGTGGACAGGACCAAAAGGTCATCATTGCGGCCCAGAATTGCCACTTCAACCTGAGCAGATCCTGGTCGCCGACGTAGAAGGTCTTGGAGTACAAAAGGGCGATCCCAACCAAAAGGATGGCCGACCAACTGGTAAAACGGGACACCATTTTCATCCTTCTCCCCGACCTCCTTGATCTCGAGACCCATGTCGTTACGAATGCGCAGATAATGCCAGTCATAGTCATTTCCAGGCACGAAGATTGGGGCAATGGCCCCGATTTCTGTGGCGCCGTAGTGGTTAAGCAACGTGACTCCATTGGAGACCAGGAGCTCACCAATGGCGGGCTTAATTGCACCACCACCTACCGCCACGAAGTCCAATCCTATCAATGCCCGCATCAGATTTGAATCGTTCTTGGCTTCTTCGAGAATGCTTGGGACTGTCATTAAAGAGCAGCTCGCAGATTTCTCAATCAATTCGGCTATTGAGCTGGCGGACGGAATGACGGATGCTGACGGCAAGCAACATGTGTTTCCAGTTGCCAAGCTGATACATGGCCCAAGTAAGCCAAAGCCCTTGCCACGATTAAGGTCAGTACAACATGCGCACGCAAAAAAGCGAGCAAATACATACATGATACATCGGAAGGGTGGATACGCTCCGTTTGCCAAGACATTGATTTGGCTCTAGGCGATGGCATGCTGCATATCCCAGCAAGTATCGATGTGCTAGGAAAATAGGCTTCGGAACTCCTGTTGTGCCAGACGAGTGAAGTATAATTGCCGTCTCTTTATCTGAGGGTATTCGACGTTCCAGGACCCCTGAAGACACTTCTGACGCGAGCCGGCACAGTTGTTGGTACGGAGAGCATTGCACCAAGTGCAAGTCCTTTCGCTGCTCCCATGCGAGGACTTCGAATGCCTTATCTACTGTCCCCTGGCTTCTCTGTGATACGATGATAGCGATCGCCGAGGTTGATTCCAGGAGGTGTGAGATGGCCACTGGGTTAAGACGAATGGAGAGCACGAGAACCTATAATGTCAGCATCGACAGCATTGAGTTGAGCGGGAGTCACTTACAGGAATATTCAAATACAATAAAGCCGCAAGATGGACGAATAGATTAATATCGCTTTCAAGAAATAATGCAACTGGTCGTCGTGTTTCGGACTCATCCCCGCCTGTAGCTTTGGATGGCCCTCCTGGCAAACGCTTACGGATAAGATGTGCGCAGGTTGTGGCTGCGAGCTTAAGCTCACTGAAGGTGACAGGAGTAAGGTTGACATAGTTTCCTCCCTGCCGTACTTCTTGCAAAGCAAATACATGGTCTGGGTTGTGATCAGCGTCGAAATCGATGAGATCCGGAAGACTTTGGATCGCAGATAAATCTGTGACCGGGTCCCTGGAGACTTGCAAAAAAGGACGCAAGAATTCTGAAGCTAATGTATCTATTGCCATGGTGTAGTAGACTTAGCTCGGCTGCAAAGATATGCCTGATATCGTCCCGGATGTGATGGGGGACTGTGTGAGTTATGTGCTGCGGGTATTAGTCGTGCCCTAGCAAACTGCGGCCCGAACGTAAGACCCCGGAAGATCAGACCTGGCACCGCGTACGTAGATTTATTGCCTATACACCGGGCTATACTAAAAGCCTTGGCTCATAAGGCCGTTTTACCATTATCAGGTGTTGGTTGTGAGGGGTCCATGTCTATGGGCAAACAAAGTACGCCGGTCCCTAACATCTCAACGGTGGAACCTGGTACAGAAACCTCCATCTTGGAGGGGTATTTCCATAAAGCTCGTGCGGCAAGGTGATGGGCAGTGTATTCTAAATTTATTTTCTTACTGTGTTTGAGAAAAGCACCCGGTTGTTTTTTCCGAGTCGGAAGACTTCAGTCGCAGGTACCTGTGAATACAGACTTTTTCATGGATCCCAAACGAATTATATTCTTTGGGGGACAGGGAAGTCGGTCACTATCTTCGTCGACGCCGATTTCATGGACAGAGGCGCAGAATGAGTGTCCTGCAGTTTCCCTTTTACTGTCAACTTGTCACGCCGCGTTTCTACGAGAGGCCATATGGACTCAATCACGGGAGCCTACCCCAGCATGGGCGAGCTTTGATGTCCCAACCAGTCCTGAGCTCTTATTGACCGTGCCTCCTCCACATTCCGATAACCCAATCTTACAGGGGGTGTGTCTCTGCGTGAACCAGTTGGTTGGATATTTTCAGAACGACACCAGGCTCGAAAGACTCAAGCAAGCCATACCTACTGGATTCTGCTCTGGAATGCTTCCCACAATGGTCTTAGCGTGCAGCCACACCGTGGAAGAATATATTAGGCTCAGTGGAGAAGCGGTTCGTCTTGCATATTGGATAGGGTACCGCGCTGCGGAGTTGAGCCAGCAGATCTCAAGAGGGGACTGGCAAGCCCAGCCCTGGGCTTTATCTGTATCTGAAATGGACAAGGAGACAATAGGGAGAGACGTGCAGAGTTTCAATCTCACCGTTCCTGAATCGTCCCAGATCCGGGTGGCATCGAGATTTGGCAAAACTTCTTTCAGTCTTGTCGGCCCAGGACATGCATTGGAGGCATTTCGATCCCAACATGTTTCTACACCTTCCATTGCGGAGCGGGTACATGTTTATGCCTTGTACCACGCAGGGGACAAGGGAATGAATGCACTAAAGAAGGTGCTTGAAGATGTTAAGCGCAGAGATATTTCGTTTCCACCATCAACAGCCATGAAAAGGCCGATATGGTCTTGCCAAGGCGCATCTTTGGTAGATGCAGCAATCCTTGCATCCACCTCGCCACTGGAATATACCCTTCGTCTCATCATGGTTGACACCGCCGACCTTTACAGCACCTGGCTCTCGGCTGTCAATCATATGACTTCTTCAGATAAAGACTGGGAGATAGTGACTGTGGGGCCTGGTTCAAACGCCTTGCTCGCATCGGTATGCAGGGATGTATCTCGACCTACAAGAGCAGGCTTGGTAGACATCCCAGGAGCTCTTCAAGGCACCAATGTATCTCAAGTTGATGGATTTGCTATTGTTGGAATGTCCGTTAATTTTCCCCTGGGAGCTGGCAAAGACGCGTTCTGGAAACTGATAGAGGATGGATTAAATGCAGTGCAAGAAGTATGTTCCCCCTCCTCCCTTTCGGGTGTCTGAGGCTGGCTAACTGACGATGTCGATAGATACCAGGCACCAGGTTTCAAGTACACGACTACAAAGCCGAAAAGCCCAATTGTAGACCACCCCGTGAGATGAAAGCCAGCCATGGCAACTTTCTCAGCGACCCATTTCAGTTTGATCATGAGTATTTCGGCATTTCACCTCGAGAGGCCAAGTCAATGGACCCACAACAGAAACTCCTCCTCCAGGGGGCAGTACATGCAATGGACGATGCAGGATATGTACCCAATGGAGCACCTTCCTTCAATCCTGAGACCATGGGGTGCTATATTGGGGTTGCCACGGACGACTATGTGCAAAATTTAAGCCGACACATTGATGTGTATTATTCGACAGGTACGGTTCCTTTTCTCGTAGGCAGCGATAATGTTACTAATAGAGCTAGGGACCCTACGCGCCTTCCTGAGCGGGAAGATATCCTACACGTATGGCTGGAGCGGACCATCCATTGTTATTGATACGGCCTGCTCTTCTTCGCTTGTGTCTGTGGTGATGGCCTGTCGGGCTCTAGCTCAAGGCGATTGCACTACCGCGTTGGCCGGTGGCGTGAACGCCATTACCAGTCCAGATGTAAGCCACAGTGATTTTTGTTCGAAAGATAGGAGATACTGATTATATAGATGTATCTTGGTCTTTCACGAGCCCACTTCTTGAGCCCGACTGGCCAGTGCAAGCCCTTTGATGTATCAGCCGATGGGTACTGCCGCGCCGAAGGGTGTGGGTTATTCGTGATCAAGCGGCTTTCAGACGCAGTCCGTGAAGGTGATCGAATCTATGGAGTCATCAAACAAGCGGAGATAAATCAGAGCGGTAACTCCTCGTCCATCACTCACCCTCATGGTTTCACCCAGAAGCAGCTTTTCCAGAGACTCCTTTCTCGCGGGAAGATCGATGCAAAGTCAATAAGTGTAATCGAAGCTCATGGGACGGGAACCCAGGTACAACTTTCATTTCATTTACCAATTTGTTCGAAAGATTGATGAAGCTGACCTTTGAGTAGGCCGGGGATGCAATCGAGACCTCCAGCATTGTATCAACTTTTGGTGGTTCTCTCAGCCCAGTCTACTTAACCTCAGTCAAGGGCAACATTGGCCACGCTGAGGCAGCATCGGGAACTGCGGGTTTAGCAAAGCTGCTATTGATGCTGAAGTCTGCGAAAATCCCACCGCAGGTCGGATTCAACACACTGAACCCGAAGTTACAGGCTCTGGCTGCTCACAACATCCGAATTCCTACTGCAGCTTGCCAGTGGAATCGCATTGGGCCTAACCTGCCGCGGCGTGCGTTGCTGAATAATTTTGGTGCAGCTGGTTCAAACGCCGCGTTAATCATTGAGGAATACCGCATAGCATCACGCCGCAAGGATCGAAATTTTTCCCATAGAGCAGCATATAATCTGATTTTGTCTGCAAGAAGCGCCCATGCGCTCCACGAGCTTATTGATCGGTACACCGAGCTTCTTCGGGGCAATGAGATTGCTATTCAAAACATTTGCTACACGGCGACAGCTCGGCGGCAAAAACATCGACATGTTCTCTCAATTATTGGAGAAACGATAGCAGACCTTGCCGACCAGCTTCAACGGCATAGAACACTTGAGAGACCCGTGGTCAACTATGGGCAAAAGCGCCCGATTGTTTTTGTCTTCTCTGGACAAGGCAGCTTTTATTCAGGAATGGGCCAGCAGCTCATGCTTACTGCACCAGCCTTTAAGGGTAAGGTTCAGGAATGCGACTGCGTGCTTCAGCGAAACGGGATTGTAGATGTCATACCAAGCAAGGTACTCGACGGCTCCTTCAGCCCCGCCTCTGCCACGGATTGGGTGCTGTGGTCACAGGTCGCATGTTTTGTGCTGGAATACGCCCTCGCATCCCTGTGGATATCATGGAATATCCAACCTGATGTTGTTATTGGCCATAGGTAAGCAAACTTTCTAGGATTCATACGTCATTCCCAGAAAGATCTAACAATTCGCCAGCCTTGGAGAATACGCAGCTATGGTCATTAGCGGAGCCCTGTCGCTGCAAGATGCTTTGTTGCTCGTTATGCGACGCGCACAACTGATGGCATCGATGTGTCAAGTTGGGGAGTCTACTATGCTTGCGTGCAATACGTCGGCCTTGTCTGTCGAACACCTCATTGCAGACTCGGAACTGGCTCAACTCACAGTTGCCTGCGACAATAGTGTAACGGATTCTGTTGTCTCGGGACCGGTCGATCAAGTAGACCAATTGGCCCGGCTGATCAAAGAGAAAGGAATTCGCTGTAAGCGACTTGATGTCCCTCTCGGCTTTCATTCATCTGCGCTGGATACAATGCTGCCAGAATTAGAGGCCAGATGCGAAGGCATCTGTTTCTCCACTCCAAGGATTCCTTTGGGGTCTTGTTTCCATGGACGCCTTATCGAAGAAGGCGATCTTAAACCCAGCTACCCCGTTCAACAAACAAGAGAAAAAGTTCGTTTCGCAGAGCTTATCGATTCTCTCTTCAAACGAGATGAAATGCGGACAGCCACTTTCATCGAAGTTGGCCCTAGTCCGATTACATTGCCCATGGTCCGAACCAGATTCACCGGACAGGGCGCCATTTTCCTGCCTTCCATTACAAAGGGCCAAGATCCCTGGATTAGCATAAGCCATGCCCTACAGCAACTGAGCCTGCGGTCTGATTCTATTCAATGGCGCGGTGTTTTCGATGGCACAGACGCCGTTATTGTGGATCTTCCAGACTATCCATTCCAAACGCATTCTCTGTGCGTCCCATTCAAGGAACCCGACTTCGAGGAAAGAGTGTCCCTAGCCGCTCAAACACAAACACCGCCTAGTTTTCATTTATTGCAAGATGTGGCGGGTTCAGACTTCGAGAAAGGAATGTCGACGTTCAGTACGAGTCTAGATGCCCTGTCCAAGTACATTGAAGGCCATTCGGTTGACGGCTTTCCGCTATGTCCGGCCTCAGTATACCATGAAATGGTTCTGGAAGCCATGCACTATGAGGCTGGACCAGCTCAGGATCAGGTGGCTTTGGTCAGTGATATCACTTTTGGACATCCCCTTGTATATTCGCCAGAGAGGAAGTCTTCCACTGTGCTTTTGACATTGGAGAAAACGTCGGTCGCTCAACCTCAAAATAATGGAGGAAAATTCAACTTTGCTACAGCATCTAATTGTGATTCTGAAATGGTCCTCTGTTCCGGCCAAACAGCATGGATGTCCTCATCGGACGCGAAATCATACCTTGCGCGGAAGGCAGCATACGCCAAAAGGCAGACGAGGCTTTTGCAAAGAAACCAGAGCCAGACAAATATCCTGCACCGCAATGTCATTTACAACACTATATTTCCTCGGGTAGTCGCCTACTCGGAGCCATATCAATCCATCAAGGAACTGAACGTGTCTGAGGCCGATCTGGATGGTTACGGCACGTTTGAGGTACCAGCGAGCACTCTCGTTGGAGGTATTATGTCTCCAGTTTTCGTAGACACCATGCTACATGCGGCCGGGTTCGTTGCCAACAGCCAAGCCAAACAAACCGATGCCTTCATTTGCAGTAAGATCGAGTCCACGGTTGTGCTATATACCGCCATCAACCCGCATGACACTTTTCATATCTACTGCAGCCTGCTGGAATGCGGAGATGGGGAACGTATCGGTGAGGCTTTTGCAACGACACTCGACGGAACAGCTGTTGCTAGCATTGAGGGCATGCACTTCAAGCGCCTGAATCTCAGGTCGTTCGCTTGTCACCTGTCCCGCCAAACCGGTCAGAGGTCCACCGGCGATACGCCGCGGCCAGCCGTACCTCGTACCAAGGGGACGACGAAGGCCACGCGCCCATCAGTTCCTAGCGTCTTGGATCCAATGAGTACGGTGGTCAGCCTGATTTCCAGGCTATGTGAACAGCCGAGGGAGGCAATTATTCCTGCCAAGCGATTGGCGGACTTGGGGATCGACTCGCTCATGCAAATAGAGCTCTCCCACTCGCTCAAGGGTCAATTTCCTCAGCTGGATACTGACGGCTTGGTGACATTGGAAACAGTCCAGGAGATCCAAAACTATATAGTCGACATGTGTGGTGACCCATCGGGAGCGTCCGAAGAATCCAGTAAGAGCAGCTCCGACAACGGCGACGATACTTCCCCGATCATCGCGTCACGCAGCCTCACCCCCTACACGGAGGTATCTGCCACTCCGAACGATGTCACCGATCTCCTGATGCAGTTGGTGACGGAGACTTGTGGCTTCAACCTTTCGGATGTCTGCCAAGACATGACACTTGAATCGCTTGGAATGGATTCTTTAATGGCCATTGAATTCCAAGAAGGCTTGCAAAAGGAATTTGGCAAGGCAGTGGCGCAGCAAATGTTGTCTCCCGCGTTGACCATCAGCGAGCTTGCGGTAAAGCTCGCAGCAGAAATCAGTTCACCCAGCAGCGAATGCTCTGCAGATCTGATTGAGAAAGCCGCAAGCAAAACACTCTCACCCGGGCCGGTAGAAGAGCATTTTATAGTGCATTTGCAGCAAGGGCCAGACAACCATCCTCCGCTGATTCTGTTTCATGACGGCAGTGGACTAATCGAAAAGTACAAACATCTTCCCAGATTGGGGTGCAACGTGTTTGGCGTCCGCAATCCGGAGTTCACAGCTCGGCCGCATTGGGCAAAGGACCTGAAAGATATGGCCAGTCGGTATGCTGCTTCGATTCCATCGGTAGTCAAAGCAGAGCAGGTGGTTCTCGGCGGTATGTTTCCGTCGCTTTACACAGCTGGCCATGGGTGAAAACGTACTAATGTGCATAGGCTGGTCTTTCGGCGGCGTACTCGCCCATGAAGTTGCGCAGCAGATAGACAAATTGGGGTATACTACAGTAGCCGTCATTCTCATTGATTCTCCGTGTCCGTTGGATCATAAGCCCCTGCCCCGACAGGTTGTCGATTACATCCTGGGTCCCAAACCACTGCCCCACTCTAAATTGAACGCTATATCCGTTCAATTTCAAAGCCACGCACAGTTTCTTGCAGATTACAGGATGGAACATCCCATTCCATCCGCAAGGAAGTACGTGATGCTGCACAGTGAGCAGGTCCTCGACACGACCCGTCTTTGCGGTGTTTCGTACCCATGGCTTGAAAGTCGACAGGATAGGGCTTTGGCGCTTCGCCAATGGGAGGGCCTTCTCTGCCGTTCTCTGGAGGTCTATGAGATCCCGGGAAATCACTTTGAACCATTTGACCATGAATACGTAAGAAGCCCATTCCTGTCATAGGTTACATGTCGAAAGCTAAAACCGGAACTTAGATCAGGATTGTCTCAGACAAGTTACAAGTTGCGTATGAGAAGGTGACGAGGAGTTGTGATTGAAATTAGACACTGGGAGAGAATCATCGTGTGCATAGTGACAGGCTCCAGATAAACCTTATGTCTCTTTCGTTGTTTTCTGAATTTAGCTGAATAAACTCCACAACACTTTTTCCAATCAAATACCAGTAGTGTTGCACCTCCCCTTGTAAACCAATGCCTCCAAGCCCTATTGATTGCCTATTCATCAGATAATATCCAAGTAAATCCTCAGTACGGACTCGGGCATCTGGTAGCGAGCCAAATCCAAGCCAGTCATAGGACCGGCGTACACCAGCACACCCGCTCCAACGTCGCAGCCTTCTTATCGATATTCCCCTTCCACCAGCACTCCCAACCACAGACAACCCTTATTTATGAGCACCACATCTGCCGCAAAATCCAATTCAACAGAAGCAGGCTAACTCAGAACTCAAACCTGTTCTGGCTTTCCAAACATACAATGGCTCACTCCATCCTCCCTCACACTCATGAGAACGGCTTCCGCCAACCAGCAGAAGATCCTCACTGGACGCTCCCAGAGGTAGACACAGTGTCATAACGCCCAAGGTTTTATCAAAAGCGAAACTAACAGGAAGAAATTGGTCCACAGTACCCCACAGACGAGACAGGCGATGCCGCCGGACCGCAGTACGAGGTCCCGCCCTCAGTCGAGATCGTCACGTCTACCAGGCATAATGGTCTGGGGTTCAATGTCCTTCGCGTGTGGCCGACGCTTCATGATGGCACCGCCTCGCCGCACGGGGTACCTGCGTGGTGGAACCCGCCGGATAAGGTCGATGTCTTGATTTGTGGAGGTACGTTTAATGTGGCCGGGCTCGTATGTGGTCAGGCTAACAGGCGTAGCTGGACCCAGTGGACTGGAAGTCGCGTTGAGCTGTCTTCGACAGGGTCTTTCGTTTCGGATTATTGGTTTGTTTATCAACTCTTTCATTCTTTCCTTATCGCCATCTTTCGGAGCCCTGCATCTACAGAAACTAACCAACACCTAGACAAGAACACCTCTCCTCTGACAGCTGGCCGTGCCGACGGCGTCCAACCCCGCTTCCTCGAGACCCTGTCAACATGGGGCCTCGCCACGGAAGTGCACGAAGAAGGCCCCCTGATCGAACGCACCGCCATCTATCACAATGGCCAGCTCCTTCACCACGGCCGCTCGCACCAGTCTGAGTCCCGCTACCGCGGCTTGCACATCATCACGCAGGGCCAGATTGAGCGGATCTTCGTACGTGATCTCCTGCGGCATAAGGTGCTCGTAGAGCGCGCCACCACACTGAAGGAGTACACTGTGGATGACCCCTCTCCTTATCCAATTCACTGTATGTTAGCGGATGAAGAAGGGAGGGAGACGGAAGTGCAGGCGAAGTTCCTGATTGGGAGCGATGGGGCATCGAGTGCGATTCGGCATAAGCTGCAGATTCCGTTCGATGGCATCAGTACGGATATCTACTGGGGTATTATGGACTGTGTGTTTGAGACGGATTATCCGCATGCGTGGATCTTTGGGTCGGTCATCAGTACGGAGCACGGTGGGTGCGTGATTATCCCGAGAGAGAATGGGTATATTCGGTAAGTGGTCCATGTCCTCTCCCGCTGCATGTTCCCTCGCATAGGATGTGCGAGGACTGACGGGTCTTGCGGGCAGGCTGTATACACAGTTGGACATTTCTCAAACGGGATCCCTGGCGGCCTCCCGACAAGCAAGCGACCCCTCCTTCGCGGAGTCCGGTGGCCAGGTGGACGTCCACTCGATCACCCCCGAAGAAGTCCTGGAGCAGGCGAATCGCATCTTCTCTCCGTATAAACTGTCCTTTGCGGCGCCGCTAAGTTGGTTTGCTGTATGGAAGAGTACGTCCCTCCTCTCGGCTTACTTGGAAACGCAAGGAAAGCTAGCCCTAACACCCGTCCAGTCAGCGAGCGCGTCGCTCGATCTTTCTCCTCCTCCGACCAACGCGTCCATTTAGTCGGAGATGCTGCGTGCGTTTTATCTTCCTCATACTACGCCAACCGCTCTCTAACCTTGGTGATAATGAATTAGACACGTCCACAGCGTCATGGGCGCCTTCGGCCTCAACGCCTCCATCCTCGACGCCGCCAACATCGGTTGGAAACTTGGCCTCTGCGCTAGAGGCAAGGCCGACCCCAGCAAGCTCCTCCCCACCTACGACCGCGAGCGCCGTCTCCACGCTGCCAACATCATCGAAATCTCCGGCAAGTATCTGCGCCTTGTCTGCAGCTCGCAGGTCCCAACGGCCCGTCTGCACTACCTCGGTGCACCCCTGGGTCTCGAGGAGCTAGAGACACATAAGGCGAATGGGGTGAATGGGGTGAATGGGGTGCATGATGCCGTGCGTAAACCGCCTGCGTCGTCCAGCGAGGCCATCTCAATCGAGTCGGATCCTAAGGACCAACAAAATGGCACCGCAGCGTTTACACGTGACGAGGCGAAGGCTTTCCTATTTGATTTTTTCACGCGTCATGGTCAATTTCTTCTCGGGGTGGATGCGGCGTACGGCACGAGCTGCTTGAATCCTTGTATGAACCTCACCAATGACATGGATGGGACTCAGCGGGCCCCGCCAGTGAAGGTGAAGAATGGGATGCGGGCGCCGAATCCCCGCCTGTGTATTGATGATAGCCACACAGGGTATCTGTATGACAAACTACCTGGGGATGGTCGATTTCATCTGGTCGTATTTGGGTCGAATCTTCTCGGTCCGGTCCGGCAGCATCTGAAGATCTTTTCAGAAGAAATATCGTCAGGGAAGGCTACCAGTGAGTTTTACTCGCGGTTTGGCGGTCCAGATATGTTCAACATCGTCCTCGTAGCTAAGGGCATGCCGTTTGAGATTAAGGAGAGTTTATCGGTTGATGAGGATCTGGCCGCACTGCGGGATAAGGCCATTGTGTTGGCGGATGACCGCGCGCCTGACGAGGACGCGCATAGCACCTGGGGCGTCAACCATCGCACAGGAGCGGTTGTAGTAATTCGACCGGATCTGTGGGTTGGGATCAGTGCTACACCGGGCGACGCTGGGAAATTGGGATCTTACTTCGCGACATTTTTACTAGCATAGAGACGGACTACCTACAACTCGCCTACGTCGAATAGAATCTGCTCTTATTGAAAACCGGAGTAAAGACAGAGGGCCACATTGTACGCGGGTCCAAAGAACAGCGTCCGCCCTGTCCTAGTCAGGTATATATAGAACATTCACCAACCGCCAAGCTTATCTCGCAGTAAGAAACCTTTTATCAACCGATCCCAGCAGCCAGAGACCCCTAGGACAGCACGATGCCTACCCTCAGCGACGTGCACCAGCTCCTCGAGCTTGTCGACCTCACCCGCGATAGCGTTCAGCGCATCATTGGAGAGTGGGCTAAGCTTCCTGTCTCTTCCTCCTGCAAACAGGATGGGCCGGCAGATGAAAGCGAAGCAAGCCTACCCAGCCGCGAGCTCTTCGAAGCGCAACGCACCCTCATTGCCGCGTCGGGAAAATTCGTTGAGTTAGTCTCGTCCCCTAGCAGCCGACTTCTGGAAGTCTCATCGCAGTATAATGAGGCGAGATGCTTGCACATTGCAGCCGTACTTCGGATTCCGGATATCTTGGAGGAGAACGGCGACAAGGGCGTGTCGATGGAGCGCATCGCCGAGACGGTGGGGATTGAGACGAGGAAGCTCGGTATGTTCTTGATTTGCGGAAAATGGCCAGGGATGTGAATTCGGTTGCTCATGGTGGCCTTGTTCAATTACAGGTCGTGTCATGCGCTGTCTCTGCTCAATTCACATCTTCCAGGAGGTGGAGGATGGGGTCTTTCGAAATAATGCCATCTCGGCCGGTCTGGCCCATAATGAGCCTTTACGAGCTTATATTGCTATGTTGTATGTGCTACCCTATGCAGAAGGTTCCACCGACGATGCTAATTTCCCTGAAAAGTGGATGGGATCTTTATAGCGCCTCGGACGCTCTTCCCCACGCTCTTTTGGACCCCGAGATAGGGTCTTCGTACTCGGTCAAAGAAACGGCTTGGCAAAAGGCCATCGGAACAACCAAGGAACGGTGGAACTGGCTTGAAGAGGGCACGACGGCCACAGAGCTCCTTAACGGCGGATCTGGGGCCTACCCTGGGCCTTTTGGGCCAGACGTTACGGCCATCCTCCAAGGCGAAAATACAGGGGAATCCATCCGTCGACCCGAGCTCGATATATTCGGTCTCGCCATGCTCGGTGGTGGGCGCGTATTTGGAGTTGCGCATTTATTTGGTATGCCACAATACACCGTTTCAGGCACAGAGCCGAGACATATATTGACTGTCAGAGCAGATTTCCCCTGGGCGTCACTGGGCAAAGCACAGGTTGTCGATGTTGGCGGCGGAGTTGGTATGCCTTCACATTCTCCTTCTCCCAAATGCTTTTAAAAACAGAACTAAACCAAACACCAGGTGGATTCTGCCTCCAGCTGTCCAAGATTTACCCGGACCTCAACTTCATCGTGCAGGACCGCGCGCCTGCGCTCGCTCAAGCCCAGCGCGAGATCTGGCCGCAGGAAAACCCGCAAGCCCTCAGCAACGGCCGGGTCAAATTTCTCGAGCATAACTTCTTCAATCCCAATCCAGTGATTGGGGCCGATATCTACTGGCTCCGGTATATCTTGTAAGTCTCCACGGTCTGGATATCCCTATAGCCTGTCCGCACTCTTGGTACTGAAGAGAGGTGTCTAGGCACGATTGGTCGGATGACTACTGCATCCAGATTCTCTCGGCAATCAAAGAAGCTATGACGCGCGACTCCCGGATCCTCATCTGCGACCAGGTCATGAATACTACGGCTGGGTTTGCGGGGCGAATTGCGTCGGCGCCGAAGCCCCTCCCGGCCAACTATGGATATTTCACCCGGTACAGTCATCAGAGGGACATTGCCATGATGAGCATTATCAATGGCATTGAGAGAACTCCAGCTGAATTCCAGAATATTATCGAGCGGTCGGGGCTGGTGATGACTCGGATTTATGATTGTCGAAGCCAGGTATCATTGGTGGAGTGTAGTTTGCCCGACGGGACAGAGAACGGACTGAATAAGTGTCACTAGCCAAGGCCTTTCGTTGATCAATTGGTATCTGTCGTCGTCTGTGTTAGTTCTTGAGTTTTTGCAGGGATTGTGGACCTTTGAGCTTGCGCTCCTATTAAGCCTCTCGTTCTGAACAAAATATTCGTAAGGTGTAGTTGATCAGTCAGTCACTGTTTTAGACCACTAGTAATCTATCCATCTCTTGATTGATTTGTTTAATTTGCTCTGGCACGCCGCTAATGGAACGGTTCTCCGTTCCAGTGAAATGGTCATTCCATAAGTTAGCGGCGACTGGCAAGTCGAACAAGGCTTGTCGCCTCCCCGTGATAGGCCCCTGTCATTTCTATATTTCCTATCTAACACCAATGCGAACTGGCCTCATCGTGGTAGAACTAGATATGCGCGTAGCCTTTGCGTTTTGACGCACTCTTTTAGAAGACGAGTCCCAAAATCCATCCTTGGCTACTTGAATAACCCTATTGGTATGATAACCAAAAGCTCCCAGCGAACTGGTCCCAGACTTTAGTGCATATCGTAACACCCCAGAGACATAATCCCATCTTATATCTAGTCTCCTGACATGGTTGACGGAGCGACTCTAGATATGGTGTCGCTCATGAGGAATAAAGATGCATGACGGGTTGCTGTTCCCAATTATCTTAATGGACTACTACGCAAGACTTGTTGCACAATCAAGTGTGTGGAAGGTTGTTAAATGTGATTAGTGGTACCAAAGGCTCCACTCTTATGCAAGGGCTTGCCCGCATGCTCTGCAACATGGCCCTCCATGTGAACCAATATCTGACTCTCTATGGCATGATGGCATCTCCATGCCGTAGATCTGCGACACACGACGGGAAAATAATAGGCAAAACTTCTTCTTACTTCGGCGAGACTTCCTCGGACGACCCCCGATAAGTAAAATACCCGGGCCGTCTTCAACAGCCCAAACAGATAATAGAACCCCGCAGCATCGCCAATCACAGATTATCCACCGAAGGCCCAGGAAGCCGTTTGGGTGGCCCAGGAAGCCGTCCCGTCCCGGTCGATCGTACCTCAAGGAGGTTGCATTGCAAGCAGAAGGTTACCTTTTGATGTTCATGTGGCTCGGCGCCACCTTCACTTCCTCGTATTTCTCAATATAGGCATGGCATGGCTGTTGACACTTGGCCTTTTCTCTGCATGAAACTAGGACCACCATGCCAAGGAACGCGGTAGATTGCCAAGAACACGCAAAGGAAGCCCTCAGCCGAAGGGGTATCGCTTGCATCGGAGTTGACCGATACAATGGAATGCGGCGTGCGGTGGAATCGAACCGAAGTACCGTGTCTTCCACAGTCTTCATTAGAAGCCGAGGGTGACATGAATACGAGGATCGACAAACTTCGCCCCCAAACGCTGGTGTGTAGATCAGTCTCCAGTCGATACGAGCTCCGACGGAGTACCTCCGTGTACTACCATGCACACATGTGTCTACCCAATACGCATTTCGGTAGATCAGAGGAACACACGGCAAAGACTACATGCATCCGCTCAACACGGCTGCTTCCGCATGTCATTCTCAGACTACTTTCTCAGCGCCATAGACATCAATTGATTCAGTGGTCGTCGCGGCAGGATTGGCGGATTTGGGATGATGAGGCTCCAGCTGGCAGAATCTGAGATAAAATTTGACGATAAGCCTCCCCGCTAGTACCGGGGTCGACCCTTAACCCCTCCTTACTAGATGTCTACCCCACCCCGCCGTAGAACCCCTAAAGCTTGCTCATGGTCCAAATGAGTCTTGAGGTTGCGATATACACTTGGCGACATCTTGTTCTCGTATATGCAGCAGGAGGTCAATGCTTAGCCCGAATACCATGTTGCAGTTGGCTGATCTTTGCCCGAGAAGACACGGGTCTAGATACTCCTGTATCTAGCCCTGAGAAGTCTGCCTCTAGATGCTGTAAGTCTGCAAATTCCATTCTTAGTAACTGGGAACCCTTGTTAGTATCAGGCTTGAGTCTAATTCTGTATAGAACTAGGCCTCGTTTAACTTTGATCTGTCAGACGCTCGCCATTTAAAAGTTGGTGCGCTTTGACTCTTGGTCTTTTTCTCTATTCCCCTGCCTCGTCTTTGGTGATTATCTCTCTATGAAAATGCCCCGAGCTGCTCGTAAATGGACGCCAGACGAAGACAACCTGCTATCCCGAGAGGTCCATACTCAGTGTAAGTAAAATCCAACCGGTCTGGCCTTTCATTTACTGACAGAATTTCATTGTCTATAGTAGCCGAGGGCAAAGTAAAAGACTGGAGGGTGATTGCAGACAAGATTTCAGGTCGCACGAACAAAGACTGCCGGAAACGGTGGCACAATGCCCTGTCAGGGGTGTTTAATAAAGGCTATTGGACCGAAGAGGAGGACACACTGTTGACCCGAGCGGTGCAGACGCATGGAGAAACGTAAGCCCTGCAGCCCTTGTGCTCGGTCGTTATGATGCAGGGGCGAAGCCTTATGCCGTGAAGGATATCTGCTCACGTGAATGCAGATGGACGGCAGTGGCGGAGATCGTGACAAAGCGCAGCGCAGATCGTACGTGCTATCTCTGTCTTCTGTGTGATCAAGCAGCCTTCATACCTGTCTCAATCACCACCGTGAGAGAGTTACTTACTCAAAGTTGCGGCAGAGTGCGCCAAGAGATGGAAGCAATTCCTGGATCCACAGCTCGACCGTAGCGAATGGACGGAGGAGGAGGTACGTTTGGCTTCTTCTTGGGAGCCAGGAATCGGACTCTCACTAAAACAGTGGACAGAACCGTCGCCTAGTGGAAGTTGCGGCTGTGAAAGGAAGAAGGTGGAAGGAAATCCAGATGGAGCATTTTCCTTCCCGATCCCGCAACTCCATCAAAAATCAGTGAGTCGTATTGTACCAAGGAAGAGGCATTGAAACCGACTAACGGGCCATGGCCAACAACAGATACACCATCCTCAGCAGACGAGAGAGCAAGTTAAGAAACAGCAGAAGCAGGAAAGTCAGACAACACCAGGACCACCCAGCAACCAAGGAAACTGCACATCCGACCGACTCATCACCAGGCGACGAGGACGATGAAATGGACTGCATGGACGACGAGAGCAGCTATGAGGAGGAAGAGGAAGCAGGCTCAGACGAAGAAAGCAGCCGGTGGGGTCCGCGCAACTCCCCAGGGGACCAGAGGGTCTCTAATTCTAATTCGACACTCGCGACCCCAGATGAGATTTCTACGTATGCAGGGTTAGATGCGTCGCTTTGGGACAATTTTCCAGCCGGGGTCTCCGGCCACGCGTGGGACCCAACGATTCCCTCGGTCGGGGACACCGAGTATCCAGGACACCACTTCAACGGCACCCTGCCCGACCTAACCACTGTCTTCCCCGATGTTCACCAGAGTTTTGGCTGTAACGGGTCGGAGGTTGCCAAGGATGGGGTCTATCCCAGTCTTCTTTACCCTGCGCACACCGATATGTCTAGATTCTTGGACCCGGGGGGTTTGGAATTGGCAGAAGTCGGGTCGCACCACCCAGCTATCATGCCTCTCCAGGGCACCGACATGGCGCGTCAGAATTCTCAAAGTAGCAAGGTCATCCTCACCGTCGAGGAAGCAGACCATAGTACGGTTGAATCACTGATGCAGATTGCATTTCTCAGTAAATCTCGGTTTCATTTGGCGCGGGAATGAGGCTATAGAAATATAGATGAAGCAAACGCATTATTGGCATGTTCCTAAAATTGCCATGCCTTTCTACTATTATTAACATGCTATTTTATTTACTGTGAAACTATACAAATTGTCTCTCATGTGTTAAGTCACCAGGGTAAGTGGAGCAGATGCAGATCCTCGTCAGGTTCATGCTGAAAATCCTAGCCAGCATCAGGTTATTCGATCAACTATGGAATTAAAACTCGACTTAACAACCTTGACCATGTGGAATCCACACCGCGACTACCTCCCAACTAGCAGCGTCATTCGAGCTATATTTCGCTGTAACCTCGACACCCAAAGGAGAATAGATGCGCAAGCCATTAGCAAGAAACAAGTAACCGCTGCGCGCCAGTATGTGCAACAGTGGAACACACCACTGCCAAGTCCTTCCAACCACCTCGGTTAAACCGCTTCATTTACTCCTCTCATAAGTCCAAGCCACCAGGATCATCTACATTGTAACCCTGCAGGACGCGTCGCCACACCTTCCTAAGACTCTTCTGTTGCGCATACACTTCCCCTGCGGATCTCAACTCCCCATCCGGCGAAGGGGAAGCATCTAGATGAATTGTCGATCTGAGAGGTTGTATTTTGTATTTTGCCACTGAGGACAGGCCGATTCAGCGTCTACCTACTCCATGTGTTTTTGTATGGTAAATCCGGTCACTTCGGAACACCGCGTCGTAACATGCCAGCACTAGCCCCAGAGGCTATGAGACCCTCTCAACAGCCATCTCCTAGATAATTTTTTTTTGTTTCACTCAATCTTCTCAATTGGTTCCATCAGTACTAGTGCATACTGATATCCTGCGATCCCAAATGAATGCCTAGCGCGGCGGGGACCGGCGTATCTTGTTGTCGGCGGAAGCCCTTTGTACGCTGGGTCCAATTACGTGATTCTCTAGCGAGTCGATCAAATTAACAACCTAATGACCACTTATTTACATATGAAACTATATCTATCCTAATTAGGGCATCTATCTCCCTTGTTCCCTATGTTATCATAATACTTACTTTTCGGTGGGGCGTGCTGATTTGTCTGGTCTCTCTCCCACGTTCGACACGCACCCGTCCCTGTTGAATAGTTATTCTACCTTCATATGCTATTTTTCAATTTTGCTTCTGTCTAGCATTTGCAGCGCGTAATTGCGTAATTCCATAGTCCTATATAGCGATCCTGTGATAGACAGCTTCATAGCCTTTGGTAAGCTGGTTAAGCGGACAAGGTAGAGCAAATGATCGCTGGCGTGGTAGAGCCTTGATTGACGCTGATTGATGTGGAATATCATTAGGACTATATGATGTGTTGGGGGCGGGCTGCTGCTGTCGCTACTCCCGGCGCCGTAGTGTTCGAAGGTTAGCAAGGCGTCTAACAGCACCAAACCTGCTGCAGCAAAGCTCTTCACTATAGTAGCAGACTTATATGCGTAAATTCATGGTTGTGGATATATACCAAAAAATTCAAGCTTATCAATATGGTCAATTCCTTGGCGCGTTTAATCTTGAACCAATTAACCATATGAATCTATATGCCCGTCGAGAGTTAATAATCGGCAGTGACCCTCTGTTCGCGACCTAGTTAGTAGGATAAAGTTATTTCTAGGCCTATTAGAAGATTAGTCCCCCCATTTTTGCTCCCCTCAAAGTACCAACCTCATTGCGCCTTATCGAACCAAACTTAGTTGAAATACTTGCCCTTGAAAATGATTGTTTCGGGTTGACCCCTAACAGGGGCTGCGTGGCATACGTAGTTAGCTGCTGTTATATTTTTCCTTAGTCAGCTCCTAGGCGTATGACCTTCTTGCCCGTATTCCTATATCTCTGTCTCATCACAATTATATATATTACTTGATACTATATTATTTTGCTGAATAACCACTGAATCCACGTATACGGGGATTGAGAATAATTTTTCGCAGCCATTTTTCTTTCAATTTTGTCAATTTATGACTATTTAAATGCGTTTCCTGGAGATTCGGCATGCCATTAGGGCGGCGGGCATTGTTGGCAACTGCACATTAAGTCTGCCTTCTGCTTCCTGAGTAGATTCTGATTTCTAAATTTTGACAGTCTTTCCTATCTTCTTGTTCAAGGAGTTTCGCGAAGATCAACAGCGTTGGTGGCATGGTGAGTGGTTGAATTAGTTAGGATGGACCCGCACGATGCGGTCGTGCGTGGGTACTCAATTCACATGTGAATTATGTTAGTTAGTTAATTAACTAACTATTCAAAGAGCTGACGAGATAGACAGATGATCGCCAAGTGTTGCCAATGCTGTGGATGATGGTTTGACTGACGTGGCGTTGTAACTGATAAGGGGAAGTTTTTTACTTCAGTGCATATCATAACCAACTCATCTTTTCCTTTTCTTTAGGAGAAGAAATGATAGCGGAAGGGAAGTCCATCCAAGTTATTTACTACGGCTCATAAGTCATTATGGCTGATTCTAGCTCTCTTTATTGAATCATGATGAAGATATTTACAGATATAACTAGATATAGATATACGCATTCCTATATTGTATATGATCCTGCCACCACGTAGGTGATGTTGAGAGAGGAGATGTACGTGGTATAGGAAGCTGTTTAGGGCCAGCAAAATGAATGACTTGTTGTAGATTTCTGTCTAGAAGGTCTGCATCTGGGAGAGTACTTTATAACCTCTACCAAAACGACTATTTGCAACAAAAAATTAGTCTGGAACAGTCCTTTGAAATGCTACCTAAATATACCCAGCCACAGCGATGCTTAGTACAGGTCATCAGCGGTATATTCGTCGGATTTTTCAACACCAAAATCAGAAGTTTATCAACTGAGTATTCTTTTAAGTGTCAAACTCTAATTACATATGCTACAATTATTTTGTAAATATATACTACAAGTTTGCATCATGAAATGGAGGCACTTATCACTATTCATCGAACATAATTATCTTCCCGGGCAATCCATACTCATCGAATCAAGTTCTGTATAGTTACGTCCTTTCATCATCCCATATCCCTATTCAATATAGGTATTGTGTGTACAATTCGACTGAGTCCCGTCCTCGTCTCTCTCAAGTGCCACCAGCGGAAGCAGACACATTGGCTCTTTTATTCTACGCCGTCGATTAGTACTGATACTCAAGCCATGGGCACACAGAGCAAGACTCACCGATAGGAAAGCGGCACAAACAAGACTAACCGCAGCCCCAACATAGATACAAGTGAACCTGCAAAAGGGCGTGAGCCGATGATTGAAGACCCCGGGGAAGAGTGCTCGGATAACCTACACGTCGTTCCAAGCAGATACAATCACGTCCAACACCTTAGAACGCATCTCGGACGACAGTGACCTCAGGAGGCGCCCGCTTGTTCCTGCTACCATCTGCTGCACTTGATCTCGGGGGGTGGTCGGAAGGAGACGGTAAAGGTTTTCCGAGGCATCGTTGACGAAGACGGCGCCTCCGACGGAGAGGCCAAGGGTCAGGCCGCCGAGTTGTGCTGTATATATCTGTTAGCCATCGGCTAGACTGAGATGACTTTTTCTAGTACAGATATTACCTAGAAGCATTAAAGATAGTCCGTTTGCCGCTTCCGATGGTGCCACAACGGCCTGTATGACCGCGAAGGAGGCTTGGGTGTACGCACCTGCGCCCAAGCCTAGAATGATCTCCAGACCGTACAGAATGGCGGGCGATGTGTTGACGTGGACAATTGTCGCTGGAGTTGTTAGCATGGACTAAATCTGCCGTGAACTTCGAAGCATACCCATCAAAACAGCCGCAATCAAGGCCACAATGCTACCTCCAAGATAACATGGCTTGTAATATCCAATCCTCGACATATAAATTCCACTGGCCGGGATTGCGGTAATGAGGAAGAAGATGAAAGGCAGCTGTCGGACAGCCGAGTCGATCGCCGTATCACCACGGGTGAATTGAAAGTAGATGGGAATGTAGTACACGCTAGTGTAGGATACGGCACCCACAGCAGTGCATGCAACGAAGAGCAGAAGTGGTTCCTTCTGCAGATAGAGATGGATCGGCAGCATGCGGGTCTCCTTGGTAGTGAAAATGGTAAAGGCTTGCTGGAGCACAAAAGCAATCCATAGGACACCGGTCACCACAAATAGCGCGATGATCTGGCCACTTCTCCACGGGTACAGAGTGCCTCCAAAATTGATCCCCATCACCAGCGTGATACAGGCTCCCACACTAAGAACGGCACCGACCCAGTCAAATGTCACCAGCCTCTGCCATGTTGTCTTACCAGGGGTGGGATTGTTGGAGGGAAGGATGAATACATATATTGGGAGAAGGATAGCTCCAAAAAGCAAGTTGATGTAGAAGGCCCAGCGCCATGTGTATAGTTCGAAGCCGCCCCCAATGACTGGACCCAAGACGGTTCCTACACCCCAAACGAGGCCGCTATGTCTCGATGTCAGCGATAACATGTCAATGCCAGGTAGACACTCACGTCAAGCTAAGGTATCCGGGTCTCTCGCGGTTTGTCGTATTCATCGAAATGATTACCAGCAGGCCAAAGTACATGCCGTTTCCACCTGCACCGGCAAATACTCGTCCGACAGTCTCCGCCTGCATATTTGGCGCAGCACCACACAGACCAGATGCGGCCATGAAGACAATGGTTGAGCTGATATAAATCCACTTGGCGTCAAACAGAGCGTACAGCCTTCCTAGCGGCAACACCATCGCCATACCCCCGATCATAAACCTAGATTATACAATGAGCGCAGAAATAAATTGTGGTGATTATCACGAGACAAACCCGACAGACAGCCATGGTAAGTCTGAAACAGCGTCGAACTGGTTAACGATAGCCTGGGATCTCATCATCAGTATGTCGCCACTTGCAGAACCGAGTGTGTGCGCCACGTACAGGAACAATGTTTGCTACGATGGTGTTGTCGAGAGCATAGACAAAAATGGCTGTGAGGGTACTTGAAATGAATAGAAACCACTGAACAGGTGAGCCCACGATAAAAGCAAATTATGCCTTAGGTCACCATTACATACACGGAATCCAGTGATGGTTCGGACATCCTTCAAATCGTCGTCCGAGCCATTGGCGCCACAGTGTATGCCCTTCTCGGTATCGCTTGCCAAATCCTGGACCCCTGGGTTGGATGTACCGGTGGAAATTGCATTGGAGGTATCTCCACTGGGGGATGCTACCTGCTCGCTCGTCACTGTCGAACTGAGAGCCATGTTGCCAATGGTGCTAACAATAAAAGAGCACGCAGCTGATCGGGTAAAGCCCAGGAAATTAAACAATCGGCCACACTCGATCGGCGAGGACTGTATTACTTTAAATCATGACAAGGCGGATCAATTTAATGAGGTGATATACTCCTTCATATTTCATGAACCCTGTAAGCCTGATCGCTGTACGCGGGTCCGACTGATCCCGAAAATCTCTCAGATCCACACGAAGGCACAAAACTGGCAACTTTCAGGCACAGAAATATGTACCGTGCTAGAGTAGAAACATTGATAAAGAAGACGGTTATTATTATACACATAATGAGTGTATTCTACAAATTCAAGTATTTACTTCGAATTGTTGGTGGGCCGAATTTGGAAACATTACTGCTGGGCCGTCTGTGAAACCAAGCTGATATCATAGAGTCCAGCAATTTGATGAGTTCTTCTCAAGCGTATGTTTCGCAGGCGATGACACGCTGTCAAAGGATGAGGGTCGCCTCAACACGATAAGCGAGGGATGACATGCGACTATCATCAGAAAATGTGCGCTGACCAAGGTCTTTTCGCAGAAATGGAAGAAAAGCCAGAATGACCGTTTTAAAATCTCGCATCGTCAGACGGAAGAGATACATCAGGTGTGTCCATATTGAATTATAAAGTACGCCCGACTTACACAGCAGCTAAGAGGGTGTCCATAGCCAAGATCTCCCATAATGTCCGCTTCAAATTCTCCGCACGAGCTTGGCTCTGTATTTCAATGGTATCAGAAAACTCTCGACAATAGAGCCCGAGCATAATGCTGCACTAAATAGCCAATCCAATGTATTGTTTTGCGCCATCAGGTGCTTTGCGTCCATGCAAAATGATGCTCAGAAGAAGATACGCTTGCGCCTTTTCCAATGCCAGATCAGCGTTGCAAATGGCCGTCCATAGATCAGTCGAAAATTCAGGAACTTAGCCACGTGAAAGACGATATAGACTCATAGATTCAATGATGTTCACCAGATATTGCGAAGGGGAAGACACGTTCCAAATATCAAACAGCAATAGTATTAGGCACGTAGGGTGGAAGTATTCATAAAAGACCTTTATCAGATGAATACTCATCTATGCCACGCCTTTTGAAGGCATTAGTAAGTAGGATAGAGAAAGGTCGCCTAAAGCCACAAGGCGCAATGCTTCGTCCACCAAAAATGTAGGTTCATCAACGGTATACATCGGAGAGAACATGATCATTTTTAGCCCAGGTCTTCCTTCTTGCAAGGAAAGGTCTGATGCACAATACATCTTTCGTATGGGCCTAGCGTATAATATTGTCTGTACAACGACTCTAGGGTCGCTCAAACTTTGCGAAAAGTGTTTCATTTGATACCTATCAATTTAGATTTCCAACTGAAATGAGTTATCTCTTTGTGTTCCTACTGGATCCTTACAAGCAGCGAAGAATTATTTCAGTAATCGTTGAATGACATCTCCGCCTCAGAAGTCAAGGATGGACTGAATCGCTGCCGAAATCCCAAAGCGAAAGAGGTTCACAAAAATAGATGAACAGAATCAAGACAAAAAGGTAAAATAGACCCAACTTTTGAATATGAACCGATTCGCACTCAAATGGCAATCGCCAGGTGCTCGCGATGAAAGGAAACAAGATCATCACTTGCCTCAGCCTGGCCAGACCCGAACGACTGCAAATTCCATTTGTCGATGCCGTCAACACCCTCCAGGTCATTCGCAAATGTGTTAAACAGGTCTTGGTTAAGCCGTTCATACTCAGAGTAATCCTTGGGCCAATCTCCAAGGCGCTCGACGGCAAGTTTGAGCATGTGCAAGTGCTGTCGGACATGTTTTCCTTCTTCCTTTTCTCCTGGACTGGCGGAGGATGCGGGTGATGACATGCCGGAGATGACCTCCATGTCCACATCGCTCGCAGATGCCGAGGACGGGTCGATGAACACGCGTAGGGCATTTTCATGAAGCGCCGCCGCTTTCCGATAGTACCGATAGGCTAGCTCGTGTCGACCCTTCTGTTCTTGATAGCCCTGAGCCATGCTGGTGTACATCTGCGACAGTAGCACGGTCATCTCGATAGTACTCGGGTGGCGGGGCCCATGGACACGAGCGCAGTTGTATACAAGGTCTTCTGCGAGCCGAACGGAAGCTGCGTAGTCACCAACGAGGTAGCGTGTAATGACCAGCATGCGCCCGAGAGCAAGTGTATATGCATGTTGTGGCTGTAACAAGGTATAGGTATCCCGGCTGTTCCAGAGGGAGGTGAGAACCCAGGCCAAGGTGTGGTAGTCGTGTTGCTCATCGAGAACCTTGATCAAGCTATTGACGTTTGCTAGATCTAGCTGTGCGAGCTCGATGTTGTGCTCTTTGAAATAGCCGAGCGTGTCACGCAGAATCGTCGCCGAGACGCCTAGCATCTGCTTTTGCACAGAGGCTGCGGGGCGCGCGTCAATTTCTCGGCCAGCGATGAGTAGGCCAAGCTTAAACACCAGCTTGCTTGTCGCCTGGTCTGAGTAGCCGTGGTGGGCAGCAACGTATTTCATCGCCGCCAACGCGAGGTGGCAGGCTGACTGATAATCTCCGGAGTCGAGCTGCTGGGCCACGCGGTTGTAGCTAGCGATGGCCACTGAACGAATGAAATTGCGCGAGGCATGGTTGCTAAAATACTCAAGGAGCGTCTCGATGAATACCTTGGCCTGGTTGGAGTCCATTTCCAGGCTGGAGCCCTCAGACGCCAGGAAGAAGCTGGTGTACTGATCCATCACCTGAGTGGCAGCCGACCGACGACCGCCGCTGAGTAGGAACGCGTGCAGGCGGGCCACCGTGGCCGTCGTATGCTGCAGTTTGCCAGCCTTTGAGCTTAGGGCTTCGCGGAACTGCTCAAAGTACAGATACTCCTTGGTCAGGGCAGCGTAGACCTCATTCAACGTGGTTGAGGCGTTTGCGGATTCCCGAATGATGTGTTCGAATTGAGCCAGGAAAAAGAGGCCTAGCCGGTGGTTTGAGCTCTGGTTCAAGCCAAGGGCACTGGAACTTCTCCCATCCTTGGTCATAATCTGGAGATAAATCTCGTCTGAGAGATCCCTCGCCTTTTGAAGTTGACCGGCTGCGATATAGCCAGATGCAATGCTTTTGGCCGCCGCAGTGAGCTTGATAGACGATGTCTCAGTGGACAGTATTTGCACCGTTGCTTCCTCCAGCAGTGAGATAGCAGCCTGCGCCTTCTTTTGTTTGGCATATAGTGAGACAATCTCCTCCATCTGAGACAGGGCTTCTTCGTGTGCCCAGCCATAGCTGGAGCGGATGGATGTCAGTCGTTGGGTGCGAATAGACTCCACCTTCTGTAGCTCCTTTGTCGACATGTTCTCCACTTTCAAAGCGGTCAAGGAGGCATTCTGTTGCTCATAGATAGCCTCCAGAATGGCACGGATGTCCTGATGGTCGATTTCAACTTCACTGCTTTTGACCCTCAAGAGCTCTTCGTAGAGCTGGATCGCTTCCGTGTCATACTTCTTGGACTGTTGGCAGATGTTCGCCAGCGTGTTCGTCGCCTGAATTGTGATTGACGCGTTCAAACCGAAGAGGCTAATGCACGCTTTGCGATATTTCACCGTCACGTCATGAATGACGGTGATGTCACTGCGAGCCACGCGCAGACAGTACACATAACGTTCATAGATGCTTTGAACAAATGCCTGATCCTGCAATTTCGGGCTGATAGTAGGGCTCTGAAGCGTCATGAACAACACCCGGCAGGGCTTCAGCGCGTCCCCGTAACGGCCTTGTTTCAATAGCTCGGTTGCCACAATCAGGAGGGGCTCGAAGGCATCCGGGTGACAGGTCTCCGAGTCCTTGTTGAGGATATGGATGATCTGGCGGTAGTAATCCATTGCAATAGGCTGCGGGCGCGTTAGTCTCGCCAGGGTCCAAAGCTTTTGGATCACAACGGGGTGTTCCCCGCCAAATCGCTTGGTGTAGTCTTGGAGTATATTCTGGTGAATGGTGATGACCTTGTCGGTTTGAGAGGTACGCTCGTATAGACGAAGAAGGTTCGTTGTGACTCGCTCTAAGGTTTGATATCCGCACGCTGGCCGGTCGAATCGAGCTGCACGGTAAACCCGGGTCCGTATATCCTCTTCCTTAGTCGGGCGACGGCGGGAGCGATAGCAGTCGGCGAGATGCTCTGCGAGTTCAATACAGTATTCAACTTGGGTGGATGGCAGGGTGACTTCTTCGAGCGAGGGCGCAAACAACGATGGCCACAAAATTCGCAGCACTCGTTTCAACACACTTGTAGCGTCATGCCACCGGTGTTGAGATACGTACATTTCGATCAGTGATGTGGTAGCTGCGGTGGAAACCTGCTCGGCACTGGTTGCGCTGTATACGGTTTCCTTGAGGGTGGACTCCGTCACCAAGGATTGTGAGCGTATCACTTCCAGAGAGGTGGACTGGATGTACTTTTCCACGTCTTTGTGGATGGCACTTTGGCTGCTGGTATTTTGTGCGCAGTGTTTGTAGACTTCGATGGCCAACACGGACAGCCCCACGAACTTCATGACCTGAGCAAGCTCCAGCAAATGTGGCACCAGGGCTTCAGGGCTGGGGGCGGTTTTCTCGTACTCTTCCCAAAACCCGGCAACGATCGAGGCTGTTTCAGTGTTTCTCTTCTGGCCTTCGAGGAATTTAGCATACGCGAGAACAGCTCGCAACATGGTGAGCTTGTGCTCAGTAGAGTGATTAAGCCGATACTCCTGGCTAGCCTGTTGCCAGAGCTCCACATACGTTTGCTCAGCTTCCGTAATGAGATTCTCTCTCTTCTGTCGCTCGGCTTCGGCCAAGTGAGTCTCCAGGTCAAAGGACCAGGTAATCAACTCATCCACCTCGATCCCATCCAAAGCCAGGGTGGTGCCAGTCTCTGTTGGCGTGTCTTTCCGGCCATGGAGGTGAACCAGTAAAGAATCGTCCACCTGTCTAGACCCTTTCCGCTGGGT